TTCTATCGACGCGGCTACCAATCCATACTGAAGTGCAGATCTAACTATGGAGCAATAAAGGCTTTTAAAACAGTAGTCCCTGTCTTCTCCCGTCCCTACAATAAACTATTGTTGTTTAGTCGGTAACAATGTAGGTTACAATTTATTCCGTATTGAATCTTATTTTTTCGATTCCATTCACATTTCTGTTTAAATAAATGAATTATAATCGATCGCTGCGGCTAATAATAGCGACGGATATAATGTTCCATTCCGATCGAAAACCACGGCCGCTGCCACCTCAAAGTGAATTTTTGCATGCGATCCCACCGTCCTCGAGCCTCGAGGTAAAGGGGTTCTCCTTGAGGGGTTTCTCGAAACCCCATTAAGCTTGTAAGGGTTGAAGCGTAATTCTGTTAACGCGCGACGCATCAAGGTCACCGCCGTTGTAAAATAACCGTTCCCAATACAAAACGCCGAAATCTAATCTTTCCGCCTTATATTATTATATTAAATTGTTAATTGTAAGACCATTGAAAAGAATTTATTGTCCGGTGAATATGCCGATAATACAGGAATTTAAAATCTGGTTTTTAACCAAATTTGGATTTTTCCGGCAGTATTTCCTCGAAATTCGCGTAGATGTCGCTGAATATTCCGGGAAAACGAGTCAAGTGTGTGGGAATCGCTGTTTAGAAAGAAAAAGCAATGGCTTGCTTCGTGCATTTTTTTTTATTTTTCAATAGCATACAGAGATTTAGACCTCACCTGTCTTATCTGCATATAGCTATGCTAATAGTACAGGAACTTGTGAAGCAACGATGTAACAAAATTTTGAGAAGGTCTGGTCAATGTGCGCGTGCGCTAGATTTGAAATTTCGTTTTTAACCAATGGCAGCTCTACTAGCATTTTCTGACGTTCGACCCATAGGCCCCTCGAAATATCGCTGCCTAGTACTTTAGGCGCGATCAAAGCCGGTAACATGAAAATTGACCCAGAGGCACGGCAGAGCTCCAGCTATTCGTATACACGGAATTGTTATTCAAGCAAGCAATGCTCTCTCTTCCATTTTCCATTAGACTTAGTATTGTACGGGATTATATTTTAAATTATTTATAGATGCCCCAGTTGCTGCTTTAGTAAGTCCCGCGTTTTGTCTCTCACTTCCACGCTCACGCTCTCTGTCGCCCATGCTCGCGTAAGCTATAGGTCGAACGGCATACGTCACCCCGCGTTGCTTTCCACAATGTTAATAATAATAACAACAATAATAAGCTTTATTGGGTACCAGATGTAATTGAGGAAATCACATTACATTTACAGTAAATTTTTACTATTTACAGGGAACTTTAGGAAAAGGTGAACTAAATTTCGTCAAAATTACGATACATTTTCCTCTTTTTCGGGAGTTCACCCGGTAATTCTCAATTGTGATTTAGATTTCGTGGAGAATATTGATGGCGGACCTTCAAATGGAGAAGCAAAAACGAAAAGCATTAACCCTGAAAGAAAAATACGATGTTATACAAAAAATTAAAAGTGGTATGCCTACAGCGAGCCATTACCTAAAAAAAAAGTGAATGCAAGTTGTAAAAGGCTTAGAAAATCGTTGTTACCTTCGAAAAATCGATGAAATCGAAGCGGTAAAAGATTTTGTTTTTTTTTTGTGGATATTTCCATATTGTACGTTTTCGCTATTTCCTGAAATTTATATAGAAGCTTCTGTAGGTTAGCTTCTTCTTTCGAGATGATCATCAGCATTCCATATTATTTTTATTTCTTTGTCTCCCATTCGATATCCTCTCCCGTCTTGCTTTACTTCGTTTATGATATTGAACAAAATTGAGGTTAGGCTATCCGATACCCGTCGCCACAGGTATTTTATTGCCTAATTTGTTTGCCGTTCTCACAAAAGTAAATTTTCGATAACTCTTATTATATTGGGGTGAATGTTTTTGTTAGTAAATTTATGACATCATTTAAGCGTACCCTATCGAACGCTTGAGTGCACATGGGAGAGGGATTCTACGTCGAAACTACCCAGAATATCTTGCGTATTTAATGTAATGCTTTTTAAATGTTCAATGAAGTGAAAGTAATTAAGTACAAAACTATCAGTTTTCTCTGTAAAGGGTTTTAACAAGGAAGCTAGATACTTTGCTAGGGAATATATTCAAGAACTAATGATCGAAGGGGTAATCCTAGTATGTGAATCCTTGGGAGTCCGTAGAGACCAGGAATTTTAGAGTCGCGAGGGGTGACAGACTTCTTCACGGAGTCTGATAGAGCCGAAGCCTTAATAATACATTTAAGGTTGCGTTCCATAGATGACGTAGGATCTTTTTTAAGTTGACGACATGATCCGTTTCTGAGAATATCTTGAATCTTTTGCTGATACTACTCGTTTGTGTTCATGACCGCCGTAGCATTTCCTTTATCTGCTTTTAGGATTACGATTTTAGAGACTTCAGGGAAATGCGGTCAGGCTTTTAGAGGGTTTTGATTTCAAATTGAATTTAATTAGCTGTTTGAGATGGCAGTTTGCTTAGGATAGATTCTTGAGATCTTTGTAGAAGGGCAAAATAACGACACCGTGAATGGGTGACTTCTCTTAATGTGTTGTAGTTCAATATTTAGCGTGAATAACCCTGTAGGTACATAATATCATTATCGTCCCAATTACAGGATAACAACGAACGCACAAGCGACCCTTAGTATTAGACCACAGATCAATGTTTGGTGATTCAATTCTGAATTTACACCGGACTTAATCCTCTTAACAGTTCCCCAAATCCCATTGGTCAATTTGATTTTAACCATCGGTGCGAGTTTTGATTAAATCGGGATGTTTAGTATTTAAAGTGACTTTTCTTATGTGTGGCTTGCTTTCTGTTTGCTTGCAAATCTTCCAGATTGTCAGCAACAAGGCCGATAATATTCAGTCATTTTTGAGGACGCATATAATGTTGCTTTAACTTTTTTTGGAGCTGTTGGTGGTATTGATCCGGGGTATGTGTCTGCAAATTATATTAATAAATAATTTGGTCCTAATTCTTCCCGTTTTGCTAAAGTTTACCCTGGGGAAGTTAATAAAATTTTAATTAGTATCAAAACTAATGCTCATGGCTCAGACAATATTGATATAAAATGATCCTTTTGACTACTCCGTGTCTAGTGGATTATATCACTTTCCTTGTTCAGAAGTGTCTGCTGACCGGGGCATTAACGATTTTAGACCAATCAGCTGTTGCCAACCATCTCAAAGATTATTGAAAAAATTGCAGTTAAACAGCTTCGTCAATACCTATGCAATAATGAAATCCTCCCAGATACTCAATCGGATTTTCGACCTCTTCACAGCACTACTTATGCGTTGCAAACTCTTGTCTTATACTCTTGGACTATAGCAAAGGATCATTTCCTTCTCCTAGCTAAACTGAAATTCTTCTGAATAAAAGGAAACACTCATTCAGATCTCATTGCTTTGGAGATGGGTGTTGCCCAGGGACCTAGTCCCTTCAGCCGATGATAATCAGTTAAATTTAGATCTAAAAACAATTTCGGAGGTATCTGCTGCTCACAACCTATTGTTGAATAGTAACAAAACGCAGATTATTTGGAAACAAAAGGGAAGCTATTGTAAAAAACGCCTCTTTTGAGATTACGTTAAATGATGAGATTATCTCTTCTTCTTCAGACGGATGTGAAAATTTAGGATTATGGTTTGTTGGCTTGGTGTTACAAAAATTCTTCTAACATTTTGTCAGTAAAGAAGTCAAACTTAAACTCTGTGCTATGTTAGTTTTATCCCATGTCGCTTATTGCAGGATGGTCTATTGGCCAGCTATACTTAATCGAGATAAGGTGAGGCTCCAACGACTTGACCATATTTCCTAGCACCTCTCTGATTCAGTTTGATTCAAGCTGGAGGACCGATATGAAGTTCAGTCAGCCACCTTTGTTTTTTTACTAAACTCCAGCTAAGACCCCGTCGTACTTCTTTGCAGAGGAAATGATATTCATAATTCCTAGACACACTTCGGTAACTTTCCAGAAATCTTTTAACTATAACGCAGGTAAATTATTTAATGAAATATCTTATGGGATAATACGATCCTTCCCACAATAAAGTCCTTCATACATTGACAATTATAGTGTTAGTGCTGTTGTTCTTGTGATTACATGGCGCAATTTGCGAATGTCGCCACTCTTGTATTGTTGCTTATATTGTAATATTTTGATTTTCAATATTATTTAATGAAATATCTTATGGGTTAATACGATCCTCCCCACAATAAAGTCCTTCACACATTGACAATTATAGTGTTAGCGCTGTTGTTCTTGTGGTTACATGGCGCAATTTACGAATGTCGCCACTCTTGTATTGTTGCTTATATTGTAATATTTTGATTTTCAATATTATTATATTATTATTACTAATATGAAATTTCAACAAGAGAACGAGCTTCATACATCATCTGACTCTCCACCATTGTCAGATCAGGCGACTCTCGATGTCTCGCCTTTCGATTCCTAGACACAAAACGGAATTTTTTAAAAGATCATTTTCGTTTCAAATCAGTCCAGCGTACAGTCGCTATTGCGATTCACTCAAGCCGAAAATTTTGTCACAGTTCAAAAAAACTTTAAAAGACTATCTCAGAACAGTGCTTATCAACTACAGAACGGTCATTTGTATTAAAAAATTAAGAAATAGCAAATTTGAATGCTTCAAAAATCAATAAATGTCCATAACTCTAACCTATTTGCTTAATTCATAATTATTATATTATATATATTATATAACATGGCCTGTTTTACTTGTAAAGTAGAAAAAACTGATTTTCGGTGTTTTTCTAGCATTCTATTCTATTTTTAGTTTTGTTTAATAGAGGTAATACCAATATGGCGGCTTGTGTTTTATTCGTATACATCAGTTTAGCAATATAAATTATAAACATAAATACTCCATCAATTAGATGTTTCTTTTTTCATTAATAACTGCTTTCTCTTATTCCAGGGGCTTTGGCAAGCAGGGTTACCAATGTCAAGGTAAGTTTCAAAAATAAAAATTTGCCCGTATATATTTCATTTATTGTATTCTACAATATATATAGTCGTGTTCCATCGCGCCATCTGGTGACGTTCTTAAGCTACGTTCCGTTGATAACACATAGATGGCGGTTTGGCGTAATAATAAATACATAGAAATACAAATCTACATAATAATGCGGTATATTCAACATTTATGTCGTTTTGCAGTCTGTAGTTTCGTCGTACACAAACGTTGCCATGAGTACGTCACTTTTACCTGTCCGGGTGCTGATAAAGGTGCTGATTCCGACGTAAGTAGCCACCAACAGTTCTAAAATAGGTTTTCTTTTGTAACATCTTTGTTTAAAGATTTGCGTTTTTTGCACAGAGTTGTTCTCCTTTGCGTTTGAAGACGACCTTACCTTTCAGATGCTTCCCATTATTTCCAAACAATAGACGTAGACTATTTTTAAAGATCGCTTAGAGCTCTAAAAAAAGTCCACGCTGCTCTTTTTCTTAACTGACTCAACAACACTTTGTATTCTTGAACTTCTTAACTATGTTCTTGTAACTTCTTAGTTATGTAGAACCACCATTATATAATGAGATATTTTAGATAATAGATATTTTTCACGTGGTTTTATTTTTCCTATATATAAAGAAAAATACAAATGGAAAGTCTATATTATAAATTTGCAATAGTGTTTTTGTATCTTGTTGTAGGACACCAGAACGAGACACCAGTTTAAAGTGCACACATATTCATCTCCTACATTTTGTGACCACTGCGGCTCTCTACTCTACGGCGTCATTCACCAGGGCATGAAATGCACAGGTACGATCACTTTCGGTTTTTTTTTGTACCTTCGATAAACTCATAACTTATCCGCCATAATCTATAAATCAAATTAACGAAATAACAATACTAAGGTCGGACGTCATCGATAAACACCCCAAACAGTCTTCTTCTTCTTTTTCTTGTTGGGCGCGTGGGACATGGACGCTCGTCCATCGCTTGATCTTTCTGCAGTCCGAATAACAATCATAATCCACAACGAAGGCAATTAGCGGTTATAATCAGTGTAAAGTAAACTCTCTCTGGGTTTGTCTCTTTTACATTAGCATAGTATATGTGTGGTTCTCAAGCTGGCAGTAGCTCGTCGGGAGACCTACCATTATTTAGGGGTCTTTCTCTCAACAGATAATGCGCCCTCAGCAATTCATTGTCCTATAGTATTAGTCTATGGGACTTAATACGTAATATAGTCTGCTGTCACCTCTTTCCAAGCTTTACTGATAAAGTTGACTGCATCTAGCATATTAATGGAAAATTTGTCTGCGGCTGGATCATTTCCATTAAAATGTTTTTCCTGTATCGACTCATAAGACTTTTTATTACGCTCTAGTCCGTTGGCTGTAATAAACTTGTTTTAGCTGGAAGAAATACCAATTCAATATTCCGTACATTTGGAATATGGGGATGTGCAGGGTAGTTATCTAATTTAATTTAATTTAATTCTGCATCCCATTTCCGTATGTCCTCTTCAAAAATTTGCGATGTCATCCATGCAGACTTGTTTGCCTTGTAAGTGACCGGCAAATGCTTGATGTTCTTAAAACATCGTGAGTTAGTGGATTTTCCAATCACGACTAGCTTTCTTTTTTCTCTCCCACTCATATTGGCAGCTGCTAACACTTTTCTACCCACACAAATTTCGCTTCGAAATACCAGTTTCGTCAGCATTAAACATGTCCACAGCAGGATACTTTTCTGCTAGTTTTGGCCACGTCTTTTCCAGCCAATCGTTAGTGAAGTTTCTGTCGACATCACGGGCTTCGCCACTTATCTGTCCATAATTTATACCATGTCGCTGTTCAGCAAACTTTTTTGCTTCTAGTTTTACGATAGGTCCAGAGAGTGGTACACTTTTAAGACGTTGCTGTTGGAACCACTCCAACATTGCCCGATCCAAATCTTCAAATTTTGGCTTTCTTAATTTTTTACTAGAACTGCGTGCCGCTTCAGCCTGAATGATTTTTCCTTTGCATTTTAAAATCGTGGATACAGTCGACGATGTAGGTCCGTATCGACGTCCCACATCACTCCCGAATTAACTTCTAGAGATAACATTTTTTGATTACTCGCCATGCTCGCCGTATTCACTAAGTCAAATTAAAACTGATTGAAACAAGGCCGTGCTTTTATAGGTGCCGATAAAGGCATTAGTAGTAATTAGATTTTTGGGGTAAAGAATTCTGAGAAGGTAAGAGACTCTATTAATTACAATTCGGCCTACATTCCTTAATTTCTTACCTGAAGGGCGTTTTTTCTTTTGATATAGAGACTGAGAAATTCTTTATACAGAGTGGATTAATACATAGCTTTGTGTGGAGACCTAATAGTACAACAAATTTTGTTCGTAATACAGTGTTACGTTATACAGAGTTTCGCTATAAGGAGTTTTCACTGTATTTGTGAAATTGACGTAATAAGAGCTCTTTTTATATACTATGCTTTTCTAAAATGTAAAATAAAAAAGTTACATTGGGTAACATTCACAATGGATCAATCAGTAAGTCCAGATCTTCGATATATGGGCAACGCCAATCCTGGATACACAGCTGGGATAATTAAATAACGTTTTTGTTGCATCAGGGTTTTCGGTGGTCTGTAATGTTCATATTCTATGGTCTTGAGAGGTTAGAATGTGGGACTCTCGGCCTGGTATCTCGCGCGCTTATGTCCGAACCTCATGACGCAGATTAAATAAAGGACTTTTAGTGGAGTTCTCTTTTATTACAAAAAGCCTCCAACACGACAGTTTTCACATCGAGAAACTCCGGCATCTTCCCGATGGGATCTTAATTACCGATAATTTACGCGCCTCTAATTTGTTTTTCGCAGTCACGAAAAAAATTCCGCAATAGTTTATATTAAAATTTAACCGTACGCGCATAAATCTTCTTTAAAGAGCGACCAATAAAATAAAACGCGCGCAAAGTTATTAATCCGTCGACAAAACATAAAACCTATGAATCTTTTACGCGTCCTTTGCGACGTTGCCGATTCTTACTCCCCACAGAAAAGCGAATAAGTTTCCAGACAGAAATTTATTTTAAAAGTTCGTTTAGTTCGCTTAATCAATGAATAAAATAAAAAATAAATAAGCCAACTTTTATTATTATTATTAGAATCATTTCTCGTCTATTTTTAATTCTTTTTAATTGCATTGAATTGAAAATTGAATTAATGAAAAATTAATCCTTGACAGACAGACAGAAGATAACAGTCGACAATTTTACCGTTCACAAATCTTTTGGATTCTTTCTGCATCAATTGTTGATAAATCGACCTTGCTGACGTTTCGCCAATTACTCTGCTGGCCTCTTCAGGATATTTAGATATTTTAATTATCAATTTAGCGAATACAAGGCAAAATAATAATAATAATAATAAATAGTCTTTATTATAACAAAAAAAAAACAATATACAATATTAATATTTTTCAACGAAAAGTAGACAGATAGCTCAAAAGAGGCGCAGTCTAGCTTTAAATAGCTACCGCTCAATAACTATTTAATTAATAAATGTGAAAATATGAAAAATACCTGCAAAACCGGAAGAACAACAAAAGTTACTACACACTATGCAAAATAAATAATTAGCAACCAAAACTAATTGTAACAAATGATCTTTGTACCTCTTTTTAAAAGAATACAAATTTAAGTTACTGAATTCCTGTGACAAAGAATTATAAACACGAATTGCGTTGAATGTGAAAGATCTACGACACTAGGCACTCTGATGATGTGGCATCGTTAATCTGTAAGTCTGTACCTGTATCTTACATTAACAGAATGGATAGTAAGAATAAGAATAAGAGTAAGCCGCTCTCGCAGCAAAGTGGGTGAATCGAGGTTATGGATAATTTTCATAACGAATACGTTGAAATGAAAAGCTCTTCTTTGTTCCATTTTAAGCCAATTAAGTTAACGATGTGCAGCAGATACATGGTCATATTTTCGAAGACCCATAATAAAAAGAGCACAAGCATAAAGCACTTACACTCGTTATCAATAAAAAAAACCATACACTACATCACGGTAGTTGAAATGTGAGTAAAAAGTGACTCACATAATTGTTTACTTAGTTTAAAATTTAAAATATGAATATTACTATATAAGATTTTTAGTGAGAAAGATATTTTTTAAATATTCACGAAATATTATATCACAGTCTATGATCACCCCCAATTTTTTTGCTGAATTGACAACGGAAAGTTTAATATTATCTAACATTGTATTAATATTTTGTTTAAGCACAGCGAAAACCTGTAGCGGAATGGATAAAAGAAGACATAGCGAAGAGTATATAAATTTAGTTAAAATTTTATTATTATAACTGTTATTCAATGTTTCTCGTGTGACATCCATCAACAGAGGCATTTGTTTTGTACTTGGATTTGAATCCGGCAAGCTCTTTGGTGTTGATTTTTTTTTTTTTTTTTTGAAAACAATAAGACACTGTCGGCTCTCGTTAGGTCGGAACTCTGTGATATCCCGTCCCCATAGATAAAGAAACAAAAATAGAGTTTTTAAACTTATGTCTATCTTTGTCATCAAGATGTTACTAGCGCTACCATTGACTACAATGGGAACCAACGTTCTATAAGCGCGGGCTTTCTTAATTTTTAGTGAATTATAAAATAATCAAACAAATAACAGTTGCCTAGACTTGAAACAAAGGCAAACAAAGGAAATTGAAAAAAAGCAACAACAAAATAACAAATAATTAAATAAGTAACAGTTGTCTAAAACTGAAAAAAACGAAAGTCGTCAAAAAAGAAGAACGATTTTTTTATATACAGCATGAAACAAAACAAAACAAAAACTCTTAGTAAAAAGAAAATTTTAAAGGTAAAACGCAAATATTATTTCTATGGCTTTAGGGTAAAAAAAATTATAAAATAATCAAATAAACAACAACTGTATAAACTTGAAATAAAAACGAAAATTCTCAAATTAAAAAAAAGCAAAAAACAACAAAATAAATATTTATATAGATAACAGATTAAAACCAAAAAAAAAATCTTCAAAACAATAAAAAAGGGCCAAACTTTTTTTTTGTATGTTTACTTAATGCTGTCAATGCGGTGTTTTTTTTTACGATAAATGCTGAATTTTCTGTAACTTCCTTGTATTAAACCCTTTTTTGTGATTTGTGTTGAAAACTTCTATCATAATATTTGAGGATACAGGTTTTAATAAAAAAATCTGAATTTTGCTTCGAATTTTAAGAATTAAGAATATTAAAAATTATGTTGGATGGGGGTGTAACCGGGCAAAGGTATGTACAACTTATCAAAAAAATAATTACATGATTACCTGGCGGTGTCTGTAAAAAAATGATGTTCATTTCAACTGTTTTCGACTAATAAATAAAAATAATGAACTGGTTGATATGAAAATATAAAGTATTCTTTACTATACCCCTCTGTGTTCTCACTGCAAAAAAGAAACAATAAAAAAAATCTAGCAAAATAAATAAGAACTAAAAGTTCAGATTTTCACGAAATTATATATATTCACATGACAATACCGTGTCTTTATCAAATGTGATATTTACAAACTACCTGCTACTATATGTACCGAAAAATGACAATAAAACCTTAATTAATGTTGTTGTGAGAATTTAAGTTTATTAATGGAGAGGTATTTAAATGTAATTGATCATTAAGCAATACATTTGAATGTTTCATTTTGTTAATCTCCAATAAATTTAATTTTCTACTTTTTGTGGTTGTATGTAAAATATCAAAATTGTCGTCAAAAATGTGTTTTTCTGTGTTTAAGTGTGTAACATAATTAGAATCTAGACTATTGTTTTTAAACGTTCTTCTATGTTCGTTTATGCGTTTCTTGAAGGATCTGCGTGTTTGTCCAATATAAATTTTAGGACAAGATCCGCATTTCAATCTTAGACACCTGATTTTTAAGATTTTGGTCATTTCGTTTTATTGGTTTTTAAATAATTTCCTATTGCATTGTTAGGTCTGAAAGCTATTTTAATATTTTACATACAGCCACAAAAAGTAGGAAACTACGATTACGACGGATTATAGCAACAAGTGCAGTTTATTTAATGATATTAAGTTCTTTGTTGTAATTTTCTGTTGAGAGTGGCGTATTAAGAAGTCTGTGTATAAAAGAGTGAAATGCAGCCATTTTGTGATTTGAGCTGTTATGTATGACTGTGTCCGTGTGTGAAGGTTTATAGTAAATGGAAAAATCTAATTTGTTTAAAAAATTACTACAATTATCCTGTTCAATTTCGATAGTGAATTTTATACGAATATACATAATCGTATACGATTATACATAATGTGTCAACTGTCCTAAAGCACTGTGCGCTACAGGTTGCGTATAAACGTTATTCTGTTTCCATTCGATTTAACAGCTCTCTTTTTGTGTCTTTTTTTATGCCCTTACCACTAAACCAACGACCGTTGTCGTCATTCCTTAAACAAGGACTAACAATGGACGTGCACAACCACAGTTGGGCGATTGGGAGGGGGCGCTGAAAGCAGCCATGGAAACTGACGTTTAGTAATTTCCGTTCATTTCAATTATAGAAAAAAAGGGCGGTTTATCTTTCCGATCGACTCGGCCATATCATGGGGGGGGGGTCATTTTAATTGAAAACTAAAATTGGCAACGCCGCGCGGTTGGTAATAATATACGACCCGTAAGCAGCAGCACCGATCGGTTTATAAAAGCCGTTGTAAAATTTATCGAACAACGATTTCGTGTCAAACGATAATTTTTCGTACGCACGCCGATCGATAAACAGACCGTCAAAGAGTAATTTTGTTTATTCGACAGACTGGCAGCCGCCAATTGCGCATTTCCTGAACCTAACGCCCGATAATGCTGAAATATTGCAGATTGCAGATTGCAGATTCTCCTCTGTTAGCTAGCAGCAACAGTTACCTACTTCTAAAGTGATACTCAATCCTTCCACATATCACATTTAAGTTAGGACACTCGCTAGAACGTAATTTCAGATTTATCGAAGGTCCTAACTTTCTATTTACTACAAGGTTATGTTTCCTCTTCTATTTTATTCGTATTAATTATTAATCATTTTATTGTCACATATACAAAGTGAAATTTGCACGTATTACATTTAAGTTAGGACACTCCCTAGAACGTAACTTAAAATTTATCGGAGGTTTCAACGTACTATTTCCTACAAGGTTATGTTTCCTCTTCTTCTTTTATTTCATAGGCGAACGTCATTACAACCTAAACGCATTCTTTAGGTCGCTAGGTCACAACTGCAAGGGCGTTCGACCAGTCTTCCAATACAATTAATCATTTCATTTTCACATATACAAAAAGTGACATTTGCACGTATTAGATTTGAGTTTCGGACACTCCCTAGAAATTAATTTTAGATTAATTTACAAACGGATTTTGTGTTGATCAAAAGCACAGTTTTTGGAGTTAAAAAATATGGCCTTGTTCGAAAATAGAGGACGTTCTCGTGAGTTTCGTTGTTGGAAATATTTCTGACCCGCGTTATCTATCTAAAAGGGCGGGTCACGAATAAAGAGGTTAAAGGTCTCGTTGCACTGTGGCGGTGAAAATACTCATTCGCGAGGCGACGTCGTAAAACGAACCGTAAAAATGAGCCCTCGACTTTGATGCCATTGTCGATTTTTGTGTTTTTGCGGAAATATTCATCCCTGTGCTTCATTCCATTGCAGATGCAGAATCAACAATTAACTAAGAAAATAAAGTTTATTTAAGAGTTTTATTCTTTAGCTACATGTGTGTTGCGTTAAGCGTCGTTCGTCGTGCTCTTCTTCCTTTTAGATTACCGGGCACACGCTCTGGATGCAGCAAACCACAAACTACTTTTCTCGAAGATTTCCCCTCTCAGCATTCAGCCAGTCAAAAGGTCCTTCAACTTTTTCAATTATTTTTTGCTCTACACATTTAAAGATTGTTGTAACGGTTCTATTAATGACATAGGCACTCTTCTAATTGTCACCGGACTACTGCAATTAAATTTATATGTTTTTTATATTAATCATGACTGCGCCATATCAAGACAGTTTATTTGAAAATTTTATTTCTTCCTTTTAGATTCCTGGGCATACACTCTAGGCACAGTGGGTCCAACAACTGTGGTTATGAAAGCTTTGGGAACTAGTAGCTTTTGCTAATTTCACTATTTGACTCTCGGAGAGAGTAGTAAAATGCAGATTTGCAATGACGGGGGTCATTAAACAGGGTTGACAACTTAAAGGCTATATATCTTCCAGCAGTCAGATGAACCATAGTTTTTGGAAGTACTTTCCCACATTTTTATATTTTAACACATTTCGACTATTTTTTTTTTTTTACACGTTGAGAATAATAATTTTCTCAAGAAAGACGGGATCGAATCCATTACAGCGTTGTTTCTGTTACGTGTTTTCTTCAAATTGTGTTTTGTGTAAAATACAATCGATCCAAATAGGAATGTTTTTAATCATTTCTTCAAAGTAATCTTCGAAAACATCATTCTCTCCTGATAATATCCCTCTTAGTAATACATCTCCGCTTTCAATGCTGTACAAGTGTAGTAATTATTTTTCCTTCCGCATTTTCGGTATTATCCCTCATTGAAAGGTATGCAAGGTATTTCATGGCATTTTTCTATTGTTAAAGGAATGCTGTCCGCTGGTCCAAGCTCCATTAAAATAATGTCTAGAATAAACTTTTATTAGAATCAGGAGGTTCTGCTGGCTTCGCTGACAATTGACAATGACAATACATGACAATTGTCGTGTAAAAATATATAATTTCGTAAAAATCTGAACTTTTAGTTTTTATTTATTTTGATAAATGGATTTTTATCAAGTAAAAGCCACCCCAGTTCAATTTTTGGAAGAATTATTATTAAGTTTAAAGAAAAAACACAAAATAAATACAAAAACACTTTGTACAAAAACTATAACTATCTATTTATTATCAACAAAATGTACTGTGAAAGTTTTTCATCCATGACCGAAATACTTTTGTCGATTTTGTTGAAGCTCGCTAGATTTGGTACGAATTCCGCTTTACTATTTCTATAACACTCTTATATTTTTCATCTTGTAGTTCTTTTTTGAACACATCGCATAATTGTAATTTGCTAGACACACGAACTCCTGAGTTTCCCGACTTATCCTGTGAATCCATCCGTTTCCGACATAATGACGTTGGCGCGGTGCCAGTCGCTTCCGGTTCAGGTGTCGGCCATAACGATTACATCCTTGTGGTATCCAATTGGCCCTTAAAAATTTATCACCCACCCAGCACAAATCTCGTTGCAGGCAATTACATTATTCCGTCGTCAAAAATACCGGCGGCGTGGTTAGTTTTGGTAGTTCAAATGTACCGACGAGACCCTTGAGGGCGGATAAATGTAAGGAATGATAGGAAAAATACATATTCTTGTTTAATATTAGGTTTAGGAAAAAAGAACATTACACGGCATGTTTTAGCATTCATTTGAAGATTATGCCTAGAAGAATATAGAAATAAGTTTGAAGTTTGAAATAAATTGAAGCAATATCAAATAATTTAGGATCGAAATTCAAATATTCAATGGATGTATAAATATCAGAAATATAAATTAAGAATAATATAGGTCCAAGGACGGAACCTTGCGGTACACCTGATGAGACAGGGAGAAATTCAGAACTTACATTGCCAAGGGTAACTCCCTGATATCTGTTAGCTAAGCAGTTTTCAAAAAATCGAGTCGAAACATCATCGAAGCCGTAGTAACTCATACCGGCAAGTACAGAGTAGAATGCCAGTTTCAGTTACGCTCTGAAGAATCCAACAGCAAGTTTGATTTATAAATAACCGACGCCCAGAAGATTTGTAAATAGTAACAAAAAAAATAGCATCGAAGAAAATACAAAGAATTTTTTAAATAATCAAAAATTAATAAAAAAAAACTATAAAAACCGGCTGATTGATATGAAACGGCATGTAGGTACAAATAACGTTAAAATTTGTATAGTCAAACTACTTTTCAAAAAATATTTTTCAACATGTCAAAGGTGGAACTTCAATCAAACTGTGTACGTAACATTGGTGCCCTTGGTATTGCAAAAAAGAAACAATGAAAGTGATAAAGATTACTTATATACAAATACAATAGTCTATAGTGGAAATGCTTCCTAAAACTTTTTTTTAAGTTGTAAGTTCATTTATTCAAATTTTAGGTTACGATAAAGAAATTGGAATGCGGTTTTAAGTGCGCTTTCTTAGAGATAGGGAAAAAATTGAACTTCATCTGGCAAAAGTAGTATTAGTAGCGACTAATTTTCCATAACGCTCCTCATTCAACTTACAGCATGTGACATGAACGTACACAAAAGATGCGAAGAAAGCGTGCCAAACTTGTGCGGGTGCGACCACACCGAACGTAGGGGTAGAATACAGCTCAGAATCAACTGTTCGGGCAACAAACTCACCATCGAAGGTCGTTTGCTGCAAAATGCTGCGCAACTGTGTCTCTAACCTACGTGTTAAATTGTAGTTCGACAGGGCAGGAACCTGATCCCGATGGACCCGAACGGACTGAGCGATCCGTACGTAAAAACCAAACTGATACCTGGTGATACGGACACGGTGAAAAAGAAAACCAAAACGATCAAGGCGTGCCTGAATCCCGTCTGGAACGAAACCATCACGTTGTGAGTGTTTCAGCGCGCATTCTTTCACACCATTGACGTATCGTTACCGTCTGCAGCGACCTCAAGGCTGAAGACAAAGACCGCAGGTTACTAATAGAGGTGTGGGACTGGGACAGGACATCCCGTAACGATTTCATGGGCTCGTTGTCATTCGGTATATCGGAAATACTGAAGGCCCCCGCTGACGGTTGGTTCAAACTGTTAACCCAAGAGGAAGGTGAATTTTATAACGTCCCTGTGCCTGAAGAGGGGGTGGATTTGGCTACGATCAAAACTCAAATGCGGGTAAGTTTAGAGCTAGAGTCTATCTTATTCTGTTCTGCACTCATCATCTTCTTACTTGAGTGTCAGTTGCAAGTCTTTTTGAAGGACATTCTACCAACGCCTTTTGCTTACCCTCCAGGCGTGTGTAAGTGTTAAACTAGGTCCTCAAACAATCTTCACAATAGACACTTATCATGGCATGGCGAATAAATTCTCGACTTTTTAGAAAACGTCTATAACGAAAAAACCATCGATAACATCGGATAAAGACGTGCCGCATAACATGGGCAAGAAAGACATAATACGAGCCAGCGACTTCAACTTCCTAATGGTTCTGGGCAAGGGTTCCTTTGGAAAGGTGAGGTAAAAAAGCTCTATATTGCGCTTACCTATTGTTATCGGGTAAAACCATTAACAAAACATTTATTCTTACTGGAGTGACAAGGCAGGGATGGGCCACGTATATTCCCTTCTTTCTGATATATTTGTTGAGTGTTGACCGTTTGTGGCAGTGTTGAATAATCGTTTTTACTGTGCGTTTCGAAAAAGTTATTTTACGAGCAAAACAGGTTGTGAAAAATGTCTAGACGAAGTCTGCCTACTGACGAACACGCCAATATTGTTGATAAGGGATATTATTAATAGTGGGGAATCAAAGAAAAGTCAATAGTGACCAGGACCTAATAAAAAGGAAAATATATTGTCTTTGGATATACTGAAAAAGAAGCTAGAAGAAGATTAAACCAATAAAATATAGAATTGCTTATAACATGGGATTTAAATATCGCAAAATAGACAAAAGGCAAATAGTAATGGGATCACACAACTAATTAAATCAATTAGTCTGACGATAGCACTTTCAAATCAAAGAAAGCGCATCATCATAATACATGCCGGGTCAGAAGACAAATTTAAGACAAATATTAGGGATTCCGGCTTGGATTATCATGAGAATACAAGTGCCGAACTTTTTAAAAATTGGTTTCTAAACAATTTTTAAAAAAATATTCTCAATGACAAATGATATTTATTTTGGATAAAGTTACAAAAAAGCGCAACTTTTGGAAGTCCTAAATTCGTATGCAATTAAAACACAGTATGTCTTCCTCCATGTCATTGCATGTGTAATCCCATAGAGCATTTGTGGAATCAAGTCAGAGCAGAAAATGATTCTGCTTAAAATGTCAAAAAAAAATTAAACAACCATGAACATTGATGTTCTGGTCCTTAGTTTCAAAGGTCGTCGAGATGCGAACTTCACCTTTCACCTTGGGCGGCCTTCTTGGAGGTATCGACAAAAGAAAATGGTTTTCCGAACAAACTAGTGCTTGTTATTTTGATAAGGCCATTTATAACTCCCGGACATAAAAGGCCTGAAAGGAAGCAGAACCACCCTAAGTACCCAGTTACGTCATGCCGCGCCACAAGGGACCACTTGATAGGGAACAAAAGATGAAATTTCAAGATAATAAATGGTATAACGAGCTTACCAGATTGTTATCGGGGTTGTTTAATTTCGTTTTACCCAATATATTCAAATCCACAAAACGAGCTTGTTCTTTTAATATTGAAAAAACCAAAAAAAAACACATTGGTAGAGGAAAAGCATCCATGTGTATGAAAGATGATTTTTATTGGGGAAAAATGACAAATCAAGTGCGTCGATCCAACGCAGCATGACAACAACATTGTTTTCCTTTACTTTACGCGAGAGCGCTTCGACTTTGAAAGTTCTAACCTTAATTGCGTTTGTTGACATTGTAGCTGAGACAAGAATTAAATTTAAGTAAATTAATTTAAATGTATTTAATTATTATTTATTAGGACGAACAGCTAACTGAATTTAAGGTAGTTTTGTTAGTTAGTATGTTTATAAAGTGATTTATAAACATAATTGTATTTTTTTTAAATTTTACTGGCGCATGCACCATTTGTGTTTAGAAGGACGAGACGTGAGCTGGAATATAGAATATAGAATCTTAAAATTATGTTAATTAATATTGCTGGATTAAATTTAGGTATTTAACTAAAAGCAATTATCTCATTTGGGGTAAATCTAGCCTGTAACAAACATATAATAGTCATGCGTCGAGATCCCAGCGTAGAATAAATGTTATTTTAGGTTATGCTAGCGGAACGCAAAGGTACCGACGAACTGTACGCGATAAAAATCCTTAAAAAGGACATTATAATCCAGGACGACGACGTAGAATGCACCATGGTCGAAAAACGGGTGTTGGCGCTTTCGAACAAGCCACCCTTCCTAGTCCAATTGCACTCTTGCTTTCAAACGATGGTACGCGGGTCCTGCATGATCCGCCACTCAATAATCGAGCGTTCTATTGCAGGACCGTTTGTACTTCGTTATGGAATACGTAAACGGTGGCGACCTCATGTTTCAGATACAACAGTGCGGCAAATTCAAAGAACCGGTCGCCGTGTTAGTTAATATATTCGGCTCATCTTTTAACGGCTACACGCGATGTTTTCCAGGTTCTATTCGTCGGAAATCGCCATAGGTCTGTTCTTCCTGCACAGCAGGGGAATCGTTTACAGGGATCTGAAGCTGGACAACGTCTTGTTGGACCAAGACGGCCACATCAAAATCGCCGACTTCGGGATGTGCAAGGAGGGCATCTCGGGCGACAAAACGACCAAAACGTTTTGCGGAACTCCCGATTATATCGCGCCCGAGATAATACTCTATCAGCCTTACGGTAAGTCGGTGGACTGGTGGGCCTACGGAGTTCTGCTCTACGAAATGTTGGTCGGTCAGCCACCGTTCGACGGCGAAGACGAAGAAGAACTATTCGCCGCCATAACGGACCACAACGTAAGCTACCCGAAGGGCTTGTCCAAGGAAGCGAAAGACGTGTGCAAAGGAGTGCGTCGGAGCGGGACCAGGACGATTCGAAAAGCTCTAAACGCATTGTTTCAGTTTCTGACGAAGAATCCCAACAAACGGCTCGGGTGCGGCAACCGGGGCGAGGAAGACGTGAGGGGACACGCGTTCTTCAGGAGGATCGACTGGGAGAAGATCGAAAATCGAGAAATTCAGCCGCCCTTCAAGCCGAAGATCGTAAGTCGTTGGTGCTCCTTGTTACCTCTAACTACTAACCATAGACTGTCTACCCCAACTGATGGAATCGTGAAGGCGTCATCTTTGAATTTCCTCTTGATTCTGACCTAAGGTGTCGGTGTGCTGTCAAGAACATTGTTATACATTATTCTTGTGTTCTTTCATGCGAGTTTCAACTGGTTTATTATTATATGCGCAGTTTTTGTCGTCATTCTGCTCAAAATATCATCTGCTGGATGTTTAGGTTATCTTCTTCATGCTGCGGTGGCTAATCATTTGTTTGACGATGACTGTGTTGTGCTGCTGCGTCTTCAGCAATTAGGACATTGTTTCATCCAGAAATAAAATTACTCTTCATTTGTTCATTCGAGAATGAGTTAAAGGGACATAAAGGTATTGCAGTGTCGGGTCTCTACGTCTCAATATGGCAGTTGCTCTATTGGTTCCAGATGATTGGCTCAAGTGTAGTCCATCCACTTATTGAAAGAAGTGTTGGTTACTTGATAACAAATTATGATCACAACGTTCAAGTAAATCCATGATACGTTCTTCATTTGTTTGTCCTGTCTGATAGTGTTATGTCCTTCGTCAGTAGTGCCTTAATTATTTCAAAAACCAATCGGATTAATCGTTTTGGTGGCATAATGATTTTATAGGAAAAAATTATTTCTTTGAACCTTCGTTGTCTTTATTTTGAGTGACTGCTGTTTGCTGATGAGTGAATGAGTGACGTCTTTGTTGGTGCTCCTTGCTGTTTGCTGATGAGTGAATGAGTGACGTCTTTGTTGGTGCTCCTTGTTGCCTCTAACTACTAGCCATGGCATTTCTACTCCGACTGATGGATTCTTAAAAGCATCTTCTTTGAATTTCCTCTTCAACCAGCGCTGCTCCCTGAATGAATTATTTTTGATTCTGATGAAAGGCTCGGTGTGCTGTCAAGAACATTGTTATACATTATTCCTGTGTTCTTTCATGCGAGTTTCAACTGGTTTATTATTTTGTCGTCATTCTGCTCAGAACATCATCTGCTGGTTGTTTAGGTTATCTTCTTCATGCTGCCATGGCTAATCATGTGTTTGACGATGACTGTGTTGTGCTGCTGCGTCTTCAGCAAATAGGTCGTTTCTTCCAGAAATAAAATTACTCTTCATTAGTTCGTTCGAGAATGATTTAAGCAGTGGCGTCTCTCTACGTATCGACGTCGTTTGAACAGAACATCTAAAGATGACTTCTTCATTCCAGAAGATTGGCTTGGTTGTTTTGATCCACTTGTGAAAAAAAGTGTTGTTTACTTGATTGCAAATTAAAGATACACCATTCAAGTAAATCAATGACACCTTCTTCATTCGATAGGTTTATCCTGCCTGATAGTGTTGTGTGCTTTTCAATAGGCCCTTAATTATTATTTTTATTATCTGTATCATCGGTAAACGGCAGAAGGGTTGCTGAATTGTAAATGCCGTTGTCGTTGACTGACTCGGTTAATCGGTTAGTGGTTTTGGTGGTACAATAAGGGAACTGGAAAACACTATTTGTTTGAACCTCCATTGTATTTATTTTGAGTGCTTGTGGCTGATGTATAACTTTTTTGTTGGTGCTCTTTGTTATCTGTAACTACTAGCCATAGCCTGTGTACTCCAACCAGCGTTGCTCTCTATGAATTATTTTGACCAAAGGACTCGGTGTGCTTTGAACAACTTTATTATTCATTATTCGTGTGTTCCTTAATGCGCGTTTTATTATCATTTTACACGCAGTTTTTGTCGTCTTTTTTATATAATATCCTCTGCCGGTTGTTTCGTCTTGTTCTCCATAGCTGCCTGGACATTTTAAATGACGTGTTTGCGTATCTGTGGTTGATCAAATGTTTTATAACGACTTTGTGTTGTGCCGTAGCGTCTTTGGCAGAAATAAAATTATTCTTCGTTTGTTAGTTTGGGAATCATTTAAAGCAGCAAGTTCTTGTTCCCAGAGGATTGGCATGGTTGTTTTGATAGAAAGATGGTGATCCCAAGGCTAGTCCGTCCGCGTGTGGAAAAGTGTTGTTTACTTAATAACGAATTCAAGTAAATCCATGATGGCTTCTTCAATCGGTAGTTCTTAAATTATTTTAAGAACTTTCCTCCTTCTTGCCAGAGCTTGCTGGAGCTGGTCTTTGGTCTTCAATCTTCAGTCATCGAAGTGATTCTTGTGCAGCCTACCTTTCTTTTTATGTTAAAAAATATCAAAGTGAAACATAATTCCCGGGGTATTCTGTTGTAGAAACACAGAAAAGACGTCAGCAACTTCGACAAGCAGTTCACTTCGGAGAAAACGGACCTGACGCCCACGGACAAGCTCTTCATGATGAATCTCGATCAAACGGAATTCATGGGTTTCTCGTTTCTGAATCCCGAATTCGTTCAGCATGTCTGAATCGCGGCGCGTCTCAAAACACTTACCGAAAAGAAAATCGCGATAGAAACGGGAAAAACGCGATTGGATCAATAAACAACACATATCTTTCAAGATACCAATAGGGACGTTTTTCTATAACGGTATTGACTTTGAATGTGTGTCATAAAATTGTTTCTATGAATGTTATCGATTCGGACATTCCGTCGTTTCGCGGATTACCTCAGAATAAACGTCGCGCAGAAACGACAACGAGAGTCGAAGTAGGGTTCCAACTGTCACTCAAAGTCAAATTTGACCAAAAATAGATTTACAAAAAGGCGTTTTAGAACAAAAACCATAATTAACCGTACTCTACCAAACCCACACAAAAAAATTAAAATTTTGAATAACGCCCATTTTTTGGGGATTCAATGAACGAAGGCTAATATATGATTCAGCTTCATATAAAACGCTTTTGTAGCCCAAAAGCAACATGAAAAATTGAAGAATAAGATTCAAAGGTTTGAAATTATAGAAATTATAGAACTAGAGCAGAAACTTTCATTAACAAAAACGCTCCCATAGTACTGGGCTGTTCCAAATAAATTGAAAAGTATAGCTTCGCAAAATCGAAATCATACAGGGTGATTCATGAAGATGGTGTACTAGAAGATGTATACATTATTTTGAATATGAGTATAAGTATATATGAGCAGCCTTGAGTACCTTTTAAAAATATTTTTTCTAAATGGAACAGCCTATATATTGTTGCATTTAATATAGGGTACCTTGAGCAAAAGTTTTCCACAATTTTATTTGGAATCCAAATATGCAATAACATACAGGGTGTTCCCTGTATATTTGATTTTTTTTACAAAACGTGCACTAGCTACTCTTACGTGGGTGATTCTGTTTCCTTTCTACCTAAAATTTCTAAGATTTAATTTCACCGCATTTATCCACAATACCGACGTAAAATACAGTACGTAGATGGCGCTCTAGTCATATAAATTCGAAACCAAAAATTCGTTAAATTTTATGAGGTAATTAGTTTAGATTTTCTCTGAACGACCAATTATATTACATAAAAAAAAAACAATACAAGACATTAAAAATCACAAATAAAACACCCATATACTCATACCAAAGTTGAAGATATTAAAATAAGTCATTTTTGATAAACATCTACATGAGAGTATAGTGGCAATTGAAATAATAATAATACTCGACGAAAAATTTTCCAAGACCAACAAAACTTCCCATTTTTTTTCCGTCACGACTACTAAAAATTTAAGCGATTAAAGAAAGTTGCTTAACAACTTGGTTAAGCTAGAATTCACGCTTCAAACTATAATCGCAATAGCATTGCGATTACGTCAATGCACGTGACGTCAAAGACTCGACTGTCGCATCTGTGCGGCTTTTGTTCTGTGACAATTCGAGGAGTAAATTTCACAATGTATTTCGCTAAGGGGATGTTTATACGTCAAGCGTTGACCTGTATGTGTCGGAAACATTTTTTAAGAACCCAAGATGGCAGAAAAAACCATACCACGGACTATACTAGGCTACACAATCATATTATATACGCATGATTTTTGTTTACTTCCTGTGTTAAAGCCGGCCACAGGGACAGTTCGGGAAAAGGGAGATCAGTTAAGGCAATTGAAGGAAAAGATTTCGAAACTTATTCGACAGGTAAAGATGACACAATCGATTTTAAATTAAAAATCAAGGAACGTGTCTCTGTGCCCGGTCGGCTTAGATCTTTCACACCGAATTGAGCGTCAAACTCGCATTGTGAAATTTGTTCTGGACCCAAGTATTGGTATTTCCAAGTAGACGCGTAGGATATTTATATTATTGTAGCAATAACACATTCCTTAGTTATAGCGGCATGGCAATGTGGTCTCAAACTCTAAGCTTACGATAGAGGGAAAGGGTCCGTTTGTACACTTTACTCGCAACTCTTTTCTTATATATACATATAAACAAAGGGTGTTAAAACTTGGTATAGAGTTTCTTATACAGTTCTTCCAGCCATGTTCTCCACGAAATGGCGGTCAAAGCCTGTTATATATACACTTTTACATATATTTAGAATCTCCGCCGGCATTTCGGACAACTGGTCGCCTTCACCGATAGGTGGGGGTCACCCTTCGAATCTCATATAGGGTAAATTTTTACGACATTTTTCCCATGTGAGTGATATTAGTCATTTCTAGTTAACATAAATATTATATAAAGTCTGTTAATGTTGCTTTCATCTTGAACTTCAGAAATGAGCAAATAAAAGCGAATATTTTAATACTTCCTAGCGTTAGGACTAAAGGTAAGTCGTAGGGAATATGTAATCACTCTTTTATGCAGACACCTCTTTCAAAAATTTAGAAAACCGTAAGTCCTGTTGAAAAATAGAAGTAAGGTAAAGTGTGGCTCCATCTAGGAGCAGAAGATATACATACATCATTTTGTTCAAAACATTTTTAAATTTTTTAAATGTTCGATTGACCTTCTCCATTTAAAGCAAAACATCTGTGGGGTGACTGGGTTGCAAGTCCTATACCGTCACAGTAGATACAATCTCAACTATTCTTAAATTACTTTCAAAAAACTTGTTTAAGCCTATAAAAATTAAAAAGTAGCATATTTTACAGCCTTTAGACTATAAAAAGTGTTTTTAAATCGTTCAATGTAAAGTAGGAGCAAAGACTTGTCCAATGGCAGAGACATAATGAAAATTAATTAATGAATAGGTCAAATTTGGGAAGGTGGTATTTATCCCTTTAACTCTGTCAGGTCCTGCTAGTATTAATAATAGAAAAAAAAAACAAGTAGAAAAATCTACAAACTTGTCTATTTCTACTTGTAGCATTTTAATGTTCTATCAAACACCACGGGTAAAATAATTATTTTCTAGGTTAGGGTCATCGGCATATTATAAATCTGTCGTATTCTGTCGAACCAATTTTATTAAAAAAATATTTTCATAGATTTCTTAAAGTATCACTTTTTTGCAGTTTTCTTTATTAAATTACTGCAAGAAAATCGGATTCCGATATAATTGGTAAAAAAAGGTGTCAGCATAAAAATATAAAAAGTGCCAATATACATTTAAACGTTTTTATCAAATAACTTCTATAAATTAATGAAAAAAAATCACGTGAATGAGCCAAACAGTTGTAATAAACTAAAATGAAACTATATAAAGTTAAGGTATAAAAACGCTTGTACAATCATGACGTTTCGTTCGACGGAACGAAGGTAGAAATTTTAAGATCTGGCAACATTAATAATTTCTTTTCTATGCTTAATACTCTTTTGCCGTTACAATATTATTCGAAAATGGCAGGCAGCTTTTTTATCGTGTAATTCTTAAATTTATTTCCTTCGATGCGATTCATTTATAACCGTTCCAGTTAAGGTGGTAACAATAGTCATCATATCTAACATTTATCGTGTGTGAACGTGAGTATATGAAAATGACTGTTCTGCACATCTTAAACGGAACGTAATATTGTATGTAAAAATAAGTTTTTTCTTTTAAAATGGGATCCACAACTTTTTTGTTTTTAAGATTAAAGAAACTTCTGATGAACGCACGAAACCCCGTATAGTAACAGAAGTAATGGTGGTGTGCAATAATACCAATTATGGTGTAATAATAGTTTTAAGTCCCGTTCATTGAAAACGAAGAAGTTGTCGATTCTATATGATTAGAATACTCGGAGTCTGCTTTCTGCGTCACGAAAGAAATGTTAAAACTGCTCAGTTTTAATAATATCAACTCTGGAGTTTTAAGGTTCTTTTCGGAGTTTTTTCAAAAGCAAACTTTCTTCATTTAGGCATTCGTTTAAGTGATACCGCGTCAGTTTCGTTATTTACTTTAATGTGTACATAACAATTGAGCGTACCTCATGTTCTGCCATAAAGATCGTGATTTCTGTTAACTTATTTGTTTTATTATCAGGGTTATATTGCAATATTTATATAACTGTTATTTATTAGCTTGGTCGTATACTTCGTTAAATTTTTAATTTTCACATGCATATTATATGAAATTCTAGTCACATTTTATATTCATATTGTTATCTAGTCATACGTTATAAACTTTGCCCAAAGTGAGCAAACTCGTTTTTGATGTATGGTGAAACCAAATATACTAAACGAATTTCAAATATAATGTAACCGCATAATATAGTAGAATAATGCTGCGTGTTTTAAAAAGTTATTACTCCACTGTTTGTCCTAATCTCTGTGATCTTATTTTGTAAACTATGTATTATTATCAATCAAAACGTTTAAAACGGTTCACTTGGGTAATGAGTTTTTATGTTTTATATCTTATAGATATTTTTATTATTGTATTTATAATGTTGTAAATCTTCAAGTACTTCTAAAGAACTAATTTTAAATTACAACTTACCTTCCGAAATACGTTGTTTGAATTTATGGTCAATGGTATCTTTGATCTCCTCATCTCCTCTCATTCAAATGACGCTCGTCATATCGGTTACAGCCAGCAGTTCAAATATGATAACGCAAAACCATTTAAGCGGAATCGAAACTTCTAGAACATAGTAGCATATTCTTGTTTAATTTTTCCAACTAGGAACAAATTTGCCAAGGACACTCGTCCGTTGAAGGTCAGCGCACAAAAACAGTTTGCAACTGTGACGTCACAACCTTTTTTTCAGTGGTAAGGTAAGTGCCACGGACCACGGAAGGAAAGGACATTGAAAAATATCGTACGTACTATGGTCGTATGGTATGAGCAAATTCTAACCTGTGGTGAAAACAATGACTAATAATTGTTTAAACAATTAAAACCCGTATATTGTTATGAAGTGGAACTAAACAAAAGGTTGATTCTCACATTATCGCCGCAGAGCGTTAGGGTAAGAGAAATTACTGGTTATGGACGTTTAGGAGCTAAAAATAGTTATTTTAGAGAATGTTTTCTAATGGCATTTCCTGTAATCTTCCCTTTAGCTGCATGAGTGTGACTAGGGATTCCGGCTCTGATGAACTACTGCCTGGTAGGATGGCAAGAGAGCCTGTTTTACTTAATGTGTATGACATGTATAAAATTAACGAATATACCTCGAATATAGGTCTCGGGGTCTTTCATTCAGGTTTGATTAAATTTATAAACCGAGTCGTTCTGCTTTTAGAACTATTAATTTTAGGCGTCGAAATTTACAATACCGAATTTGCGTACGGGGGCCATCAGTACCCTTGTACTGGCATATTTGAAATTAATCCTCGGGACGAAAAAGATCTTGGAGAACAGTTTAGGTTTAGGTATGGTATCAAAAGTGAAACCCTAGTTGAATATCAAACGTTGCTGTGTTCCAGACAAACTATCCAAGTTGGTTACACGGATTTTACGGAAGAGGACGTTAAAAAAATTGTTAACGAGCTAGGCAAAGAATTTCGAGGCGACAGATATCATTTAATGAACAACAACTGCAACCACTTCTCGGGATCTTTTACCAAGGTGCCATTCCGTCCCATCGTATGCGCCCGTTGCTCATAAAATTCATTTTCAGATTTTGTGTGGTCAAGATATACCACCGTGGGTCAACCGGCTAGCTTATTTCAGCAGTTGGGTGCCGTTCCTCGAACGCTGTTTGCCCAAAGAGTGGCTGCAGCATCCGCTGAACTGTAGGCAGGACTCCACGTGTTCGGAATCGTCGACGCCCTATTAACACCATTGCCAAATAATAATAAAATGTGTCGTTTTTAGAGTGAAAGTTACTAATTCGTTTAAAGAATTCGATCTATATTTTGGAAAAACCCAAATGTGCATGTTATAGAGGTAAAGGAATGTGGACTGCAGTCGTAAATTTCGAGGATGGATGGGCCTAATTTGTTGTTGATTTTTTATTTCAGTTCTTATGTTTTCGATTTGATTGCTTCATAACACGACCCTTCGAGAGGGTTTGTTTTTTGGTTTATCTCCTTTACCAATTTCTTGATATACACAAGTACAAGTATTAAAATATTATGTAGATGATAGTTGGTATTGTTGTAGCTATTTATATTTCAATTGATCGTGTGAAACCCCCTAAGGAAGCACTTTGCGAAAGGGTAAGTGTGATAAAGTCTTTCGTTTCATAAAAAAAAAAAAGAAACCAGTGGGGTAGTCGTTAAATTTCGTTTAGAAATGAGAAACGGGAAATTAGAGAATCTTTAATTGATTTAATCAGTGGCGTGTCTAACTTTATTTAAAAAAAAAAAAACCTCCACTGCACCACTGGTTTTCATTCCTCCAGATTTTTATCGTATTTTTTTTTACTCACCATATTGTTGCTTTGTAACACTAACTCTGTATGGTATAAATCTATTTAAAAATAAAACGAACGTAATTCACGCGCCGACGCTAAGGGGTTTGAATATGGCGCGAGCGTCCCATATTTCAATTTTCATGATAATAAAGGTAATTTTATTTTTTATTGCCTTTTTTCCTTTCACGAAAACGCAGCGAAATTTCCAAACTTTATTCCTAGTAGAATTAGAGCATACACCCGAAATAAAAACACAATATTCGTAACACTGAAAATATAAACAAATGATATATATACAATGTTAATATAAACTTTTCTATTTTAAAATAAACGTATCCACTATGAGCTAGCGTAAACGGAACTCGAACCAAACGATCAAGAAATGTGGACTATTCACCATTACATTTTTAAATATTTACACACGCCAATTTCTTTTGATTATCGATTATTGAGGAATCAGTCTTCTGCGGCGATAAATTTTATTCAATGGTGTAACAAAAAGACTACTTCCGATCGCCGAAGGCGGGGGGTGGGTGTGAGGGGTGATTTTGGTGTAAGTATTTTAAAGTGGAATGGCCCAGAAAAAGTAATTGATCTTTATACAATTTGTTGAAGTTCAAATTAGTTGGAATAAAATGTCATCCAAACGTTTAACGTGGGCGTAAATTCCGTTCTTTTTTTTGTTCTGATTGTTGGTATTTTGAGATACAGTCTGTCTCAAATTTATTCTTACTTGAGTGGCAAGGCAGGAGTGGGTCATATATATTTCTTGAGTGTGTGGCAGTGTTGAATAATTGTTTTTACTGTGCGTTTTGAAAAAATTAAAAGAATCTAGAAGGAATAAAATAGAGGATCTATTCAACAAGCATCTGTAAAAGAAACCTGTCTACTTACAAAAATGCCAATATCGTCGATAAGGGATATAACTAATAGTGCAGATTTGAAGAAGAGGATTAGACGTAGTGATTATCAAACTCAGTCGAAGTGTTATAAATTTTATACACGAAGAAGATTGAGACAGACTATAACACCCATTGGTTTTGTACGACAAATCAGATAATCCAAAATAGACCGATCAAGTCATCCAGAATTGAAATGCAACTTTATAAACTACTTGATTTTGGTCACTTACGATTATCGCATATTGTCTTTGCAAGGTGAAAATTATAACGCAAAACGTGTTCATTTTGGAGATTACGTGCACACCAATTGGAAGTGTTTGTCTTTGTAACTTGTCCTCTACAAAGCCAAACAATGGTGGGAAAAAGACATTCGAAAGTCACATGCGTAGAATTAAAAGGAATGTATTCCAGCACAGCATAAAACGAGCATCGTTAGAGACAAATGAAAATTTGAAATGTCCAAAACAATTTCTAAAAATGCAAAAGCTAATGCCATAATCTTGGTTAGTATCCAGTATCCCAAGGTAACCATTTTACAGGACGAAGGGGTTTCTAACTTGAAATGCGTCTACTTTTGTTGATTTTTCGTGGAAAAAGTGACTTTTTGAACGCAAAATGTGTTTTTATTACTATTACGAAGACGTGCCCTGAATTTGTATTTGTAGATTTTACGTAATTTAACTATTTAAAACGGAATGATTAAAATTTTAATGTTGTTACATTGTTAATTGTTTTGTGCCACCTTACGTGGCATCAACTTTTCAGATGATTCTTGTGGTCTCTGCCTCTCTCTGAGTTGTTGACTATGTTTTAATGATCGATAAACCAAAAAAAGAGTGCGGAAAGGTTCAACAAAGAGGTAAATCTGATTCCGAATGCAGAGGTTAAACTTAACCGGTTGGTTAAGTTGTTAACTGAGATGTTAACCTTCGTCGTACCGTGCAACAACTCAATTTTTCTTATATCTTTTTAATAACTTTACACAAGGGTTCCGCAATTTTGATTAGTCACGATTATGCGCAATACAGTCAGTATCAGATGGTCTCAGACATTTTTGATTTTTGAAATCATTACGCTAGCGTGAAATGTTACACAATAACTGATAAAATAAATATTCGCAAACCAAATAAATTAACCGATTTAGAGTTAGAACGATTATTGAATGACGATCTCAATGATGCTGACATAGAACTCTGTGGTAGTCAGGAAGATAGTGATGATGTTCCGGAAATGAGATTTTGAAGATGATATAATAGAAGCAATAAATAACGGTGGTGCTCTAATGAATGTCTGAAGATGTGATTATGGAAGACGGAAATGACAGTGGTGCTGTGAGTAGTGTAATAAAGACTGACGATAGTGAAAAAATCTTAGAAGAAGGTAGGTTATTTTATCGAACCAAAGATAACTCAAAACTTAGACAAAAACGACGAAATTTGCAAATATAATTAGGAAAAAGCCTGGACTAAGTCAACACAGTATCAATATTGCTTCAAAACTTGATTCAGTTAGACTGTTTCTGACAGACGAAATTATAGAAATAATTGTCATTGCATACTAATGATAAGGCAGAACATGTAAAGTTATCGAATTATATATGGCATTTTTCACTAATAGTACCTATCCCTGTCCAATTTTTCAGACTTTCAAAATTTGGAATGAAAAACACCCAAATCAAACACAACCTCTACAACACATATGGAAACCAACAGATGCTGTTGAAATAAAGCCATACATTGGCCTCATTTTTATCTTAGGCGCCCCTCAAGCTATACAACAGAAAAGAATCAAGGCGTAAGAGTCGTCTTAGATCTTGTCGACATCTAGGAACCGGATATGGCATAAGCACAGATAATTTCTTTACAAGTTTGTCCCTAGCAGATAAACTATTAGAGAAACAAATGACACTTTGACAGGTTTGACATGATACTAAATGCATTTATTTTATGGAGTGCAAAATTTCCAGATGAAAAATTAAAAAGCAAAGACAGCAGAAGAAAATTTCTTTTGGACTTGGGAGAGTCATTGATTGGGGAAAATGTTATAAGAAGATTTAAAACAACCAAGAATTCCCAACAGTGTCGAATCATATGTGCTAGAAATGTTTCCACAATTGGAAAAGCACCACAAAATCTATTCCTAAGAACCTGAACGACCTGTTTCTGGACGATGTTATTTGTGCAATAGAAACAAAGGCAACAATGTTGTGATCGAAAAAAATTTGCATGCACTGACCGTAGTGTAAAACATATAATTTGCAGATTGTTTGGAAAAACGTAAGAATTAATATGAGTAGAGCAGTTCGTCTAACTTTTTTGAGAATTGTTTATTTTGTTCAACTTTTTCAATAAATATAATATGCATTATACATATTTTATTTACATTAACTATTTCATTTTGTTGTCACAGTGTATATCTACCAGAATTGTCGCATAAAATATCAGAAAGCGTTCAAATTAGAGTGGGGTACAATTGTATCATCCCATGGTGTTCTGCGTAACATTTAGACCCCAGTACGACGATGGCTAATTAAACTATTTATCACGTAGTTATGAAAATTTGCATATTGTTACATTGTTAATTGCTTTTTGCCACCTTACGTGCCGTATCACACCAGCAGCAACTTTTCACATGACTCCTGTGATCTCTGTCTGTACTCGGCATCACGCGAAAAACCTCCAAGCATTAAAGTGAGTTGTCGACTATGTTTTAATGATCGACAAAGCAAAAAAAGAATGCGGAAAGGTTAAACAAAGAGGCAAATTTTGATTCCGAACGTAGAGGTTAAACTTAACTGAAGAAACGTCAACGTAAGTTCGATTTACAGTGTACCAACACAAATATCAAGTTGGTAACTTGAGATGTTAATGTTGGGCTCGGCTTTGAAGAACACAGGTCAGACTGAATCTCGTTTATTAGTATCGACAACAGCCTTAGAGGTTTACGAATGCCTTAACTATAATATTATTTCGAGGAATAATTAAATAGTCATCTATTCTAATAAAATATGATAATAAAACTTTATACCATTTTAAAACAAACCGTTAGTGGGAAAACCGTAAAACAAACGAAATAAATAAATATAAATTATAAAATATATATAATAATTTTTTTCTTTTTGTTGAAGAACGCGCTGACCGATACAACCGCGATAGACTTAATTGACTTGTATCATTTTCGCACAAATAATATGGATATATATTACAAACGAGAAAATTCGCTAAAAACAATATACACACGAGGGGAGACGAGCGAAACAAAAAAAAATAAGTACCGTGCCGTTAGCGCTAATAACATTTAAATGTCGTTTATATTAATTATTGTTTGAATAAGATTTTTCTTTCTAAATCTTGAGGTAACTACTCAGTCCCGATAAATAAAGTGTCGATCTGGTGTGACAAAAATTGCGTGAGCCGACAACTATCGTACTGGAAGACGAAATTGTTTTTTTTTACGCATTCGCTAAGCGAAGGACACCTTAAGCATCGATCAAACGAAATCCGCTTAACTGTCGTAACTCGAGCTGTTGTTGTGGTGGTCGGCCTGCGGAGAAGGCGGAGTCGACAGATTCGAACTGTTGTTGCTGGCTATCGAGTGACGCGGACTGCCTCTGTTGTCCCCGCCCTGCAGGAGAAACAAATCGGTCAACGATCGTACCGTAAGTAGGTCGATGCCCGAAAATCTCGCGTTAAATACCGCCGCGTCCCAGTTTTTTCTTTACCATTTTGTCCCAGTGATGCGTTAATGCACCACCTATCCTACGATTTTTTTTGTTACATCCAGGAAATATTTTTGCACATCCTTTTAGAAATTTTATTATTATCACATTTTCAAATAAATCCACACTATTAAAAAAATATATTTTGGATTTGCATTGCCTTTTTTGTTAAGTCTATAGCACGTAATTACATCGCAGAAAACATACATTGCCAATACTATATTGATTATGCTTTATTTTTTGAAAATATTTACTGGTGCGTGGATGCACCACTGGTTTTATCTGTGAAACAAAACTTTGCTATTACAAGTCTAGACCAGTCAGCGCATGTAGAATAAACGTCCAACAATTAGCGTGTTCTTTAGTATTAGTTTGTGCCTTGTGCAGTGAAGTAAAATATGGCATTTCCGAGGTATTTGACTCAAAAAGAATTAGAGGCGGCTATGGAGGAGATCGTGATGGATGAGAGCAATAACAATAAATTACATTGCTTTGCGACTTTTAAAAACTGATAAAACAATTACTCAAAGAAATTTTGCACCTGCCATAGATGAAGTGCGTTATGATGATCAAGGTCACATCATGATTGTTCATGCTAATAAAGCTCGAAGGAGACGTAGAATCTGCCACAGCCACACAATTTACGTTTGTAATAAGTGTAATGTGCATTTACAAACTTCATGCTTTGGAAAATATCACCAAAAATGAAACCAGTGGTGCGCTCACGCACCATAAAATATTATGCGTTTTCTTTGTATCAAATCAGGTTCTAATTGTAAAATAATCTACTTTTAGTTGTTTTTTGTCGAATTTGAACTTTCTTTTGTATATTGATGTATAAATTATATGTTACATCTTATGTGTCCCAAAACATTATTTAATGTTTTTTCCCAGTGGTTCGTTTACGCACCAGTATTTTTTTGTATGTTTCGAGTTTTTGTTTTTATTTTGACACATGTAATGTATTCTTAAGTGTAACAAAATAAATAATTTCAGAGCAAAAAAGTATTTTTTTATTTTTTGCCTGGAATAATATGGGTTGAGAGACTTTTGCAGGCTACGGTAATACTATTTGCGAAACGTCAGCAGGTTCGATTAATACCGAGTTTGGGCACTATAATTGCGATTTAACAAAACTTTACAATATTACGTCGAAAAATTAACTTGGAGGGGGGAAAAAATTCTGTTATCTATACTAACGGCTAAATAGGCGGCCGTGGTCAGTATATGGGCATACGCGACCCAATGCTGTTGTTATAACAAGACCAAAAATATAGTGCATTCATTGCTTTGACGTTTTAAGTATTTTACAGTACCTTAACCGCGGACCTTCGCGGTTGGTAAAACCCATCCCAACAGATGTTTATTCTTGCCATAGATTGACCGTAACGGATATTTCTATAAACTTGAAATTTTCTCGAGCTTTGGCCCTGCGAGGTTGCTTTCACTGCATAGTTCAAGTACCTCTATTTATCTTTCAGGTAAGTTTAAAAATAATCATTTTAGTCTTATGTGTCTGTCGATTAACACCACAAAGATAAAGGTACGTCATAAGAATACAGATAAATATTTATTAGAATCTTACAATTAAACATTTTTTGAAGGTTCCTGTATATTTACCCGGATTGAGATGATTTGGTCCGAGTTGAAAGCGCATATAAGAAGAAATAACACTGCACCAAAATTTAGTGATAGTACTATAAACATAATTCGGCAAGAGATGGCTAAGTAATCAGTAAAAAGCTGGTCTGACTGTGAGAAACGAGTAATAAAACAAGGAAATATTTAACAAGAACGATTAGGAGCGGTAGGTGACGCCAGTATACCTAAGAGCCGGAGTAACAGAGCTCATTTCACATATACTGCAACTCCGGTACAAGCATGCAGTATGTTTTTTGACCAAGAAATTTTAAAAATTATTGTAAAACACACAAACGAAGAAACAAATAGAACAATATCAGACTACAATAAAAAAATATATTCAAATAAAATCTCATCATAAAATAGTAGATATGGATGAATTAAAAGCCACCATGTATTTATCCGGCTTACAAAAGATAAATCACACTAATTATGGCCACCTTATGGCATGTCTCTCTCCAGAATGGCTGTAAACAGATTTAAATTTTCGCAAATATTAGAGAAATTTGGGATAAATTCATAAATAAATATCAGCCTGATTCTAAATGCACTATAGATGAACAATTGCTCTCTTTTTGTGGCAAATGCCGATTTAGCATGCTAAACCAGATAAGTACGGAATTAAAATTTAAACCTTAAATGGTTTTACAACACACTATCTATTCCATGATATCCTTACAGTGCCATCTTATAATGTCAGAAAATTGAGATGGTTAACGCGCTATTCTTATGGAATGCTAGACCAAGCTAATATAAATTCGTTATTTAATTTTAAACCAATAACTAGTGAAAAGATATCTCGTAATAATTGTATTTTAGATTTATCTTTATCTGTCATTACGTCGTTATTGATAAGACTTCAACTACCTACTTCGCAAACGACATTACGCTCTCAAATAGAAGCTCAGAAAAATTTACCTGAAACTGAAGACCCTAAAGATTTAATGGCTGAAAATACACTAGAAAAATATAAACGTTGTTGATATTGTCCTAGTTCATAGACCGAAAAACATGTTATAAGTGTTTAAAATATGATCATTCTATATGTAAAGAAAATACAGCTAAAATTTGTATGCAATGCAGCATGAAATGATCTCAATATTTTGTTGCGTTTAGATTAATAAAAAATAAATGACTTCGTATTGTTAATAAAGCATTATCATTTTAAAAACACTGAACTTAATTTAACTAAATAAATATATTTTTGTAATTAAAGCTAAATGAGGTAATAGTTTTAATTTGTTAATTCCCCGTAAATATGTTATTTTGAGTAAAATACCTTATTTTAAGTTTTTTTATGTAATTTTTGTAGACTTTTTCAAAATTTTTAAGAATACTATTAATTATGTTGCCAACTGTTACCGTTGACTACCATTGGTGAAACGCGTCCGGATCCAAAATACAAAAAGCTGCGACGCGGCGACCTTTAAAGCTACATCTTCGTGATCGTTCAACAGACCCACACGGGCAAACGGTTAGACGGAGACTGGCAACATCGCAAATTAGACGAAACTACAGAACAAACACTGCATTCCAACGCGTCGAGCGTCTCGGTATCAAAACACCTTAGATTATACATTCCCATAGAGCGTGAACACGTGCGCCTACTTCAATTGTTTTAATGACCGCGATGTCCCGTTGTCGCAGTCACGTGACGTCACGAGAGCAATACCAAAACAACCGGGCTCACTACAAGTAGTTTTTTTTTTCTCGGCGTTTTTTGTTCCTGCGTTATTTGTGACTTAGTTGGTTCCCCTTAATAGGTTTGTCGTTATATATAAGGGCGGTCCAAAAATAAATAAATAAAGAAAACAGATTCGGACAGACAAGAAACACATCTGATCTATGGAGGAACGCTTACGATAGCGTACCTGTCTCAAAAACTGTGGCAAGCAATGATAAACTTTTCAAAATTCGCTTAAATGAAGTTCTGAGAACCTGAGGGCTATGCATAAACTTTGAAAAAATTGAATACATGGTGGTATGCGGGTACAGGGCAAAAGGTAATCGTGGGTGATGGATCCGATGAATATTTGAAGCTGGACACCAATATAACGGAAGGCTTGAATAAAATTCGCAATATTGGTGGAATATATAATCTAAGTGTCAAGAAACCGATTATTTTTGGAAACTTTTATTTTTGATACGGACGTTAGACGAAAAAGTGGGGTTAATGTCAAACCGGAAAACACGCCGAAAACGAAAAAATTAACCTATACTTAAGTATCCGCGACCGAGCAACAGCGAAGCGTTTTTAATTGTCATAAGGCCGCCCGTTTGGACCGTCCCACCTGGAACGTAAGCGAAACATTGAAAGTGTGTCTCAGAGTGTGACGTCTTGACTTTTGACAGACCCCCTTAATGTTGAAAATTCTACATAATAAATTTAACTAAAAATTAACATGTGTTTTAGAAAAAAATGTTAAATAAAAAAGACTAAAAAAAAAAAATTTCAAATTATTTTCAAATTGCACATAGCGGTATATAGAGAGAAGAATGCAGCCCTCTAAAAGTACGTTTTATTCGAAATGGAAGTGTTGCTTACAAAAAGAATGAAAGAGTTTATACTGGCAGTGAAAGAGGAAAATAAATTTACTTAATGTCACAGAAAACCCACGTGTAAGTGAACGAAAAATGTCCCGAAACTTAATAATTTCTAAGAGTTCGTCAGCAAGAACTCAATGAGAATGATTATCAAATTAGAATGAATGGACTCGAGAAAGAATTTTTGAGCAAGATGATTTTTTTCAAATATGTGTTATTTACGGATGAATCGACATCCCAGTCATGATGTTACACAGTTGGGGCAAAGAATATTTGTATATCTATCTTATAATTTGACACCCTGTATATGCTGGACATTTTTTTGAGAAAGATGATTTTTTCCAAATGTGTTATTTACGGATGAATGGACATCCCAGTCATGATAATACAAAATATTGGTATATATTTACGTTTGGGTAAAATTTATCTCATATTTACGAATCAGCCTGTATATTTGAAGATACTTTTAAATTGTTTCTGTCAGTTTAGTTCGATACGTTATTCTTTAAAACCAATATTAAACGCGATGTATTAACTTGATACCCTGTATATGCTGGCAAAATATGCTACAGAACATTTTAAAAATTGAAGATCTTCCATGCTCAAACAAAACAACGTAATTAACGTTAATGACGACGCTAAGGGTGAAAAATTTATATTTTGGATAAAAACGTACTGATTTAGATAATTATTAATAAATTTTTCATTAGTACTAATGCGATTTTTTTGTACCTAAATAAACTTGGTATAACATTTAAAGGTTCCTCCTACAAGACGATACACTTTGAGACAAACGATACAGAGAGATACCACGCAACGCCCCGCCGACTCACCCACCTTGATCATGTCGTGTAGCGACGACATACTGCCGATGCTGGCGGGATCGGGCGAAGGTGACGTGTCCGAGGGGCGTGGCAACGCGGGCGGTAGGTCGCGCGGCCTGGGCGGCGCCGCCCTTTTCGCGCCATTATACGCGGGGAACTGAGCCCTGATGGGCGTCGGGTTCGAGATCTCGGGACGCTGCTGACGTCGCTCGCTGGGCAACGGTTTCGCAGGAACGGGTGGTAATGGCGCTGTCTTAGTCGGCTGCAAACGGAATATTATACACATACAGTGAAAAGTGCCTATAGCAAAACTCTGTATTACGAACAAAATTTGTCTCCATATAACGCTATGTATTAATCCACTCTGGATAACGAATTTCTCAATCTCCATACCGAAAGAAAAAAGGGCACATTAGGTAACAAAGTAAGGAATGTAGGCCGACTTGTAATTAATCTTTGTAAAAAAAACAGTCCATTGCCCGATATCAATTCTTTCTATTCCAGGGAAAATGTTTGAGGCTATTATAACATAGGAGTTACTTTTTAAACTTATTTTAACAATCAACTTGGATGATGAAGAGGATAATGTCCCCCTTACTCAATGATGAAGCACACAATGCCAACCAGAGTGTTATAGACCTCTTACAAAATATTAATCCAAATGTAAGAAAAATTACGAAAACGAAGTCTATAACTCGAACTTGAAGGGATTGTGAAAAAAGTTCCGAGTTATACGTAGAGAGTTTGAGTTAAAGAAAAAATGCATACGTATATGACATTTTTTTTATTTAAAAAAAAATCTAAACAACAAAACCTAAATTATGGACAAATAAAAATAGCAAGTTAATAAATTCTGCCAGCCAGGTTGTACTTGCTTTTAAATGTTCATTTTCCAGGCTGTCATGTCATAGGTTGACAAATATTTTTTTTCTTGGATACCATTCCCTACTTTTCCAAAATCTCCGTTTTTTCGTAAATTATTGTTAATGTTTTATGCTTTCGCGACGAAGACCCCTAAAATAGGTTGAGATACAGAGAGATTCGAGTTACTTTAATTTTGAAGGACAAAAAAAAAGTTTAATCAGCCTAAACCATTTTTCCAAGAAATTATAACAATTACTTTTTGCACATAGATATTTTTGCATTGTCATTCAACTCAACTAAATTTATTTCGACGTTCCTTTCTTGTTTTTCTACTTTTTTTTTTGGGTTTTGAAATAGTTTTGCTTACTCTCTTGAACTAAGATAAATGTACTTAGTTTTAGTGTACCTTTGTAAATTGTGACGTTATTTCGTCATGTTAGGATACCTTGTTTTAATAAATGAGCCGTTCATTTATCTTTAATTTAAAATACTTAAGTTTTTGCGTTTTTCCAAATTAAAAATATACGCAAGATATATGGTTGACTTGCAATGTTAAATCGCATTTAAATGATTTAATTTTATACATCTTAGGTATTATATGACCTTATACATTAAAAGGACTTAGGTGACTTTCAAAATAAAAATTTGTATATTTCAATACCGATTTATTTTTTTGACAGTTCAGCATAAATTCTAAATGTTACAAGTGCCAACTTGATAAATAATGAAAATGGACTCAAGCCACTTTTAAACTAAACGGCTCAAAAACTTACCCTGGCCTGCGGGGGCGGGGCGGCGAACGTCAAATGATCGGGCACGTGGTCCACGAGACTGGTGGTCAGGTCGATCAGTCGCTGCTGCTGGATACTGTCCCCGGGTCCCACGTGACTGATGTGGTTAAAATTCGTCGGGGCCGATATTAATTTCGAACGTCTGTCTGTGTTCCTGTCCACCGAATAGAAAATGTACAGGGCGACCGAAAATAACGTTTGAAAAAAAAAGTTTTCAAGAAATATCTTATAAGCTCATTTAGTGCGAATGACAAAAAAATGCGTAATATTGTGTAACGTAATGAACTGTAACTTTTTATTAATTTAGTTCGCAATGCGCAATTAAAAACGCAATTTTTTATCAAATGAAGATACGAATGTCTTGCTTCGTTTTCGTCCAGCAAATTTTAATCGGTATTTTATTAATATCTTTAATATATATTCCTTGGAACCAGGTAGTTTTAATGTGTAGTGAAAAGAGACTGACTTATCCCTAACTAGCTTAAAATTTTCAGTCAGTTCAGTGGCGTCCCGGGCCGAAATTTGGCGAATTTTTTCATTACGAAAAATTACGACTAGGTAATTTCATTTGTCATTTTTTCATTTAGTAACTAAAAATACCGTTTGGCCGTTATACGGTGCTTACGACTTTTCTCATTTGTGCTGCTTTTAGTTCGTATAGTTCCAGCTCTTAGCGACTTCAATTGTAATTTTGAACGAAACAAATTTTTAGTTTTAAATAAAAAGAAATCAAAATAAAACAAAAAACTAATTCGAAAATTGCTATTTGACAACTAAAAAAACAAGATAAAATGGCAACAATAAAAATACAAGAGACTATCATCAAATTCGACGTTACGCATTTCATTAATTAATGATTAGGGTCCAAAAAACTTAATTCTGGGTAATTGTGATTTTTGGAATATAATTATTGCTAACTAAAATTTTTCCGATCGGATGAATGGTTTAGGAGGAAAAGATGTTTTTCTGGAAACCACAATAACAAAAAAAAAATCAAAAATTAAAAAAAAAAATGTTCGTGTTATTTTATTGCTTCCAATTTGAAGAGTCTAAATGCGGGTCCGAACTTCTACTTGTCTCCCAAGTCTGAAGTCGGTAGCTGCAAATTTGGGGCACTTATTACGTTTTTTAATATCGCACGCAATATTACAATACTTAAAAACCTTAAATACAAAAGTTTTAGCTGACTATATGGGCTATATCGTCACGTAAAAGAAACTGACATCTAAAACACAGATTTTAAATTATCGCCAATTTTCTATAATAGGGGGACACATTTTTCAGTTTTTTTGAACTTGTGGCGCACCCTGTATATTTCTGAAAAATTGTCATGAATAAAAGTTTAGTTCTGCGTCTTCTGGTTCAAGAATGTCAAGCTTGTAAGTAAATTTGACAAGGCCGAACCTACCCTCTCTGAGACCTGTGTCCCTCTCTGATCGAGAACCGCCGCCTCGGCTTCTGAATTATTCTCCCTTCGGTATCGAGAGTGACGATGTTTTCCAAATTAATCAGCTCCCCTGCGAAAAAAAAATCGCGTCGGCGTGAAGGGCAAGGGATCAGGGGCGGGACCTAAAACTCACTCTGATGGACGTTCGACAGGTACAAGAGGTGCGGCAACTCGTGCAATACGCACAACGACAAGCTACCGCTGTCGTTTAACGGCTTCGACCTTTTTATGTTCAACGTCTGCACCCATTCGCCGGTGGCGCAATTGAAAATATCAATGTGGGTTTCGCTGTACACCACCAGGTGGCCGTCACGGTAACCTAGAGGGATGGAAAAAATTATGCAAACTTTTCATGAGGTTTATATGCTTGAACTAAGCGACAGCTTTTAAAATACGAGAGCTACCTTTTATATTTCGGAATTCGTAATAAAAAACTATAAGCTACCAACAAATATAACTTTATTGTTTCTCTAAATGTTCACCCTGATGATCAATACACTTTTGCATTGGATGAAACCTAATTTATTTCGTCATTTCCGTGTTCGAACAACCTGTTAATAGGTAGAGTATATTATTAAAACAAATTGTTTAGATTTATCATCCGAAACACCTATACCAAATTTCAATATAGAAAGGTGTAGGTTAGCATTATCGAACCTTTTACAGTGTTCATCTTGTGCCGATTTTCTCACGTTGATATATTGTTATTTAGACCAGCATACAAATAGAGAAGGTGCGGAGGGGTGGCAGTGATACTGATTAAAATTTTTGCAAAAATTAAAAACATTTTGCACATGATCGAGATTTTCATTTAAAAATGGCAAAAGTTTTGACCACGTGAATTTTAAATTAAGTCAAAAGCGATTATTTAGCAAAAATCTTGTTTCGTTCCTAAAGCATTTTTTCTACAATGTTTTGAGCCTTCGTGAAGAAAAATAGGTTTTGGATACTATTTAAACCTTACATAATAAAAAAAGCGATACGAAATTTATTGTCAAAATACTCAAGTCAATTGACACCCTGTACTAATGGGATTGGAGGATTAGATTTTAAAAAAAAATGTAGTAACTCTAATGTTTTCAGTGTACCAGAAAGAACGATTGAAATGAAGAAAATATTTTGCCACATATCAAATCAATCAAATCAAAATCAAATCTTTTGAAAAATCGTCCAACCAAAACTAAACGATCGTCAAAGACCTTTTCCCACATCGAGTCGGGCACCTCCAAAACATGCTTTTTAAACGCATCAATCGCCTCTCTCTTATTCCTAATGTATGGGGAATAAAAAGAGGTCATTAGGTGCTAAATCAGGACTATATGGTGGATGGCTCATCAAATCAAAATTTTTACTGCTCAAAAAACTTAACTGAGTAAACCTAACCTAAAAATGTCAAACTTCCCTACAAAAACGTTTGTCGCTAGATGGCAGGACTAGTTTAAGAAAATCCCGAAATAAAAGACAGCCCTCGTATAACAAATGTTTTTTTTTTTTGCGATCAGGGATTCATGGTTCTAAATTATTTAGTCTTGATTCTTCCGTATAATTTTGATGTAAAACTATTTATTTGTCATACCCAGTCGGCGCTACTTTTCATTCGATTTCAGTAAAAAAATTGCAGATTTTAAAAATATGAAAAGTTGGCTTTCGAAAAAAGAAAAACAGTTTAATCAACGTAGTTCTTCTCTGATGAAAGCAACTTTTCTTCCTATTCAAAAGTTTTTTTTTTGGTGTCCTACTACTCCAAAGCTACGTAGATCTTATGTGAAGTTCTTTTCAAAAGTAACCTCAAAATGCAAACGTACCAAATTCGTACCGTGAAATATGGAGGAGGCAAAATTATGATCTGGGGATGTTTTCCTCGATCTGGAACCGGTCCCATCGTTCAATACAAAGAGTTATTTGAAAATGCATTTCTATAGGACAATGTTCTGAAACACTCGTCCAAGTTAGTGGAAGAGTGGCTTAGAGAGTACTTGAATGGACATCCCAATTGCCAGATCTGAGCCTAATTGAACATATTTGGGATATATGTTAAATATCTACAGGATGTCTTTGGTAATTAACAAAGAAAGTTTTACAATTTTTTAAAAGCTGCCAATTGTAATATATAAAAATATTTGTCATACAAATATTACCTCTTACTGATATTATTCTATTATCTTCGCGCTAATTACAATTAATTAACATTAACATTAATAAAATCCGAAATTACCGTGCGTTCAGTTTATCTTGATAATATTGGCTGTAACTTTTTAGTTTTTAGAGATATCAAAATTTTTAACTTGCACAACATTGCTGCCATGTAATCAGCGCTGATATATGTAGGGGTAAATCTTCTATATATGGTTCTATTTGGAGCTCATATGCCCATCTATGACACCAAAGCATACATTGCGATTGATTGCGTTTTTATTTGGTTTATTTTGTCTAATACAACCCTTTCTTGTAGTGAACGAACTTTCATCAGTCCATAAAATATTTTTCAAAAAAATATTATTCTCCTTATGCCTATTTAAAAAAATCCAAAGAAAACTGCATCCCCTTTGACATTGTTCTTCACTTAGTTTTTGGGCTTTAAGAAATTGAAATGCGTTATATTGATAATCTTTCAAAACGGAGTGGATTGATTCCCGAGAAAAAAACCTGTCTCTTCATATATTCCGGTAATAAGGAAACTGGATGTGCTTCATGGAATTCTAATATGTTCGAATTATTTTCTTCATTTAAAACATTATCATTCCGGTATACCTTTTTAGCATTTAATACGTTACCGTTTTCTGCAAATTTCCTTCCAAGTCTTGTGGTTGCACTTTTATTATTCAAAAAGTATACTAGAGGCCTATCACTCCTTGCACGGATACTAACTTCGCAAATTTCTATAAACTGTGTTATGTCATTGTAATCGGAATAAGATATTCTATTAAACACATACATAATACACATTTTGTTTTTTTTTGTCTACCTCGATATCTCTAAAAACAAAAAAGTTACAACCGATTAAAATGCTAAAATGCTACGTCTCCCGTGACGTCATTGATCCCCTCCGAACTTTACTCACTTATCGCGGTCGGCACCGCCGGATACATGATCTCCCTATCTCTGGATTTCCGGCCGTGCTTGTCGACGTAGGCGGCCAACGTGCCGAACACCAGCAGGTACTCGCGTCTAGGTAATTCTATCACCCTCAGCGCCTCCACCGCGCTGCACGTGATGGTCGCGTACAATGGGTTCTCCGCGTGGAGCAGCGCTAAACGAGGACCATTAATTTTGAGACCATTTTAATGAGACGTACAACTGAGTCGTCAGCGTAAGCTTTATAAAAGGCAATACAATATTGTCTGCAAAAAAACTTCTCGACTTCTACTGCTACGAACGCTTTTTTTTTAGAAGCTTTTGCACATTCCATTTATGAACAGGCTTCAACATTGACAACAAACGATTAGAAAAAACAATAAAAAACAAAAATAAGAAATTAATTGTGCAAAAAATAATAAATATTTTATATAATATATAATTAATTATATTATATAATAATTAATATAATTATAATAAAAAATTTACACGCTTCTTTTGTAGCAAAATAGCCTCCTTTCCCTACGCTAAAAAGGACATATTTTTATATTGTTTATATGGAAACAGCCACTTTATAGCAAAAACTCATGGACACATGAATATTTTGTAGGTTTTTTGAAGAAAAACATTTTTTTTTTGCCTGAAACCATTTTTAACATTAATACGATTAAGACAACATACCGAAAGATACAGATCGTTATAGTAAAACATGTAAAAGAAATAATAATACGTCCATGTCCCATTCTTGACCGAACGGTAATATGGAAGCATTGATAGCGTGAGATTGTCAAAAAATTACTTTTTAATTAAAATTAATCGTAATAATATCAAATCAATATCGAACTATGTTAACTGAGTCTGTGAGAAGATTTGTTATAAACGTCAAAAGGACCAGAGCGGTCGGTACATTTGAACTACTCCGTAGGTCTGGCATATGCTTCCATATATTGCTTAATATACGTAATACACTAACCTCCGTTTATAACGTACATGGGGTATAACGTACTACCGGTTATTACGTACACATTTTACTGGTAGGGCTAAAATAGTCTTCATTATTCATCGAATATTATGTACCATATATAACTTCTACTAGGGTTATATATTCGGGAAAAAAATTCTGGTGAAGCAGGAGATGTTATCAATCAAGCTGCCCTGAACTGGTTAGAGGATAAGTGGCCCAGTGGTGCACAAAAATACAGCTCTGCGGATATTTTCAATGGTGACGAGAGTGGGCTATTTACAAGATGACTCCAGATCGTACCCTTAAATTTAGATGAGAAGTGTTTGGGTGGGAAGCAGTCGAACTTGAGGTACACCGTTTAGGTTTGTGCCAATATGACAGGAAGCGAAAAATGTAAACTTTTTGTTATTGGTAAATATGAACGACTGACATACATGAAAAATGTGAAAAATCTACCTGTCATCAAACCAGCGAGCGTGAATGACTTTAGCAATTTTTTATAATTATTTAAAGGATTGGGATGAAAAACTAAAACGTCAGAATAGAAAAATATTGCTTCAGGTTGCCAATTGTGCAGCTCAGCCAAAAAATCGAAACTAATATGCATGTCAAGGCGTTTCTGAGCTACAGGGTGATTCTTAAAAATGTGCGTTTCTAAAAACCCTCTATAACTTTTTTATTTGTAAAGATAGAGATTTTTATTAAAAACATTTTTGGTTTAGTTCACGAAATATGACACCAAGTTACATTTTTTAAATGGAATATCCCAATTTAAAAAAAAAAGTTTTTTAATAAATTTCCTGTCAAACGATGTGCCATATAATATATATATGCCATTATTAATAACTATCATGGTAGGCTGTACTTAACTCTGACCTATGCAGTTTTACAATTGCCATGATACGCAAGCCCAAGTGTCAAAGTGGCGTTTTCATCAAGCTATAAAAATGTTTGAAAACTTTGAAAAGTACGTACGTACGTACGTGATTTGGACGGATGAGGCAACGATTTCCAGTGATGGAATATTCAATAGATATGACTGCTATTACTGAAAACAGCAAAATCCCCATATTATGGTGGAACAAGCGAATCAGAAGGTTCAGTTTTAAGGGATGGGTAGGCATCTACAGAGGACAAATTATAGGGTTTTATATTTTTAATGGAAATTTAAATGCCGAAAGATACCAGCAAATTCTAGAAGAGCAGGTAATTCCGTTTATCGACAATTTGCCACTTCAGCAAAATAATTAGCTATACTTTCAACATGACGGTGCACGAGACATTACTAAACTGGATAGGAAATAAAGGTCCTATATATTGGCCCCCCCAGGTCTCCAGACCTGATTCCTTGCGACTACTCCTTTTGGTGGGGGAGAATCAAATACCTTGTATTTCGAAATCGCCCAACTGCTAGAAGGGAATTGGAAGAGGCACTTCGTACAGGCAGTGCGGTAGAACTTCTTAATGCAGAAAATAGCGTCAAGACGAGATGCACGATATGTTTACAAGAAAACGGGCGTCAAGTTGAGCATTTGTTTTAAAATTAAAAAAACTTGTTAAATGTAGATTTTAAGGGTTACATAGTTTAATTACTAAAAATTTTAAATAAAAAAATTGTTTTTAATAATTTTATTTCCGTTTATTATTTTAGGGTTGGTAATTATTGTAAACTAGACGTTAAAGTGGTAGGTTGCCGTGTCCCCTCGTGTCGTAGCTAACTTGATTTTGTATGAAAAAAAGAACGATAAAATTTTCTCTACACATTTAGGGCGCGCACAGCTTCTACTATATTAAATATTGCAAATATCTTTTAATCTATTTAATAAAAATAGGTGTATGGCACATCGTTCGCCAGGGTATCCCGTATATATATTGGGGGTATCCCATTTAATGTGATGTGATATCTCGGAAACTAAAGGCTCTAAGACAAAAGGGGTAAAATAAAAATGTTTTTCCCAAAACTCTATTCTTACGATCAAAGAAGTTTAAATCGCACTTTTTTGAGAATCACCCTGTAGCTCAAAAACGCCTTTACATATCACGATGTGGTCTTCAGTTTTTGACTTCTCTCGAAAATCGAGCACGTAGTTTTGCTCTAACTATGCTGCAAATGCTTAAAGCCATAGAGGCTCCTCGAATTTGAACCACCCTGTACATACCTACATAATTATTTTTGTGTTTTTTTTTTATGGAATACTCATTTTCTGGTCCTAAGAGGGTACTTTACAATCGGAGTTCATTGTATCTACAAATAGAGGTATAGGAGAGGTATATAAAGGTATATGGATCTGTAACTAAAAAGTAATATAAATGTTTAAGCACCATTGTTTTTCCAAATAAATTAAATGAGAATCGCGATTCTCAGTTAGCGCTACTAAAGTTAAGCACAAAGTACTTGTCCCGAGTAGTTTGGAACACAGCGCCGCCCCTAGCGGTCGTTTCAAAAAGCTTACATTAGGCGGATTTATTGAATTGGACAAGTCAATCCAATTGAAGTGGTACTCACAAGTGAACTGCTCGCCCCCTTGTAAACTGTAAACGGTGAAACACGAGGGTGATCCGACGCAGAGCCGGCCATCGGACAACAACTGGAGCGACTGGACATTAACTGGCACATTGATCTCGTGCACCCGTTGATGCCTAGTTCTGGTCCGTGTTATCTCGTAAATTATGATGGCCGAAAAGTTCTGTTTCCTGATGGAGATGCAAAGGCAAAAGGTGAGCGGGGCCCTAAGCACGGGCCCCACCGCCAGAACGGAGCAGCCTTTGCTTTCGGTGACCTTTATCCATTCCGTATCGTCACCGTCCAGGGCCCTTATGGGAACCAGTCTCACTTGCCTCTGTTTCCCGCTCACCACCACCTGAAAGGAACAACAACATTTCTGAGCTTACACATTTCCCTTTAATCTTGCGCGTCTGAACTGGAAGCCCGTAGCTCCAACAGTTCGAAAGTTTAATAAAAAAAAAAAATCGTCGTTACAGAAAACAGAGGAAATATTTTTAGGCCACGAAGTTGGATTTTTTCCCTTTTTCTGGCCGGTCTCGGACCAAAGTTACGAGAACTTCGACGTGATATATAAAAAACAAACGTAGGGTTAGTAACCAAGTTTTTATTGAAAGTGACGTACAAAACAAAACACTAGTAATTTTCTGACATATAAGCCTACATCATATATTTTTTTACATGGAACACCCTGTATATTACATATGTGTTTAATAAAATATCTTATTCCGATGACACACTTTATATTTTAGTACGCTGGTTTTTTACAAATCTACAAAAATAGAAAAATTTTATATAATTTCAGAGTGCCCGGAGTGTACAAAAACACTAAAAATAACAAGCCACACTAAAGCAAAAAATCTTTAACTATTCTAAATACTGCTGTATGTGACCACCATTTTCCTAAAAACATCGCTCATATTCCATATTAAGAAAATTTTTAAGTTACAAAACATTACTGCCATATAATCAACGCTGATATATTTAATGGCAAATCTTCTATATATTGTTCTATTTGATGCTCTAAGAGTTGCAAATATCGGACCCATCTATGACACTACATACACATACGATTAATGAAAGACCACTAACGCGTATTTTTCTACTACAACAATTTCTTGTAATGAACGAACTTTCATCAGTCCAGAAAATGTTTTTCAAAAAATTATTATTCTCATTATATCTATTTAAAAAATCCAAACAAAAGTGCATACTCCTTTGACATTGTTCTTCACTTAGTTTTTGAATTTTACGAAATTTAAATGAATTGTATTTGTATTCTTTCAAAACTGAGTGGATTGATCACCGAGAAATACCTGTCTCTTCTTAAACTCTAGTAATAGAGGAAACTGGATGTGCTTCATAGAATCCTCATATTTGTGCCTTAATTTCTTCATTTAAAACATTATAATTCCGGCATACCTTTTTAGTATTTAATACGTTACCGTTTTCTGCAAATTTCTTTTCAAGTCTTGCGGTTGCACTTTTATTATTCAAAAAGTATACTTGAAGCATATCACTCCTTGCACGGATGCTAACTTCGCGAAAAATCATTTTAACAATAATGACTTTGACAATAATTCAACCATCAACGTTTGTGCGCTAATATGTCAAACACAAACAAATTTTTATTTGTCCGTCAGGGCACTCTTTGGAATTATATAAAAATTTCCCATTTTTTCGGATTTCCCAAAAGCTAATGGGCGTTACATCATTGTAATCTGGATAGGATATTCTATTAAACACATATATACACGGTGCTCCATTAAAAATTATATGATGTAGGTTTATATGTCAAAAAAATGACGGTGTTTTGTTTTATACGTCACTTGGAAAAGAACTTGGCTACTAACTCTACATTCTGCCTTATGTTTATCTTGAAATCTCTAAAAACAAAAAAGTTACAGCTGATGAAAATATCAAGATAAATTGAACGCACGGTACTCTCAATATTCGTTACAGAGAACAGAGGAAATATTTTTAAGCTCCAACGTGATACGGTTAGTCAGAATGAGCACCCACTCACCAGTAAATGTTCCTCGCTGATATACTCGATCTGGAACATCTTCTTTCCGTCGCCGATCCTGGCTATCTCAGTTCTGTCGAGATCGATGCAATAGAGTCCCTCTTCGGTGCCCAGCACGATCCTGTCGGGATCGATGATCACCGCGCTGAGCGTGTTCTTGAGCAAGGCGAGCGAGTTGTCGATGAGCTCGCGCGCCAAAAGCACCACGGTGTTCGGTAAATTGTTCCGTTTCATGATCCGATGGAGTTCCGCCAGCGCCACCACCCATTTGTTCTTCTCCGCTTCGCTGTCGGCCAACATCAGGGTGGAGTTACGTGGTCCCGGCGGTTCCATCAGCGACGTCGATATCTTGAATATGCAGGGAATGTCTTTCTTGTTCGCGTGGATGACGTCGGAATCCTTGACGCTGCTGACGCTGAACTGCGGATCGCGCATATCTAACACCTGAGCTACGTGAACGCTGGGTAAGGCATTGCGGTCGGCTGATATGTCATACAGGAACAACTTGAAGTCGCATACCACCACGAACTGACGCACCCATCCTGCACATAGTTCAACGAATGAGCAAACTCGTAGGAGGTAACCCTCAGCTTACCCTTTTTGACTCCGCCCAGTTTCGGAACTTTCACGTAACCCTCGTAGGCGGTACCGATGCCCCTGGTAGGATCGATGCCTAGAGGTCGTTTCGCTAATAATAATAACAATAATAATAATAATAGTAAATAGTAGACTGTATCCACGATTTAGAAGTGCAAAGAAAAAATCATTCAGGCTGAAGTGGCAGGCAGTAAAATGCTAAGAAAGCCAAAATTTGAAGATTATTGCAGTGGTTCCAACAGCAACGTCTTAAATATGTACCACTCTCTGGACCTATCGCAAAACTAAAAGCAGAAAAGTTTGACATGGTATAAATTATGGACAGATAAGTGGCGAAGCCGGTAATGTCGACAGAAACGTCACCAACGATTGCCTGGAGAAGACGTGGCCAAAACTAGTAGAAAACTACCCTGCTGGCGATATTTTTAATGCTGACGAAATCGGTATTTTTTACAAAATGACGCCAGATAAAACACTTAAATTTCGAAGCGAAAAGTGTGTGGGTGGAAAACTTACTAAAGAACGTATAACAATGTTAGTAGCAGCCAATATGAGTGGAAGAGAAAAAAGAAAGCTAGTCGTGATAGTCGTGATATACACCTTAGGACTTTTTTTTTGGGATTTGAAAACAAATGTCGCATGACTTGAATTTTCCCAAAAGGGAATACCATAGAGTAATCTAGAATAGATGTGGTAGAAATTTGTCATGCACTTTCCAGTCAAAAAGGGTTTCGTCGAGCTCTAGTACTAAAAATTTAGCGTGCTTTTTTTTTATGTTTGCTAGAACTCTTTACTGACGCGGAGACCCATGATTTCTTGTTGGGACATTGAGAACGGGTTTGTAAAGGAAAATGTTTGTTAAAGTATCAAAGGACGTAAAAAACGTCAGATTTTTTATCAATATCACCGAAACTGTATTTGGTAATACTTCCGCTATTGTATTATTGCAGTACTTTGTAAATATTAAATAAAAAACAACCATTCTGGTTTCTTGTTGGAACTTTTATGTTATTGTGAAGATTATAAGATTGCATTCAATCAGAAAAAAAAACTAAACATCGACACGTGAGTGGCCTTGGTTAGATGGGCGATGGGATGACTTACTTTGGTCGGGCGGCACGGGACACACCGGTGGCACGTGCGGGCAGCAAGCGGTGTGACAAGTGAACCCACATATCTCGCACACCATACCCTGACGCATGAGGCCCACCATGAGGGAGGTGCAGTGACTACATTTCGTTGGACTAGAGAAAGTGCGCACCAAGAACTGGTGGGCCTTGTGTTTCATTGGCGACTGGGACTCGTGCTGCGAGAGAAAGCTTCTGTACTAAGGCGCATGGTCATATTGTCAACTTTTGACTTCAATTTCTTTTTTTTTTTTTTTAAGAAAAAAAATGCTGTTTGAGAGACAATTTAATATTTAATAGTTTAAAGTTTAATAGTTTTTTGTTTATTACTAAAAACAAATAGGGTTATTGACAATTAGCAACTCAACACTTATTTTTTAATAATGGGTATGACTGGATTAGGTAGAGATCTAATCAAGTTCACTATTGTTTCTTGTGGAATGTTAAGTCACTCTTCCTCTACTGCAACAATAAGCTCTGGGATCGAGGTTGAAGTACGAATTCTTCGTTTTAGCTGGTCCCATAAATGTTCTATCGAATTGAGGTCGGGAATACACGCTGGCCACTCCACAAATCGAAAACCGACTTCTGTAATGTTATCTTACACGATTTTTGCGGCGTGCGGCTAGCATTGTCATGCATAAAAATTAATTCTTCTACAATGTAGTCGACATATGGTACCACGTGATCTAATAAAATATCATCGATGTACCTAGCACCTGTTAAACGTCCTACTCTTTGATCAGGATGAACATGGTCCGTTTGTGCGTCCAACCATCTCCATAGGTCTTCATTGCAGCATTCAGCAAATTGCTCTCCTCGTCTTCGGTACACTTTTTTTCATCAGTCACTACAAAAAAGCCATATTCTGGTCTCATCTGAGAACAGAATCCGTGCAAAGCGTAGGCGATCTTGTCGATTAGCTGCAGTAAGTTTTGGACCAATTGCAGCTGTTTTTGGGTTGTTTTCTTCTCACTGTCGACTAAGTAATAGCTACTCTTCGAACTTCATAGAGCTGTTTTGCACTTGAATCTCATTAAGGTGACGATTTCTTATTATTGTTTACACAATAAAGCCGTTGTAATTCGGCTTCTGCCTGTTCCAATGCGGCTAGTCTCCCCATACCGTGGGCATACTCTTCGAACTGCTGCGCGTGTCATGTCCAGCATCAATTAAACGCTAACCAAATGGTTAAAATCGAATAATGTACAAATTCCAGTTGCAAAGACGATCAATCGAAGTCTATAACAAGTTTCATTTCCTTAATCACAGTTACGCATATAAGAGATCAGCACTCTTGACAAATTTAAACTCATACTAAAGCTTATTAAATTGTATTCCAAACAACATGTTTATTTTTTGGGTCAGATGAATAGTTTCTAGAAAAAAAATATACTAAATTCAAGTTACTAGAGTTATACAGGCCCTCATCGTGAATAAGTTAAATCTCTTCAGGCTGTTTAGAAAGAAAATGGTGGCAGGACCCGCTGTATGGGCGTGGTTTCTAAGCGCGGAGGGAGGACTAAACGCTCCTTACCACGCTAAGTTCCGAAAGGTTGCTCTTCGAGCTGACTATGCTGGGCGCTCTGTTGTCTTCGATGTCGCCGTCCTCCGACTCCATCGATCCGCTCTGGTAGAGCAGAGACTGAGACGGCACGTTGTCGTACATGTTCTGCCCGGAATTGGAGTTGGTCTCCTTCAGGAACTGTTCGAGGTAGGACATCTGGGATGACGGCCGTTCGAGAACTACGAGCAACGCAGAAACACTTGTGGTTTTCGTCGACTCCCGATTTTTTTTTTTTTTTGAGTGAATGAGGTGAATGTATTACGGATGCATTTCGAAAATGACGCAACACTACAGGATACGTAGATTAACACAAATCTCGGACACAATTTACTGTCAATTGAGAAAACGGAGTCAGTCGTTAGGGCTCGTTCTTTAGTATGGAAAAGCGAGTGGACCGGTTTGTTTGCTTTATTCACTGTGTAAAAACCGAAACCCGTAAAAAATACTAAAAAACTTCAATTCAGTTGTACTTTTAAAATATTTATAGAGAAAGTTTGTAATTTCGTGGATAAATAACCACTTCCTTATTTTAAACCCTGTATAGGCATTAAGACAACTTTATTATTAATGATGAACGGAAAAGTTTTATCAATTGATTCAATTTCCAGGAATTATCAATTTTATCAGAAACATTTTAACAAAATACAGTGAAATATCCCAATGGGGAAACTCTGTATAACGTAAAACTCTGTATTACGAACAAAATTTGTTGTCGACTGTATCCACGATTTGCAAGTGCAAAGAAAAAAATCATTCAGGCTAAAGCGGCAGGCAGTTCTAGTAAAAAATTAAGAAGGCCAAAATTTGAAGATTTGGATCCGTTCCAACAGCAACGTCTTAAAAATGTACCACTCTCTGGACCTATCGTAAAACTAAAAGCAGAAAAGTTTGCTGAACAGCTTGGCATTATCGATTTCAAGGCTTCGGAAGGATGGTTGGGGAAGTTCAAACAGAGACATGGTATAAATTATGGACAGATAAGTGGCGAAGCCCGTGATGTTGACAGAAACGTCACTAACGATTGCCTAGAGAAGACGTGGCCAAAACTAGCAGAAAAGTTCCCTACTGACGACATTTTTAATACTGACGAAACTGGTATTTTGTACAAAATGACACCAGATAAAACCCTTCAATTTCTAGGCGAAAAGTGTGTGGGGGAAAACTCTCTAAAGAACGTATAACAGTGTTAGTAGCTGCCAATATGAGTGGGAGAGAAAAAAGAAAGCTAGTCGTAATTGGAAAATCAAGTAACCCACAATGTTTTAAGAACATCAAGCATTTGCCTGTCACTTACAAGGCAAACAAGTCTGCATGAATGATATCACAAATTTTTGAAGAGGAGATACGGAAATGCGATGCAGAATTAAAGGGGAGGAAAATATTACTTCTCTTAGATAACTGCCCTGCACATCCCCATATTCCAAATCTAGACAAATTTTATATTAATATACGAGATGCAGTCAAGTTTATTATTAAAGCTTGGAAAGGGGTGACCGCAGAAACAATTCAACATTCCTATCATCATGCAGGACTTATTACCGAAACAGAATTCGAACAGGACTTGGAAGATAATCAGCCACTAAGCGAGTGGATAAAGCAGTTTCAAACAACAATTACGTTTACAAGTGAGGAGTTGCAAGATTTTATGGTGACAGAGGGAGCCATATTAAAACAAGCAAGAAAGGGTGAGGAAGAGCACCAAGAGGAAGAAGAAGATGAGGAAGTTGATCTAGGACCACCGCCAACAATTCAACACACCCTATATTCAGTTAAGCTGCTAGAGCAATTTTTTATGTACCATGGGGAATGACCCCCTCGAAGAAATGGTGAAAATACCAACAAAATTCAAAAGAAAATGACCGATTATTTGAAACATTAAATGTAGTTCTTAAATATTTATATAAAATGTTCCTAAGTCGATGTTAAAATATATAAAATAATTAAATATTACAGAACACATTATTGTTATTTTTCAAGTGCGTATAACTCTTTATAACAAAAAAAAACAAGTCCCTTCAATTTCGCTATATAGAGTTTGGACTGTTTATTCAGATGACCAAAAATCTTCGATGTCAAACGAACAGAATAATATAAACTCATAAAAAATATCATTTTTGTATATTTTTTCTTATTATTTATTTATTTATTTATTTTTTGCTATATTTAATGACTTTTTTTGAAAATTTTTGTTTACAAGTGAGCTGGATACTTCTGAGGTTCTGACGTAAGAACACAATGCTGTACACCGAGTCCACCCGCTTGATGTTACCCCCAAATCGCTCAATAAAATATCGTCTTCCACTATTTTATGTTAATTTATTTATTAATTATTAATTTATTAATTAGAATAGAATAAAACTGACAATACGGAATTAGCTGCCAAAAAAAAACGTACTGACAAGTAACAAATACAATATATTAGCACTCCAAGCTTTTTAATTGATTAACAAAAGGGGATGATGCTCAACCAAAAAGCGCCAAACTCAAAGTAGCGAAAAAGTACAGTTACTATTGGTCAGGCGGAAGCTACATTAAAAAAAGTGAGCAAAAAAACTAACCCTTGGGAGCGTGACGTTGGATGAATGCGGACAATCCTACCGTGGCTGCATGAAATTTTACCAAATTTCGAGTTTTACGAGGAGAGAAACAAAACGTGGTGGATATTTCAAATTGTTTATTATAGTTTCAATCAAACTTAACAGACGAAAATCAACAGAACGGAAAAAAATCGAAAACAAATAAAAACTAACGTGTGTCTTGTATGTGCGGTATGTTTAAGCAAATAAGCAAATCCGCAATTATCGAAAGAAAAAAATTATTGATTCGCTTTTCTCCTATATTCGACGACGCAATATAAAAATCAAAATATTTCCTAAGACTCCTTCCTGGTTATCGCACGGAAAAACAAAAAAGTAATCGGTATTTTTTATTTTCCCTATACGCTATTTTCAGTCATATAGCCTCATGTAGATCAACATAATGCCCCAGAAGCATGATGTCACTCCAATAACCAGTGGCAGTTGCTTCAACCACGAACCAACTGTATAATATATACAAAAATCAATTACTAGAGTCTGCCTCAGAGTGCTAATATACACTGATACTGATACGTCCGAATTGATCGATAACGGGTCTAGCGAGCGGAAAGGTTGAAACAGAATTTAATTATATTATTAAAGTTTATAGATTGAAAAGATCACATCGCTAAAAAAAAAAGTTAAAAACAGAATACGAAGAAATCAGAGTGTGTCTACAAAGAAAATATCGCAAAAAAAAGGAAACGTGTTTAGACGAAACACAACACAAACTAAACCATCTGAAATCACTTTAAGTAAACCCAAAGTCCTCTAAAATTTTAAAGCTAACGTTATCAATCGATAACGGGTCATTTGAACTACTACCGTTTCGCCCCATTCCCTATTAATCGTCCTGATTATTAACTGGGTTGTTTGACCTACTTTTCGTGGTCGCGCCTAAACCCTTCGAAATCAACCCATGTTTCAATTATTTTGCATCACATACGAACCTCAGCATCAGTGTCACAATTTAGTCTCAAATTTGTAATGTTTAGTGTTCATGTGTAAATAAATTTAAAAAGAAAGTCGTAAAATACGAAAACTGAAATTAAAAAAACTGTACTTACATCCTTCCGAATCCAGCCTGTTCTGGAGGTCTTTCATTTGTTTTTCTTTTCGTTTTAAATCTATAACTAAGGCTTCGTTTCGTTGTCTGTATTCGCGAAGTTCCCTGTTAAAACGAATCGACCGCTTTAGATGATTCTGTCCGCTTTCCACGAAATCGCTCGAAGACGAGTCACTTACTTTTGGGCGGCCAGAAGCGCTTCCCTGGTCTTACTCAGGTCTTCGCTGATCGCTTGTTTGGCTTGAATCTCGCTCTGCAGGGAGCTCTGCAAATTAAGCAGCTCCATTTTGTCCAGTTTCTGGGACCGCCGGTTTCTCCAGTTTTTGTCGGGCCCGCCCACCGCGTTCGAGACACCTAAAACCCAACACAATTTTAAAATGACTTAAATCGATCCTAGATGTTGATTGATACGAATTAAAAGCTGTAAAATTGCATATTTTTTTTGTTTAAAATTATTTCGTATCCGTATAAAGTAAACATAGAACTGACTATAATTATTTACACCTTCACTTAGTTATCCCAAAATTAGGTGCAAATATTTTTGACTTTTTTTAAAGAGAACATAACCATAACTGGACAGACTCTGCCAGTAAAATGCGCTATATTAGTGACGATATAGCATCAGCCATTTTTGTTGGTAACTGTCAACGTTAATCCAAACAATTACCATTATTATTTGTAGGTTATGTTTTGAATTGACGTCGATTAGGAAAATGCATTATATTTACTTAAATACTAACGTATGTTAATAGTAATGTTATATGGTATACGTATTGGTTAAATGTGTAGGAGAAAGTCGAGTAAAACGAGGTCTTTTCGTTGAAAGGTCACGGACCTAAGCAAACTCTTAAAAAAAAATGTCTGAGTATTAAAAATGGTCACTCAGCTATGTCTAGAAAATATCAATATACTAATTGGTTACTATTTTATGTACTATTCCAAAATTTTTATTATATTACCGGTGCAAACATCTGCCATTTTCAAACAGAGACGCGTTTCAAATAATAAAATAAGAGAAACCTGGGAATCGCACATCTAGTAGAGTTAATAAGTAGTTTTAAGGTGGTTCGAAAGTGCATTAAACGTGCGATAGTAAGCCATAAAAGTTTTCAAATGAGAGAGATAACCAAAACTAACCAAAAGTGAGGCGAGAACAATTCACTAGGGTTTAGTCAATGGTTCCAATCATAAAAGGTAGCGGAGGAGTTAGCCATCATAGGAGAAAACCATCTCCTGCCATACATAGAAAATGCAGGAGTCGAGAGGCAATGTCTGTTTGAAAAAAAAAGTCCTTAACAAGGCACAATTGACTTTCGCCAGGATTCTCAATATTTTGGCAATTATGGGTGATTCATATTTGCATTGACATTTGCAATATATTTATAAAAGTATTACAATTAAATTAGAACAAAAAATGTTCAGATTTTCACAGTTTTTATTGATAATTTAAATCTATACCACCAGAGAAATCTTTTACTCAGAGGACGTTTATGTATGAAATTTTCTAAACTGTCCATGAAAATTTCTGCAAATAGTGGCCTAAGTGGGTTTCCCCACATAAAATTGACCATTAAATTCAAAATAATTATGCCTATTATAAATATGTATAAAAATCAAATAAATAAAAATAGAATATCGTACATAAACATCATCTCAGTAAAGGATTTCTCTGGTGGTAAGATATGTAGATAATGTTTTTGCTTGTTTCCATATTAACTCCATACATAACCGTATGCCACCATATACCACATATAAAAGGTAGCCCTCGTATATATATATAAGTATCGGAATATTGTCATATTTTGTATTTGATAAAGGCACGGTTTTGCCGAAACAACTGTCATAAATCATAAAAAAATGTGAAAATCTGAACATCTTTTGTTCTAAAAGCCACAACAGTCCAAACTATGAATGACTTAGGCGGCCTCCTTTAGTTGGAAATCTAAATTTGAAACTTCGACAGCTGCCAACAAAAATGGCCTTCGTTTATGTGTGCGACGCACTAGACCGCAGGACCTTTGGTCTGCTCAGGTCCGGATCAAGCTGCGCATACCTATGGTTCTATCTCCACGCGCAGCGTGGACAGATAGTGACTGCGCACTGCCCACGGCGATAAACGGAGAACATCCCCCACCCCACCCCGAGGTCCACTTACCCGCGTGCTTGAGATACTCCAGTTCTTCGGTCATTTTGGTAGCCAACGCTTGCAAGTATGCTCGGGCGTCCTTTTCATCGCTCACCCATTGGATAATTTCCGAAAGCTGGGACTCCCATTGACCCAACGCGTCCTGTTTGCTCCTCAGTGTATCGTATTCGGATTCAAGATTCGCGCGCTCCGTTTGCAGTCGAGTCATCGATTCCGTCAACTGGCAAAAAGGGATTTCCACTCTCAGCGATTTCAATTTGTCTCAAAATTGTTCCGCGAAATAAAAAAAATAAAAGACCCCTAGAAAGTTCATCCCAAAACAAATGAGAATAACTGTTATCGCTCAATTATTTCAAACAAGGCCTGATATACAGGAGCAGGTGCTTATAAAACTTGTGAGCAAAGTACAATTTGACTTTTAAATCTTATCCCACTATAATGGCAATTCTGTCTCATTAACTTTGACGTATGAAAAACACGATTTATTGACCTTTTTTTTGTATGATCGTAAAATCTTAAAATTATTTGAGTTACCACTTCTAATAATACAGAACTTACTGCATTTTCAATTGTCTAACTCTTTTTTCTAAACCAACAGTGAAAGAAAATGTAATATTTATAAAAACAAATGATTCATTTGTACCTATAGCACTCACTAAATTGGAAGCTACCTCTGTTTCTTTGGCAGATTCATCGGCTATGATAAACCAATTTGAGGTAGATTGCAAAAAAAGTTTCAGGTACTGTTGAGGCTGCGGTTTTAAAAAAAATATATGTCATGGCTTCAAAATCCTAAAAAATACTATCCGAAAACTTCTGTAGGTGTTAACCATTTTTAGACATATGTTTACAGATCAAAAGACACAATTTTTCCTTTGGGAAATATTGAAAAAAAATGCTAATTTACGAATTGTATATTGCGCAAATTGCCACTGTCTGAATGCAACATGTATTGTTGAGTTATTAACTGTATAATTAATAATAATTAATATTTATTCAATTCAAATAGATCCATGGTATAGGTGTAAAATTATAAGATTTCTGAAGAACCGGTTTAATTATAAAGGAAACTGCTCGCTTTATTTAAAATAACATAACTCCATCCACGTTCTCAATTGATAAAACTCTTTGCGATTTTTGCCAATATTTTTTATATTCCGCAATTTAAATAAAAAAAATAAAATAAAATAACACGTTTTTCGGGGCTCCCCTTATGACAATGCAATCTTCTTTTCCGGCAACTTACAAAGAAATTTAACTAATAAAAATATATCCGTTTATTTCTCTCTTAATTAGTTGACACATTAACACGCTCCTTATACTAGAATGGGCGATTTGACCTACCACCCGCTAGCGCCAAATTGAAAAAGGAACAAAACAACAAAACCAAAGAATAAAAAAAAAACTCACAAAATCTACAGTTTCGTTAAGCTTTTTATTTTCATCGGCTAGGATTTGTTTGTCTCGTTCGTGACGACGGTTTAATTCCGCAAAAGTCTGCTCGGTATCCGCGATCACCTCCAATTTTGACTTTTCCCACTTTTCTTTTAGTGTCTGTACCTGGGTTGTCGAAAAAAAAAACAAAAAGAAAAACAAAAAAAATGCAAAAGAACTATGAGAAAAGGTCGAGAATACCTCTCTTTCCAAAAGGTCCCTATGAGATTCCGCCTCTTGGAGTTGTTCCCTCAGAGAGGCCAGCTCCATATTGTATCTAGCTTGTTGCTGTGCCAAACCCTCATTATACTGAACCTGACGAGGTAAATGTTTCGGTTACTTAAATTACTTCGGGACATTTGAACTACAATTAGTATTACAGTAGTCCCTGAGTTTCTTTGAAAAATTGACATTTGAACTACTATTTACAAATCTTCTGGCTTCAGCGCTTAACCGACACTGACACATTATCAATTAAGCTCCGAAGAAGACAACAGTAAATGGTAAATAGTATTCGGAAAAATTGATATTCGCACTACTGATTCCCGCACGAACCTCTAATTTTTCCAGTTCGGCCTTGAGCCTCAAAGAGTCCTGCTGGTCCCTGGGACTCTGGTGCTCGTTTCTCACCCGTAACCTGTCCGATTCCGCCTGCATTTGTCGACAATACTCCTCGGACCTTTCGCGGAGCTTCCTCTCTTTACTGGCCTCCGCCTGCGCCTCCTCCACCCTAGACTCCAACTCCCGACGCAACTTCTCCGCCCGTCTGATGTCGTTCCGCAACGAGTCCACCTTCTGCATCACCATCTCCAACTCTTCCTCCTTGTCCCTAACCTGCCCCCACGACTTAAAAGACGAACCAAAACACGTTCAATCTAAACTACCTGCCGCGAGATTTTCTGCTTCTGGGCCCGCAGCTCCGCCAACTTGTCGCTGACCTCCGTGTACTCGGCCATGGCCAATTTTTTCTGCGCCAGCGCGTCCTTCAACTCCTTATCCTGAAATTTCAACTTGTCCTGCAGATCCTGCTTGTCCTTGTTTGCCTCCTCTTTCTCTTGCTTCAGCGTTTTCACCAAACGTTCCAGCTCCTTGATTTTCCCTGCGACATATACGCCTATTATGTCTGGTGCCAGCAGTAACAGAAATTATGAGCAGATAAATTGAACATTCTTCACAGTCATTAGAAATTTGCAGGCTACAAAGTGATAAACAATTTTAACTATCTTGGTCCATCAATTACCAACAGTGGCAACGAAACTCCGTTCAGCTGATAATCTAATCTTTCCCCATTAAAGACCGAATGGAGGCGTTTCATATATAAACTAATATAAACTAACTAAACTAAATAGTAAACTAATACTAATTATAGTTTTATTTTTACTCGTTTCTTAGAAAAGCACGGGTCTTAAATATATTGATTAATTAGGTATTGTTATATGAAAACTTCACGATATGGAGAGCATTATCCTCGTATATCGGGCAAGTGAATAAAAGGTGGCAAATTGGTTTAAATTGATTAGTATTAAATACGGAGATAATCTCATGAAGTATAGAAGAATTTAAAAAAAAATGGTGTTGTGCGATGATACTTAAAATTTCGATAGACAGATGGCACTTTAAATGGCTGAGTGGTAGCTTAGAGGGTGCAAAACTTGAGGAAAAATTTGTGTAGTGTGAACTAATTGCAATGTTGAGATCTGGATTGCTCTGGCGTCGGTTTTGTAAGTAGTATTACAGCAGCCTTTTCTTTGAAAAAAAAAAGTCGTCCTTTTGATATATGATATATACCATAACCCAACTCTCGAAACACGCACGTGTGTATGAAAATACAAAATGGACGACCTACCGGTCTCGGTGCCGTCGAGAGAATCGATGTGGAGATCTTTCGAGTGGCCGCCCGTCTCCATGTTCCTCAGTTGCATTTCCAACTCGCAGTTCCTCTTCGTCAACATATTGATTTCGTCTTGGAGCTTGCGGGTGCCATCCGGCGGCGATCTCAAGCGGTCGATCTCTTTCTCGGGCGGCTGCTGAGACGCGTTCAGCGCCAAAGACATGATATCGTTCCGCTGGTTCCGCTTTTCGGTGTCGCTCGTCACCGATATCGACGAACGAAGGTTACTCAGGTCGCAAAGGTAGCTGAAATTAAAAAAAAAAATAGCGAAACGGTGACACCGTTGTCCGGCCGGGTTTCGCTCGCATCGCAATACCTTCCCTGCGTAAAGGTGAACCCGATAAACGGTAAATGCAAGCCCGTAAAGGCATTGTTGGCAGTGGGCGGCAGAGCGTCCGATAATCTGATGTCCGCGTCGTCGACGTCGAAGTTGGACGTGTCCGTCGGACTGGACACTTCGGGGATGTACGGCGCGTTGCTGTCCCTTATACCCTCCCAGTCGACACCCTCGAACCACTGGTGGTTCTGTAATTAGAATAAATATTTAAATAATAATAATAAACAATTAAATAGGGCAGCAGAATTCAACGAAATATATGAGAAAACAAAGACCACTAAATACGAATACTTTATTAATGTTGCGGGAAGCGCAGTCTGACACCTCTCTAAGCGGCAATAGGTAACAACCACATTTCCCTCGACCTCTGGTGATGCGGATTTTTCTTTATAAATAATAGATTTTCTAAGATAAATGACGGCGATATAAAAATTTCCAAGTCTTGAAAGGCATTTTTACAGTCACCCCGATAACCAAGTCGCATGCGAATTGCTTTTCGTTGTAATCTGAACAAACGGTGCCCGCCAGCAGCATGGTCCTATATTAAAGTCGCATATAGGAGGTATGAAGTGCGAAATATGCAGGCCTTAACACACCAGGAAAGACATTTTCGGTCAATCGTCGAAGCAAATACAAATTTGGTTATATAATTAATGACCTGCGCTATGCCGATGTCAAAGTGGATCCTTGAATATAAACATCTCGAAAACTAAACATATGCTCATCAGTGGGCAGCTAGCAAAGAAATCAAGTATATATATTAACAACGAATCCACAATCAAGATATAAAATGCCGAATCCAACAAGTAAGACAAGCATTTACTAAGTTCAAAATCAGTCTCTTTCGTTTATGATCCGTTATAGAATGGTGCAGTGTTATGTATGGTCGACATTACTTTATGGCATGGAAACCATGGGGTCGTGTGAGCGCCTCTGACGAGACTAACTCATGATGATTCGTTGAGGTCACAACTTCAAAAATAATTCACAAAACTAAAGCTGACACCTGTAGAATGTCAGCTGAAAGTGTGAGAAATATTTTGCGCAACCATTTGAGCAATGAAAAGCTGAGTGCCGCGTTCGCTAACGCTCGATTCGAACAAACAATTTTATTGCTTCGATTCATAACTGTTGATGAGAAATAAGGAACCATCAAAACAGTGAGTTGCAAAAGCGAACCAACCCCAAAGAAGGCTAAAACAATTTTATCGGCAAACAAGGTCGTGGCTACTGTTTATTCGGACACAAAAAGGGCTATCATTGGCAAATACTACGAGTTATTGTAATGTTTGAAGTACGAGGTGCACCTGATTTGGCGATGAAAAAAAATTTGTTTCGTCACGATAACGCACTGGCGCATCCGCCAATTGTTGTCAAATTAAAAAAAAAGTGAACTCGCTACTCTCCAGACTTAGCCACCAGTGATATTCGTTGCATATTCGCAATTGTGACACTCAAACTACGATACAGTTATGTATCATCAACAAAAAACGGAGCTGAGCACTGTACAACCACACCGGCCAGATCCGCCACATAAATCAAAAATAATAAGGTATACAATAATAATACTGAGCCTAGCGGCACTCTCAATAACATATCTCGAGATGACGAGACCTGCAGAAAATTTAACGTTCTTTCATCAAATCCAATAAAAAGACATTTATGACTAACAGTATCGAAAGCCTTTGCGACATCCAGTAGAACCAAAGCTGTGGTCCGTAGACTTGTCACTTGCTCTCAATATTTCGTCACACGAGTGCGATAGGGAAGTTACAGTGCTATGCCCTTTCCTGAATTGGAAGTAACTCATTCACAGTTATCTGTTTGTATACCACTTTCTCCAGAATTTTGGACAAAATCGGTAATAAGTTTCTTGTAATCTTGGGAATTGGTACAACCAATATACCTCTTTCCACGACGCTGATAAATATAAGATTTCAAGGCAACAACTCACCAAATGACAAACAGCTTTACCACTTCCAATGTGATCGCACCAGATTTTACTTCTGACACGACTGTCTTAAATAACTAATAGAATATATAAATAAAAAATCATAGTAATTATGAGACTTTTACTGTCCACTGTTCTGTGAACTGTGACCACGGAACGGTCTGTTTGAGTCTAAGAACCTGAACCTGAAGCTACTAAGATATCTTAATTGGCGGTTATTACGAGGGCAATACAGATAAATTGACTTTTTGTATAATACGATTTTATACCATACACGCTGCATAGTTTATGAGAAATATGTTGTCTCCGCCTGATACCACAAATAATCTTAACAATATTAAAGATTAATTTTTTGACTTAAATAGTACCTTATTTATATTGTTTAAGTGTGGATTAAATCTCAAAGAGCTGGCAAGTGTCAATCCAAGGTTTCTAACTTGTGGGACGGGACATACTTTCGTTATCAATTTTTATGAGTATTTTTTTTTACTTTCCTTTGTTCCAAAGATCATTGTATTAGCTTTTTTGGAATATATTGCGAGAGAATGGTTATTTGACCGATTAACAATACTAACCATGTCTTCGTTGCTCATATCCATGGCCAATATATAGTTCAAAGCAAAATATGATCATAATCTTTGAAACTTTGGGTTCTTCCTGACCAAAAACTGTGAACAAGATCCAATGATGAGCTAGGTAAGCCTAGGGATTTTAGAATTACTATTAGAAGGTTATTAGTAGGTTGGCCGTATCAAAAGCTTTTGCAAAGTCTAATAACGCATCCCTTCAATTATCCGCAACTAACCTTGAAATCTTCCACGCCGTTTTGTCCCAATCGAAATTCTTGACCGCAAATGAGCCTCTTTATCAAATCCTTCGCGGAGTCGGACACGTCGACGTCCATCGTGAAATCGAAGCAATTCTTGTGGTTCATAATTTTGCCGTAAGTTTCGACCAGACTTTCCGCATAGAACGGTGTTTCCCCGAATAACATCTCGTACATGCACACGCCTGAGTACGAAACAAATAAGTTCAAACAAAATCCCGCCAATCGGTGAGTAAGCCACTAGAGATACATTTGAACTCCCTGACGCCCATGTTTACAAAAGGCTGGTTCGATGCGGCAGTTAAGTTTGAAAAATCGCTTACACCGAGAGAAGTTTGCCTATTTTTTATGATTTGCGTCACATTCAGCTATTTTCTCATTAAATCCGAAATTTGTTCTGTGTGCTGCTGTTAAAATATTTTACTAATTATATTTAAACGTGACTGTGTAGATAAACGAGCAGTACACTCGAACTACTCTTCGTTCTGTTTATTTATTAAACTGTTGGATTTTGTTGTGAAAGTTTCTTTGAAAAATTAAAAGCTTATTAGTGGTTTTTAAGTAGAGAAATCAACCAACAAAAAATCCCTTTACTTAATACAAATACTAACGAAAGCAACTACCATGTACGGGGTTATCTTTAACTTTGAAAGATAAAAAAAGTATAAATAAAAAAAATTTGAAGATTTTTGCTCTATTGTCCTATGCAAATGTCAGAAAAAACAAACGAAGATCGGAAGCTGTCAAAATGACAGGAACATCATTTTTTTAAATGGGATACCCTATATATTATTAACTTAAATCATAGATCTTTTTTTCTTGATTTCAAAAACATATAAGTTCATTGACATTTTATTTAGCCGTTTTTGAGATATTTCAATTTAAAAATAATTATCATTCGTTTTCTGGACAAGAGTCATATTGTTTAAAAAGTCTGCCTCGATAGAAACCATATGAAGAATGTTCTACTCTATAATAAAATTATATAATTTAAACAATCGAAATATCAGTAATTACTGGTAAACATTTTCCACATAACCTCCATTGTTTTCTATACATCGGACAATATTTCCTTTCAATTTCCTATTAATACACGACGTGATAAAATCATAAAATATAAGTTTTTCTCTTATCACCTGTCCACTTTCAGGCCTATTATAATAAAATTTATTTTTTAAGTATTGCCACAAAAAAATCCAAATTCATTATTTAGATAATCGGTAACCGGTTGGACATTATGCCAAATTAAATTTAAACAATTCCTAAAGGCACATTTTCTAACAAGTGCGCTATTTCTGTTGCAAGGACATTTAAATATCGTTGACCATTCAAGGATCCTTCGTATATTTATTTTTAAAGTGGCTTAAGTCCAATTTAAACGAAACAGAAAGAAAACATATTTTAGAAATGTTTTGGAACTTTAAAAAGCAAAATATATTGCTATATGAAGCGACCGGACGCAATGTATTGGTTAAATTGTAAAACAGGCAAAGTTGCTTTTTGTAAAAAATTCATTACTTTTCAAATTCCCGAAATTTGAAACCCATAATCCCAACAGAAAATATCTTCATCATGAACTGACTACAAAAAAAAATGGAACTGAGGTGGGTTTTACTTGATGAAAATCCATTTATCAAAATAAATAAGAACTAAAAGTTCAGATTTTCACGAAATTATATATTTTGACATGACAACACCGGGTCTTTATCAAATTTTACATTTGCATTGCATCCGCAAACTTTTTTTATTTACACTTGTTTTCTATCTTTTAAAATTAACCCACACGGTGGGTGTCAAAATATAGTAAATAACCCAGCACTTGAGCTGTTTGATAATAAGTAAAATGACGGTCTGCGACCTTAAAATTACTTAAAAAACCCTGAGCTACAAACCTAAGGACCACCAATCGCATTCGGGTCCGTATCTCCCCTGACCATCTTCCATTGCCTAGAATTGCGAAGAAACGATGAAAATGTAGAGTCGGCGTTAGGTTAAGACTCACCCTGAGTATTTCCGGGGATATATAATCGGGGGTACCCACAGCCACATTCGATTGCACCATACCGTCATCGTTTAACCTCAAACAACTGCCAAAATCAGCCAGCCTTATGTGACCATTCGCGTCCAACAAAACATTATCGGGTTTGATGTCTCTGCAACAAACGTTTTGCAGGATGCTACAATGGGCAATACAAAAACTGGCCCAACCTGTGTACGTATCGAAGTTTGTGAATGGAATCCACGGCTAGGACCATTTCGGCTATGTAAAACCTAGCCATATCTTCCGGAAGACGATCTTCGAATTTGCTCAACAATGTCAACAAATCACCTCCGCAGTAATAATCCATTACCAAATAGAGATTCGATTCGTCCTGAAATTCAAAGTTCCGATGAAAAAAATGCAATTGGGAGAGAGACTATGCTATATAAATAAGTAAAAATAAATATCGGACCTAAAATATGCGCGTCTATAACACCACACCATACATTAATTAATTGGTCGCCCTGGATTTTTATGTCGTGTATTTGGCTAAGCTTATTTAAAGACCAATATCGCATATTTTGTCTATTACAACTCTTTCTTGTAGTGAATGAACTTTCATCAGCCTATAAAATGTTTTTCAAAAAATTATTATTCCCATTATGTTTAAAAAATCCAAACAAAACTGCATGTTCCTTTGACATTGTTCTGCACTTAGTTTTTGAATTTTACGAAATTTAAATGCATTCATTATATTTATATTCTTTCAAAACTGAGTGGATTAATCCCCGATAAATACCTGTCTCTTCATATACTTTAGTAATAGAGGAAACTGGATGTGCTTCATAGAATCCTAATATGTTTTCCTTATTTTCTTCATTTAAAACATTATACGTTTTCTGCAAATTTATTTGCCAGGCTTAGAAATATATGTTTTGAAGGAGCTCGGCGCTCTGGATAAAGACTAATAAATATACTGACGACGAGCTGCGATTATACTTTCGTTATAAATTTCCTATTTCTGCCGAATTGTCAAAAACAAGTGGACTAAAATATAAAGTGTATTACATCAACCGGAATGAGATATTCTGTTCAACACATATATAATATACAGGGTGTTCAATTTAAAAAAAATATGACGTAGTCAAAAAATTGATAGTGTTTTGTTTTATACGTCACTTGCAAAAAAAAGCCTGCCAACCTTGATATCTCCAAAAACAAAAAAGTTGCAGCCAATTAAAATGTTATCAAGATAAATTGAATGCACGGTACACTCAGATATAAAGAACAGGATGGGGATAGAAAAAGGCTAAAAATTAGTATTTATGTTCAAACTATACAACGAAAATGCAGAAGCATAAACTGTGCATTATTATGTTTTTCGTTTAATTATTTAAATAGGTGTATTTTACTTTTTATGAGTGGTAATATTTTCACGTTGTACGTTTTGTGCTGATCTCAATAAAAGAAGACTTAAAAAAATAGGAGTTTGATTTAAATCACGACTTTAAATTTAAAAAATCGAGTGATTTAAATCACTGGATTAAAATCAGCCGAACCATATATTATTAAACCATTGCGAGGTAAATACCTGAAACGCGTAATGCAAGTGCGTTATCCAGCGTCGATCTCCGAAGACAAGCACATCCCTCTCCTCTTTAAAGCAAGCCGTTTCCGCTCGTTTTAACATTTCCCACTTGTTTAAGATTTTCATCGCGAACACTTTTTCGGATCCCCGCATTTTCACCACGCAAACTTCGCCAAACGCTCCCCTGCCGATCACCTTTATTATCTCGAAATCATCACGGGTGAGACGAAGAGACTTCGCCGTACAGGCCACGCACTTAACTGTAATCAAATATTTTCACTTTGTCGGTTAAAGTGAAATTAAAAAACGACGTTTTCTTCGTTCTTCATTAATATTCACATAACATAGATAATTTATTATACTTCGACCAGAAATATAGTGCTTTTAGAACCGACCCTGCCGAGCAGACCCTTACCCGTAACCATTCCAGGACCGTCCTAGGAATTTATCTACCTGGACTAACAAGCGGGATATAAGTATGTTTTCAATGTACACAAAAAAAAATTAGTACAAAGTAACAATTTATTACGTTCATTGTATTTCTACATTATATCATTATTAATATACAAAATATTAAATATAATAATAAAATATCAGTCGCTTAAAAAATCATGACTATCGCTACTGTCGTCACCTAGTCCACTAATCGTTCTCACTAAATATTTTCTTCTTTTATGACTCGTTTTCCACAGTTAAACTAGCTTGGTACTGCTATTTTAGCTATCTCTCACGTTTATGCTACTAGCACTAAATTTTGGTGCGGTGTTATTTCAACTCAGACCAAATCATCTCAATCGAGCCAAATACGAGGGTAATCTCAAGATTTCATGTCCATTTTGTTTAGTCTTTATTAAAATGTTTTATTTTTAATAATTCCACAAGCTGTTTTTTCGTGCAGATCTCTTCAAAATATAAATCATTTTCGTACAGAAATTCTTTAATTTCTTCTTCATTTGAAGAAATGCTTTTCCTTCTGAATTTCTGATAAAATTGTAAACATTCAAAACAATTTGTTTAGCATCCCAAGACAAATGGATCCATTTTTTTATTGGCTGAGGTAGTTCGACCTCTAAATTGTCATTAGGAACTACCCAGTGAAAACAGCCTCGCAAGGTCAAAGCTCGAGAATCAAGTACATAAATACGTACTTCTGGAAGGATCACAGTCAAATACCTCCGTAATATATATAAACATATTGCAATTTAGATTAAACTCTTCAGAACGATACATATCACGTGATGTTAAAATAAACGTTGCTACATATTCGAAAATGTCCCACAGTATCAATGCTTAATCAAACTTAAAACGTTTCAAATTTCTACAAATATTCGTTAAGGCCCATCTCATACAAGACCTACTTAGTGCAGAATAAACATCTGGTGGGATGGGTTTTACAAAGTCTACGATTAAGATACTGCAAAATACTGAAATCGTCAAAGTAATAAATGCACTATATTTTTGGTCGTATTATACCTCTCCCCAATAACAAAACCACTCTCTAACTAAGCTAAGCAGTGACGTCATCAATGACGACGAAATCTTCAATTTAAATTAAAATTCGTCACCTCAGATTACTAAAGAATAGTCATTATCAAAAAATCTGCGCACTTGTTTCACCCACGACTCTGAAGGACACGGGGTGATTTACTCAGGTGTATTGTCGGGTCGCGGTGACCTCGAACACGTCCTTAAAGCTTCGCGGACTGCGAGCCTCCGCGACCAAATTCGATAGTTTACCTCTGGGTTTACAGTAGAAAGATTTGCAACACTTGCTACCAAGATTACAGAGGACAACTGCGCAGATTTCAGAGACATCATATGGGTTCTATCATCACGGGTGACCAAGGAGGGAACCGCCCCCAATTAAATGTTTGTTTGGGCCTTACCATATTCCAGAAAGTCAGACACAGTTTTCTCTTTGCGCAAGCTCGAATTGCTGCATTCGTCGTATAGTACAAGCATGATATCGATAAGGGTTTCCAGACTGATGGCTTGGCCCGCCGAGGCGATCGGACCACTGAGATACAACGCCTCCAGCTGTCGAAGGCGGCGCTCCGCTGCCGCCCCCGCAGCAGCGTCCACACCGTCCGAGTCACCCATTTTCAGTGTTTCAGGCTAACTTTACAACAATGATGATCCAGTATTAACAATAACATTATAAAATCTGAAACAAAAAAAAAATGATATCCTGACTGCCCTGTATAATAGAAAGTTTCTAATAATAGTACCATGCCCGCGGCGAGATCAAAATGCGACTCTACAAGCATTTCAAGCATGACAACAATCTTATAGACACTACATTGGGTCTGAGTATTTTGTAACTAGTATTAAATCACTTCCATGGCAATGGGACCTTGTTTATGGATCCACAATACCGCATCATCCGTGTCGTTTATTATCAACAAAATTTAGGGCAAATCCGTGATTGCCAAATCTTCGTATTGAACATAATACTAGATAGAACGCTCGTGGGGAACTTAATATGAAATTAATGCATTAGTCACTCAAATCAATTATTGAAATGTGCCAACTTTTCTTCAAAGGCGTAGTGCATAAAGAATAAACAATGGGCAAGTCGTGCGAGAGAAACTTGGTATTCATACCAGCGTTACAATGAGATATTCTAGTAAAGCACAAAAAATCAACATTACCACAAATAAAGTGTATTCGGGTTCGAATGAAAAAATAGGGAATAAATAACAATCCGTTTTTTTATTGCATTTGATATCTTGATATCGGAAAAAGAATTTGAGCCATGCCGGGACCACAGGGGCTCGTACCATTGAAAAATTAAAGGCAACAGCAGCGATATTAATATTATGGCAAATGACGACGTTTAACCTATATTTAAAATTCACAGATATCGAAATTGCACGAACCTATTTAAAAATCTCGCGTGGAGGAGGCACACAACATGTAAACAAAGCAGATAAGAAAAAAATCACCTTCGATTATTAGTTAAACGTTCATTTTATCACTTGTCATTTAAATTCACTCATTCTGTTAGGTTTTGGCAGCCATTTTGAACTTACTCCTCCCCCGGGGCATTTGGCTACGCCACTTGCCATTTACTTCGTTGTCATTAAATCGGCATGTTTTATAGAATTAAATGGTTCTTATTTCGAAGACTACGAAACTTAAAGCGATTTCCAATATTTTCAAATTTAACGTAAACAGATTAAAAAATTGTATATTATTGCTTTTATTTTTTGGTCAGTACACTGTGGCATTTAGAATATGCCGTCGGGTGACCTCTGTTAATTCACGCGCAAACTTAAATCGTAGATATCGTTTTTTTTATGTATGTTCGAAAGTAATTACCGGAAATCATTTCAATTTGGTGAATCTACGTAATTTTGACCTGCTTCTGTATATTGAAATATGTTTCGAAGGGCGTAACTCTTTCTTAATTTTTTCATTGGAAAAGTTAAAATCACAAGTACTATCCTTGTATTTTATGTCTTGCTTGCGCTTTTGTTATGACGGTTCACTTTTATCACGGTTATAGTGACTATAACCTAATTTGAACAGTTTCTTTTTGTAGAATTTGCTTAGTTTTGTTGACATCCAATAATTTCTAGGTATAAATATGCCTTCCAAAAAGAAAAAGTACAATGCGAGGTTTCCGGCCGTGAGTATATTACGGCGCACCGTTTCAATTGTGCATCGCGTTGTTATTTTAGGGTCGCATTAAGAAAATTATGCAAACAGATGAAGAAGTGGGCAAAGTCGCGCAAGCTGTACCTGTCATTATTTATATCCTTTTTTAAAACAGCACTTATTCCTATATAAATCATTAAAGTTATCGTGTTAGAGTACATTTTCCTTAACGCAGCTTACCTAAGGCCTTAGAGATGTTTATCGAGTCCCTGTTGAAAAAGTCAATGCAGATAACAGTGACGCGGAACGCGAAAACGTTGACACCGTCTCACATGAAGCAGTGCATTTTGTCCGAGAACAGGTTTGATTTCTTAAAAGATCTGGTCAAGAATGTCCCAGACGCTAGCATACAAGAGGATAACGAAAATAATGCTCTAGTTGAGTCGATGAGTGGTTTCGACAAAGCGGATGATTCGAATTCAGTGGAAATATGTTCGTCGCCTGACGTGCGGGACAATTCACGTAAGTCCCTTTTATAGTTTCATAGAATGGACACTGGATGTGTTAAAACTTTTCTAGCACCTCCGCCGGCATCCCTCAGGGCTAATTTCTATTCAGAACAGAGTACCTCCACGGCCACTACGAGATCGCCAGTTATTCAGTTTGGACCCAAAGCTAAGGAGAGCGCGAAATTGAATTTCTCAGTGAGTAGTATATTGAATGAACCAAAAGAGACGCCCAAGGTTCACCTGACGATAGCTTCACAAGAACTGTCACAACCCCGATCAGTACCAGTTAGTAGCGCTGTTAATTTTCTGCAAAATTTAAATCCTAGCGGGAATATACCTCCCCTGGTACCGATTTCAGGGGCCTATTGTGCGCAAAGTGCTGGCGATAATTTGTGTATTGATGAGGATTACGATAACTAGGTTTGGTATCTTTAATATAATGTTAAATGGACACTAGGTATACTACCTATATATTAAGTCTTAACATTTAGAGAACTAGTAATTTATTGTTACCTGATTTTCAGAGGATATAACCATCAAATTTTGTGTAAATAAATACGGGTATATCTAGCGTCCCGAACTTTTATCATAATGTTAATCTTTTCTAAGACATTCTCATAGTCGTCCATATTTAGAGAACTGAAGAATCGTGTTGCGTATAACTGTTAAGTCTCTCTTGAGAAAAGGTATTGAAAACTGTTTTTTACCCACTTGACAATGTTCCATTTCCACTTTACCAAAAAATAGATGTTTCAATGGTAGGAAAGCAATAATATTGGAAAGAAATAATCCTAGTTGTATTCTGTTATGTATGAATCATGTAAGAAAGCAAAAAATATTTTCCTTAATAAACGATTTGACAAAATCGGTCGTTTCTTTTTGCTGTGAAAGTGAAACGAGAAATAAAAGGAAAACAGACTATAAAAAAATCTATTATTAAAAAAATATTAGTACATATATACACAGTTTTACAAGATAATAGTTATGTACAGATTAAAAATAATTTAAATTACGCTAGACCGTTAATTCTCTACACACCAGGCTTAGAGTGAACACTAACATTTAGGTGTTTAAGCTGTTGCTTACCACCGACTAATTATTCAACATCAGTCACGAAAATTTTAAAAATTACAAAACCAAAACGGTAAATAAATATTAATTTTTAAATAAATAAAATAGTGTTATAAGGGTAAACTATATCGTATAGGCATATGTTATATTGTATCTTCTTTTAAAAAATGGGCCAATAAATATGAATCCTCCAAATTTTTTTCAAGTTTCAACCTTTATGGCACTTTCCTGATATTCGAATCGAAATGGCAGTACTGTTTAATACTTCTGTTTACTTTTTGGACATTGAGGTATATTGAGGTATCAGCTGTACTCATTCCCTTCGTATAAATTCTCGCATACCTCTAGTAACCTCAAAACCGGGCTAATATTGTAGGGAAACAGTTCTCTCGCCACTAATCTGTTTATTTGCATTTTCAACCTTATCAGCACCGTCATGGTATCGTCCAGTTCGTTACTTCGGGAGGTACTACCTTCCCCGCAACTGTTAACGAATTTTGCCCAATTCTTACGCGTATACTTTAAGAACCTCAACAGATACAATAGGAAGCATGTCTCGTTGCTCACCAGGTAATCCAAGAGGACGTCCGAGTCGTGACTGACAATTTTCAAGAGCTCGATAAATGAGTGAGTAGGATTTAGCATATTCAGTAAGTCAGGGAACACGGCGTTCCTATACGAAATACCCACGGTTATATCGAGCGTGCAAACCATCGATTCGATCATATAGTCGTCCTGATCGCTAAACAAGTGCACCATTACCTTGGAAAAGGGCGTTTCAGGATGGAAGTCTAAACTGTTCTTTATAAACGCGTCTACTTTCTTCAGCACGTCTCTGATCGATCTTTCGATGAGCTGCATGTCTTGGTAAAAGTCGTAGTCGTCCGATCCCACGCTAGAGTCTGAGCTGTCCGATCGCGTTTCTTTTATGGTTATGGCGACGGATTTGAGGACGAGCAGAATCATTTTCTGCAGCAACGATTTGTCTATGGTAGAGTGGGACCTATCGGTGGCGGGCGTCGACCCGACGAAACTGTTGACGGTAACCCCTTGATCCCTTCTGTGGGGCAGACTGTCTAGCAGCCGATAGTCTTTGACATATCTGACGATAAGATGCGTTAACTGACACGTATCCTCTGGCAACAAATCCTGCAACGCCAGAGTGCTCCCGTAGCACAGGACTTCATTGAACAAGGACAAAATCTGTTTCCAAATGATTGGCGGCAAGTTGGCGTTTAGCATACCAACGAACGTCTCTAAATGGGCGTAAAAGGGCTTGGTATCGATGACACTTAAATTAGCCTTAACGGAAATTATGCTCTCCCATAGCGCCAAGAAGGTTAGAATGCACGTTTGAGTCTGTACCGAGCCGTTATGCAGAATCAAATTTTGAATTTTATAAACCAATTCGGGCCACTTCAACTCCAAGCCTTTAATGATCAGGCCTTTTATTGATGAAGTGTCATAGCTTTCCGGATCACTAAACGGGAGTGCGGCGCAATTAATATTGACGGGTTCCCGGGTGGATAAACTCGAGCTATCGTTAGATTCCGTATCTTCCAGAACGTGGATTTCAACGTCCTTCCATTCAACCACATTCTTAATTATTTCCAATGCAAAATTCATCTTCATGTAGTCCACACTCTCCGAGGTGAGGTAATTTGTGATTGTCTCTAACCATTCATTGTTTACGTTCGTTTTGGCTATGATTAAAAAACTGCTCAAAACACGAGTGGCCAAGAAATGCACAAACCTATTTCTAGTCTCGCATAATGAGATAATTTGTTCGATAAGGTTGTCTTCGTTGTGAATTATGGGATTGCACAGATCTACAATTTTTGAACATATAAACCCTTTGTTATTTTGCTTCAAATAAATCCCAAAAAGAAGCTGCAGACTGGACAGAAACTGGATAATTTTCTTAGCAGGCCACTCTGACAGTGTAGTGCTTAAAGCGCCTGCCAACTCGTTTATCTCTCGGAAAGGTCTATTCAGCACATCCACAGGGGTGCCACACAAGCACTGGGTTATTAAATGCTGCTGAAATACATCCAAACTAGAGTCCTGAACCTGTTCCAAGTCCGTATTAATCACATTGGCATATTCTATTACTGGGGAATTTTCCGGCACTATATTAGGCGCAGGCTGAATGGTGATATTATCGCCATTTGTAATGTACTGATTCTCTTCACTGACACTTTTTTGCTGATCACCGTCACTAGTCCTATAACTACCGCACTTACTGTATTCCAAGTTTACAGCATTCAATGTGATGTCTTGCTCGTTCACATGAGCCGGCATTGAAAGATGAAGGGCTTGAAGATCGGTGGGCACCCCATTCTCTACAAGATTTTGAATAAAATCGGGCTCATCTGAGTCTCCGGCACTATCTTCGCGTTTTGGTTTCTTCTTTAGTGGTTGTTCGGTCATGATACTCTCCCTTTGCCTGAGCACCATTAGAACCGATAATAAATGTGGATTGGGGCCAATTAAAAATTATGCTTCACCTAAAACCAAAGTATAACATATTAATTCTGCCGATGAAGTGCCTGAGAATAATAATGAAGTCACTTTTCGCTTCACTCACTATCGTTTCGATGCAATTCCTTCCAAAAACTCACCTTTAAAGGTTTGTGTAACAATTTAAATCAGTAGTCAATGGCGTTCTTATCTTTGCATGACCTCTGCCATTCTCAAATGCTCTTTTCACTGCCATCGATTTATCGATTAATTTCTTTACAGTTTCATTCTACGAAAATGCTTTAAATAAACTATGTAAATCGATTTGTTTATGAAAACACAATATTCACACACAACTATCAAACTCCATTGCGTACAAATATGACGGAAAAGTCAACACACCTGTTGATTTCATAGGAACGCCACAATCCTAATTCTTGCGAAGCGAATCTGAAGAAATTTATTTATCTTTTGGCAAAATAATTATCTCTTCACGAAGTTTTAAATTATACAACAATTATTATTTAACGTGAATTTAAAAAAAAATCAAGTAGATATATTTTGACTAAGAAATTACACTTTCCAAAGAATGTGCGCTGTTGCCAATTGGAAAGCTGCCCTTTAAAATAACAAACAAAATCTAAGACACACGAAACTCTTCGGTAGGCACTTTAGCTTTGTAACTATTACCCCGATAAGACAGATAATCTATGGAATATTATTTACAAAAAGAAATACACAAACATAAAACGGTAATAACAAAGTGGCCACCAATGCGTAACACCGGTGGAAATGTAGTGGAAGCAGTGTGTGTTTAATTTTTTTGGTGTTCTTAAGTTCTGTATAATAATAGTCGAACCACGAGCATGTACAAATTATTTGAATTTATATTTATGATTTTGCAAGCAAATTAACAATTTATCCTTTTACGGTTGGTAGCACCAAAATTAATAAGGACTTCAATTGATTAGAGGATAAATTTAACATGTCGTGGAAGAAGAAAGGCGACCTAACCTCAAATCTTTCATTGCTTAACAAGCAGCCACAAGTATTCAAGTGGTTCCAGTATCAAGATTTGGCAATATCGAGTTTAATTCCAAATGTAAAGTTTTGAGGTATAAATTAAAAAACATGAGGAACGTTTTGCTATTCATTTCTGCGTTATATTTAACATTGGTACAATTCAATGTTTTCTATTAGCTGGAGAGTTTCAATTTTTTTGGGTTTTAGGGTTTGTGCGCATCGGAGTTCTCCGCGGAGGATTGTTGGTCTTTAGGATTCAATAAGGCCAATTTGCTATGTTTATCTTGCGATCAGTTGCGAAATTTTAATTTAGAAGTTATTGAGTAATCGCATGCCTTTATCTTTGCATTGGCCATTATTATATTTTTTATTGCAGAGATCATTGTAAAGAGTGCTGCCATGCGGAAGAGTCTAGCACGAACATAAAAAAGTACGCCAAAGCTGTATTGGAAGTGTGCACCTGTAAGTTTGGTGCATATCCACAAATTCAGGCGTTCATAAAGAGTGATCGCCCAGCAAAGTTTGCCAATCTTCAAATTCGATATGTTAGAGGGTTAGACCCAATCATCAAACTCTACGATAAGGATGGTCATCTACAGGAAAGTGTGGCTATTGAAAAATGGAATACAGATTCGGTTGATGAATTTTTGAACACCCATCTGGATAAGGATGAGGAAGACGATTATTTACAAACTAATAGAATTTAATTTTTAATGTAATTGATAAAATTTATGAATACAAAGATGTTTTTGTTTTGCAAATCACAAATAAGAAATATTTAATGTCAGCTACTTTGTAAAGTTACAATATCATCTTCAATATATAGATTAGGAATTTTTTTCAATTTTTTGGAAATTTTTTTCACAATATTTTCTTTTGCCCGGACTTCCCCCATTTCCTTGATATAAACCTTCAGAACCTTTTTTTCCAGTTTTTTTTGAGACATGGTGCCTTTTGCATTGAGTAGGTCCAAGATGGTTTGTTTGAAGCTGAATTTTTCCACCGCAATTTCCTCATCCAATTTTTCAAAATCATTTTGTGACTGCTCAACTTCAATTTTCTTCTTTTTTGAAGGATTATCGATTTCTTGGGCTGCTCTTTTCTTTGTTTCACATGGTTGGCCATTTTGCTCTCCAAGTTTTTCATTAGAAACATTTTTTGTATTGTATTTCTCTATTATATTCCACACTGTTCCAATATCCACTATACTAATTCGTTTCCCCGATGAATTTTGCATAAAATTCTTGAAAATAAAAGACATTTTTAAATAGAACGAACTAAAGCTAATGCCTACCACAAATTTATTTTTCTTCCTGGGAACGTTGCTGTAATTTGACAAAGTATTAAATATACTTTTAACCGCAGGGGACAGGTTGGGTTCCCTCTCACAAATTGATCGAATCATATCCACCCAGGATTCTTGCTTTGCTTCACCTTTCTTAACAATACCGTTCTTGTAAGTACCTTTCGCTGCGTAACGCTCTTCCTCAGTAATACATTTGGTGTGTGAAAGGAACTCTTCCCTAAATCAATTAATAAATAATGTTTCAATTAATGCAGAACTTAATTATTCGTACCCTACAAAGTCTTTTAAGCAATCTACGCATGTTAGGGATTTCCTTGTTCTGCATACGAAGGTGTAGTGCTTCTCAACTTTTGGCTTGTGGAGAGTTTCCCCACAATTATTACATGTAAACACGACCATGGTAGTTCATACATTAAACACAACATAACCTGAGATTTTTCTTCTTCTTCCATTCCTTGCTTTCCTTAGACATTCGTCCATCGCCGACGTTCGTGGAAAACACTGAATACAAGAAATAAAAAGTACACACTTGATTATTGAAACTTAATAGTGACACCATACCGCGACCTGAAAAACTATTTTGTAATGGGAGGTTTAGATTTACATTTAGCCACACACAAAAAATTGAATTTCCGTTAATTTTTTCAAAGGCGATTTTTTTCCAATTCTTTATATTTGATTCTTTGTTAAAAAGAGTGTGGTGGCGATACGCACTAGGTCTCGAAAATGTTTTCTTAGAAATAAGCAGTTTTTTTCTTGTTTGTGGCGCCATCTATACATTGCTATTGAAGCCTTGATAAAAGAGTCTGTACACGACAATCTAAATCAGAAAGTATCACTGAGATTTAGCCTAATTCCGCAAACATAACCTAAAAGCACAGAATAAGATTGGTCGGTTTTAACCTGTCGACAGTTCAGTTTTTTTTCCTAATTCATTAGAGGTTTGTTTAAATCAACATCGCCATGGCAAGTGCGCCGCAACACGAAAATTTTATACAAATTTCCAATTCAATCAACTGTTATTTTGAGTCCGAGGTACAATAAAACAGATCAATATTAATGCCAATAATTTATTTGACATTGTTCAGTGGGATATACAGTCAAACAAATATTTTTGTTCCTCAAAACAGTATGTTCCGGCAGAGCATAGCCTCAGCCACTTATTAACCAGTGGCGTACACAAATGTAACACATCGATATTTTAAGAATTATGTCAGTAGAAACCAGGTAGAAAAGTAACGTGCAAACGATAGAGAATTCCCTGCTTTTCCGTTTGAAAACTTTCTAATATGCGTACACCACTGTCACCAAAGTTGCCAGTAACGGGCTAATCCAGTAAACGGTACTATATAAAATTTCAATACTTTGGTCTTTCTTCAATGACTAAAACGTTTTAATTGCACAAAAAACAAACTTAACAAAGGAAAGTATTTAAACTACGCTTAGGTACATGAATTTTGTTATGAGATAACGTCACACCGTAAAAAAAGCACACGCTTCCGAAAAAATATAACAAACAGAAATAAATAAATAACGTTTTCAATTTATACCCTAGTCTAGAGATTATTCGGAAGAAGTTTGGAGTCATTTCGATGCAAAACTATGCAACGAGCTTTAAATCTTGGAGCTCGAGTGAAATTTCCAGTTGCAGATGCTTCACACCGCTTTGCTTAAAAAAAAAGTTTTACACGAAACGACTGGAAGAAAAAGTCTCGCGCTCCTAACTCAAACACAAGCAGTCTCCACATACCTTCGAAACACATAAAAACTTCTAACAATCATAGTGACAACTTGATACACATTTATGATTATTTTGGCTTTATTATAATCCTTATTATTAATTTTAATGGTTATATAAATAAAATGAGCTAAGTGAAAAACGATGGATGTCAGTCGTCGGTGAGTGTTGGTCCTTATTGCATATTGGACGGCCCCAGCGGCGCAAGAGGTAACCGTCAAAACACTGCAACAACACAAACATAACCTAATGAATTATATACGTCATTAACATCGCCGCCATTGCTTAATGACAATAACACAAAATGTGTTTCTGTCAACTCTCCAAGATGTCTCTTCCATCTAGGTGTCACGATGTGCACTTGGCGTAAATTAACACTTACAAAAGTAAGATTATCAGGAAAACTCATATAACTCTGAGAGAATATAGTTGCCCTACTATGGCAAAAAGTGATGCGCGCCACGTGATATTTTTGTACCGTACTCACAAACTTGTATAATTTGTGCCTTCAACACTTTGATCTTTCACGAAATCTTAAAAAAATAGTGATGCCTATTAAACAAACTGGAATATAGACTAAGACAACTATTTGAAAATATCAAATTACTAAACAGAATTCCCTATATTTATAGGTACACTTACGAAGGTTGTCTCGGTAATATGTCTTAGTGTAGAAGAATTACAGGAAATATAAGAAAGCAATTAAGCTACAAGTTAAATTCTTACTAGAACAAGCATAAGAAATATCCCGTGTCAATTACTGTCTTGAACATTTTTTTCACTTAAAAGTTTCATGTGCGACATCTAGTATCTCAAAGATATTTCAATGGAGGTTAAACCTATGAGTTTATGAAAACTAACGCTTTGCGCCGATTTACAAAAAAAAATAGCTTACATAAAAAATTACATGTAGAAATTGTATCTACAAGACTTGAAGAACAAAAACAATTCTGCATTTCGTTTCTTTCTTTTCTCCTTTTAATAGGATTTCGACATATTTTGTGAGAATACAGCCTTAAAAATTATGAATCTAAACATCGCCCATCTGTCAGCGGCCATGTTGTTGGCAATGGAATTACACACAACCGAAATTAAAGAGAAATCTTAGTAGCTTGTCATTTTGGTTAGTTTTGGACTACCACCTACAGGGTTAATTTTCAAAGATAAAAAAAGTGTAAATTATTGCTCTATGATTATTAGATTAAACTGTAGATCTTTTTTTCCTGATTTCCAAAACATATAGTTTATTTACATTTCATTTAGCCGTTTTTAATATCATCAATAATTATCATTCGATTTCTGGATAATAGCCATATTGTTTAAAAATGGTCAAGTCTGCCTTGATAGCAACCATATTATCTACGTTTGCAATTGTTTTAACAATGATCTAATTTTGACAACTAATCAAAACTAAAGATCTGCAGCGTAAGTTAAATAACTTAAGATATTTCAAATGGGTTATACTGTGAAAGAAAACGCCAAATAATAAAATTATATTATTCAAACAATAAAAATATCAATAATTAATGCCAAATCAGGGTTTTCCCTGTTTAGATCTTGTAAACTTTCAGACCTATTATAATCAATTTTATTTTTTTAGTATCCCCACAAAAAATATCACAAGGATTCAGGTCGGGGAGCTGGCAGGCCATTTGATAGTTCCTTGAATGAGCATTTAAAGTCTATATTTATTATTGGGATAATCGGTAACCGGTTGGACATTATGTGAAGGTGCCAAATTAATTTTATGCGAGATACTTCAAAAATGCTGCTTATTTGCGATTATTGTTGCATGGTAGTACCTGAATGTCCGACTGTGAGGACTTCGATGGGCAAAGAACCCCGGCGCCGAGCCAGCAGCGCGTCGGGATTATCGGGCCTCCTATGGTGAGCAGAAGAACAAAAACGGGCCACCACGTCCGATCCCGTGTCTAAGACAGTTTCCGGACCGCCGCTGCTACGCCTGCGTAGTTGCTTTTTGCCCCGGCTCCGACTCGTCTAAAACAAATACGTCACGTCACGTCAAAACAATTAAAGTTATAGATCGTGCCTAATGCCGTGGTTGGTCGTCATTAAAACATGTAGGTTGTTTTTGAGGGTTTATTTGTCGAATTGCAAGCGATTGATTACACTGCATTTTAGAAACACGAAAAATTACGGACAAACAAGGATTCATTATAGAAAAATATCCAAATCGGTATATTCAACTATTACACCACAGACCAGACACGTAACACCTAACGTAAGACGCAGTAACGTTACACGCAACACTTACGAAGTAGCTATGAAAAAAAAATTTACCAATTACTTAAGGACATTGAATGCAGAAATCACTGTTTGCGAGGAAAATGGCGCCAAGCGCTGCTTAGCGAAAGTTCCTTTGCAAGTTTCCTGGCATAAAAACATTTCGGGATTTTGGAAATGGTCAATATTAAAGTGTCGATGCGCTTACCTTGCCGTTGAGACTGGTGTGGCGTGTAAATTCGTAAGGGTTCGGGCCGCTCCCCGCAGGGGGCAAATCGACGGGGGCCGAGCCCCGCCTCTGGTACTGCCAAAATGTACGAGTCGTTTCTACGGGCGTGATATTGATGACGTGGCCCGACTCTACGCCGTCGTCATCAAAGGTACCTGAGAAATATCGATCAAATTTTTTCCAATTTTTTGTCAAAATACCACTTCGCTGAACTGAATTATATTACGATGTGGGTATTATGTGCTATTTCAGTCCTAAAATGTGGACCCTGTAAAAACTTTTATAAGATCTTTTCACGTTAAGTTAATCTCCCACACGCTAGAGGGGCTCTAGTAGACAATTTGGTTTGGTGCTATTCCGTGACTAGGAAACAGTTGACAGTTGCCGTGGTTACGTTTATTGCGAGAGTGGGCGAATGATTCGAGCAGTCCCGACCAAGTTTGCGTGCAACGCAAGGAAGGAGAATTACTCCGATGCTGGTTTAAACCGACCTTTAAGAAGCGGAAACCATTACACATGGCGGAAGTTGCTATCGCTTGGTTCGATAATATTTAGAAATCTGCTGAAATAGTGTCGTTTGATTTAAAATAGTTTTTAGTAGTATATTTGTTAACTCAATCGCTAAAGGTGCAGTGCGTATAATTTTGTGTTATAGTGTGCGTCTTATGCGGATGTTTATGGATTTGTATAATGTCCACTGTATGAATATTTAAACACCTCAAACGATGGGAGTTTTCCGGACCCTTTATTTCTCAAGGCATCCTTTAGGAATTATGGACTGTAGTTACATGATTTTGTAAGCTAACCTTTAGTAGTAGAAAGAACCACACAACAACCGACTTTTAAAAACTTCAATCTCGTGAATATGTGCTCTGTAATCGGCTACGGAGGATTGATTTCAGATGCATCGTTTTGGTTAGTTTTGCCAAAAACGAATCTGAGGTAAGTGATTGATTTTTTTTTGTGGTTACGTGTTTGTTTTGCATTTGCCAACTTACGACTTAAAAAAGTATCACCACAAAGAATTTGTGCATCGCGCATGAATTTACAGAGGTAAGTTAACATACATTGCAGGATTTGGTGCTAAACAAACAACTTTTTCAAAGGGTAAAAGAGTGCGAGGAATGTCATGGAGATTTAGTTGGTTGCGATTGCACAGAAGCAGTATATTTTATAGTGGACGCAGGAACCTATTCATCGACAAAATTTTAATATCTTTTTTTCAAAAATCTATCCGTTTTACATAACTGCTATCGTGGGGTCACAAAGGACCCCCCAATGTCCTGCGCGGAACCGTCTGCCACGATAGTAGTTCAGGGTTAAGTAACTTTGTTATTGACAAAAAAATTAAAATTATCGCATATTCTCTTAATTAAGTATATAGTTTAATTATTTTGCGTATTTTTGATGTGTCTCTACAGGGTTATTCACGGTGACTATCCTTTTAGACGTTTATGAAGAATAACTTATTGTAAAACTCTGAAATATTGGTTACTTATGTAAGGGAATGTAAGCTAACTATGTAAAACATTTTTGGCATCTAACATTTATCATCAACAAAGCGAATTCATTCTCTTTCATTAGGGAAGCTTTGGCCTGCCATGTTGACGTTTTTTATAAACAAATTTGTATTTGAGATAAATAAGCTTAATTTTCAAACATGATTGTAAGTTCTCGACTTACTCTATTTGTGCAACGAGCCGGAGCTCCATCAAGTTGGTACTAACATCTGCGAGGTAACGCTAATGGCAAATTCTGTAAAATTTCTGTAACTACTGTTCATAAAATATCTAGATATTTTTCCCCGTTCAAATTCTCGATGTAGGTACAAAAATCTATTGTATTTTCATGATCTTCAAACAAAACATGTCGAAAATAAATGTATGTTGAAATCGTTTTTCTCGTACAAATTTTTGATTTCCTGATGACCACAAAACTCTAAGCGTACTGATGCATCACGAGGGAGAAGCGATTCTTGAATGGACGTCTTTAGCCACATGCTAAAACGTTGGTCTCAATTTCTTCTGAGTTTGTTACGGGATTTGGAAGTTCTCTTCTTCGTCGGTTTCGAAAATTTGCTTCAATTATTTGAAATTTGTTCATTAAATCTTCTGCACATTCTTGAAACAATTCTTTGACGCCATAAATGTAGAACAAATTAAGAATATCTGCGTTTGCGTAATAATGTGCCATCTTGCTTTCCCAAATATATGCAACTTTTAACTAGGAAAATGTAATAAAATGAGAAATCCGAATGCATCTAGGCATGTCTGTTATTTTTTTACAGGAGACGTCAGCATGGCCGGCCAGAGCCTGCTACCCAGATAAAATTTAATTCGCATTATTTACAATAATTTGGTTTTTTGCTTATAACTCGAAAACCTGTGAAAATAGATACATCATAGTTGGGTATTTTTAGGTGGCAAATTATTTGCTCATTTACGTGGCAATATAAAGTATGGATGGTTCCACTTAAAATTCCCACATAACATGGATTTTTATATCTTGCCAATTGGGCCTTATCTTATGAGCGCCTTGTACGCGATAAGTTAATTCTCATATTATATAACCGAAAATTCATGTGTTTAGCTGTACGGGTTGCGAAAGAAATTATTTTATATCGGGTCGTTGCCAAAATTCTTAAAAAGTATTTTTTATCTCCGAAAATGGTAACGACAGGTATGGTACATGTTACATAAGAATGTTCCAGAATCTAAAAATGTAATAATATACAGGGTGTTCTATTTAAAAAACGAAAGTTTTTTCAACATTTCAAGTTTTGAATAACCCTGTATATTTGTTATTTTTAAGATTTGTGTTCTCAATAAACATAAATGTTATTAATTATTTAGGTATTGAAATTTGCTATATGATTCATCCGGATGCTACAAGGCGTTCATGGAAGTGCAATTCTATCCGCCCCTTTAATATCTCTTATCTATCTTCTTTGTTCTTTGCCTTATGGGTTTTCGTTCTTGAAGCTAATTGATATTTGTTTTCTGCCATATATTTGATGCGTTTTTTTTTTGTCCGTTCGTATAAATAACTGAACCAAGTTCATCTCATAGCGTCCGTCCACCTTGCAAAAACCTTTGTATAATTAATATATAATTAAAAATGGCTTATTTTATTGCGTATTTTCGATGTGTCTAAATATTTATTATTTTTAAGATTTGCGTTCTCAATGATGATTAAACTGTTACGTCTTTCATTTTAATTTCGTCGAATAACATAAATATTATTAATTATTTAAATTCTCGGACACTAGAGGGCGCAGCGACTCCGGTCCTTGGACTTGTTAGGGAGTTGTCGTTCTATAGCCCCCTTAGATCTCTAATCTATGATTCATAACTTTGTTTATATTGCCTGTGGAATCTTAGACTGAGGATTTTGAGATTTTATCCTGAGGATAGTGCGCGTCACGAATTGCGAAATATTACTCACGATAATGAGCCACTTCCGTGGGAACTGATCCGCGTCGCAACTCAGCCGAAGTGGGCCCCCCGCCAGCAGAGGGCTGATTCTCGTCGGGTTTCGCTAACGACAGGGACACGGGAGCCGATCCCCTTCGTCTCCCCAAATTCTGAAAATCAGGATAACGTCGGGCTTCGCACGCTCTCGGAGGGTTGATGATTTACTCACGATGGTGGTTTGCAGTCTTTTCGGATCCATATTCTCCTTCTCGCGTCCCGCAGCGCCCTCCGACAACTTGACCATCTTGGTGATTTTGTCCGCGTCCCCCCTCTCCGTTTCTCTCTTGTTGTTGTTACAGGACAGGGACCTTTGCATTTCGGACACCAAATCCGAACACTGACTATTGTTGGGACTCAACACGGCTATGGATGGTATCGGAAAGCTTTGGAGGGGCGCCTTGTCGCTGTGTGATATGTTACTGTGGGAACCCTGGGACGAGTTCGAGTAGCTCTCACCTTTAAATAATAAAAAAAAGGGAACTCGTTACGATGTGACGTCACATCTTGTTGTGAAAGTGGTTTCCGTGGTTCGGTCGAAAATATGCGGGGTGTGTCCAGATGATGGGCGGAAAACCGAATATTCCCGTTTCTTGGCGTTTATTTTACTTGGTGTTCTCAAAATATAGATTCGTTTGTTTTAAATTATACACGGTGATTTATTTTTGATAAAAAAAATATCAAAACCGAACCTATTTTTCAAAGAAACTTCCACAAATTTGTAATACGTTTTATAGAATTTCTGGATTCCTCCTGGGTCGGTCTTGCTAACATTTCGCCAATTATCCTGTTGGCTTCTTAGGAGCTTAGTAAATCTGGTTTTGAGTTTAGAAGTATAACGTGAAAACCAAATTTACCACTTGTCCAAAAATCTTTCAACGTCTTCGATCCGTCAGAGGCAAAATGACGAAACCGGACATAAAAGTTTATTCGATAAAACTAAAATTCCATCATTATAATAATCATTATAATATAATAATAATAATAAATTGCCTTTATTGTTGTTTATTGTTATATACAAATATACGGTACAGAAGAGGCAAAGTCTAGCAAAAGCTTAAATGTTTAAATTGAAAACTAAATAGGAAGTTATAAATAGATTGATAAATTAAATATATTATAATAGATAAATGTAATAGTAATATGGAACAACAGAAAGTTATTACAAGTTAAAATAAAAAGAATAACATTGAAAATCAAATTATTTGAGAAGTTAGTAGTTTCGACCTGAAACATTTTTTTTAAAGAATTTAATTTAGTGTACTTTTATTAAATCGGCTATACTAATAAAAATTACAACAGCGTTAAAAGCAAATGATCTGCGGAACAAAGATAAATGATATCGTGGCAGTGAGAGTCTGTAGAGTTGCCTTAAAGCCACTGATTGAACATTACGAAAGTATAATTTAGCTCGTAAGTCGGAAGGATTGGGTGTGCTAGTAATCTGGATAACCATAGACGCCAAAAAGTACTTGAAAGTACTGTCAATTTTTAGCCAGTTAAGTTCTTCGATTTTGTGGGAAATCCTATCAAATTTGCGCAAGCCGAAAATAAATCGGAAACAACTGTTTTGAATTTTTTGCAATCTATATTAATACTATCAAGAGGACTAACCATAGTCCATAATCGAAAGGACAAGTGATTGTGCTAAAGGTTTCAGTGAACTGAAATTAAAGACAGTTCTATGCCTATATAAGTGGCGCAAAACCAAATAACACTTTTTCACCAACAGAGATACATATTCCACGAATCTAAGTCTACAATGAAATATAACACCAAGATTTTCCTAATTCCTAATTTTCAAACGTTAGGTTTAGGGGAATAGAACATTACACTGCATTTTTTAGCATTAAGTTGAAGATTATGCTTAGAAGAATATAATATAATAGAAATAAGTTATGCAAATCCAAATTGATATAAATTGAAGCAATATCAAATAATTTAGGATTGAAGGAGTAAAATAGCTGAGTGTCATCAGCAAATGCAAATTCAATTATTCGACGGATATATAAATATTAGAAATATAAATTAAGAATAATATAGGTCCAAGGACAGAATCTTGCGGTACACCTGATCAAACAGGGAGTAATTCAGAACTTATATTGTTAAAGGTAACTCTCTGATATCTGTTAGCTATGTAGTTTTCAAAAAATCGAGTCGAAACATCATCGAATCCGTAGTAACTCAATTTGGCGGACATAAGTTTATGGTCAAGCCGATCAAAGGCTTTAGAGTAATCTAAAGACATAAGTGCAGTCGCAAGACCATTATCTAAAGAACTAATAATGTGATAATTGATGTTTAAAAGTAGACTAATAGTACTAAAACATTTACGAAATCCAGATTGACTGTTAGTGACAATATGATTGGTACATTTATGAATTTCTCCAAAATTTTAGGTACAGTTGAAAGAATACTGATTGGGCAAAGGTCTGGGAATTGGCTGAGATTGTTATATTTTGCCAATGGTGTGATCAAAGCAAACTTCCAAATACTAGGAAAGTAGCGTACTTCCAAACAGCAATTAATAATATGTGTAACGTATGGCGCGATAATACGGGGGGTTATTTGAAGTATTCTAGCAGGTACACATTCTTCTTCCAACAGAAATCTATAGGCAACCTAACAATCTTAACCGCGACTCAGGTCTCTACCTGTCCCCAAGCAGTCCGGAAGCAGTCATCCGAGACGATGATTATGTCACTCATTTAGCTCCGCCCCCCTCAAACAATATTAAAGCAGGTACAAAGTAAAATGCGAGCCAGTTTCAGTCAAGCTCTGAAGAAGTCAACGGGATGATTGGCTAAACGTTAGCAAGTTCGACTCAGCAAAAAACCGACGCAGGAGGAATCCAGTAGAAAGTAAAACTGAGCTTACCTTCGTGGGCCATCTCGGGGCAGGTGGACATTTCCGCCGTTGCCGACATGTACCTGACGCGCATGTAGGGCTGCGGAGGCGGGAACGTCTGCTGCCTCGTGAGGCACTTGGGGGCCATCCCGGAGGCGGCGGCCTGCGACTGCGCGGCCAGATTTTGCAGAACGGTCGTCAAGCGACTAACAGCGGCGTTGTTCGTCATCGATGTTATCGATGGCTCGGGCAGGAGGTTTTCCGCGCTCAAAGGCCGCTCCGGATTCTCCTCTACGGGCGAAAAACTCAAGAATCGCGTACGGAAACGAAGAAACGCGACGTATACCTGACGAATGATACGGGCTGCCGCTGCTGGACACGACTGACGATTGGGAACCGTAACGAAGGAGTTCGTCCTCCTCGCGGAGACCGCTGGAAGCTCGCGATTCCGTCTGGGGAGAGACGGGCGACCTACCAGACCTCAGCGACGAAGTCGCCGGTAGGCTCTCGCGTCTGTATATAGTCCGAGGCAGTTGGGACTGCGCAAAATTATCGATGTTTTATCGCGGTACAATGGCGGGGCTTGGTAGTGACGTAAAATGACGTAATATCACCAAAACTAACCAACATAACACTGTCAACGCTGAGGGCATAAACTGTGACTATGGTAGACCATACACTAATAGAATAGTGGTCAAAGAACTTTGATTGACCAGGTTTTATTGGTCGCAAGTAAGATTTGAATGCTCATTAGCCCTTTTCAACATATGTTTATGGTGGCACTTAAATTTATCAGCTTATGTCCATCACATATGTAGGGGCCGTCCCCTACGTAACTGTAACATATAAAGTGTGTTTTTTGTTTTTACTATGAACAAAAATTTCGTAAGGATAAAAGGAACTAAAAGCAAGAAATTTTTTATATATCACTGTTATCCCTCATAGCCCTTCTGTTTATGTTGTTATTTCAATTCTATTTAACCTATAACAGTATAATTGTAACTGTTATCTATACATTTCGTAAAAATTCATAGGGAGAATTAAAAAACTATGTGAATTTTTATTTAATTTCGGACTAAAAGCAAGAATTTTTTATGTCATTGTTTCTCATAGGTCTGCAGTTTATGTTATTTCAATTCCTCCCTGAAAACACGACCTACACACTAGTAGGTAATTTCACAGAGCTCTTTCCAAGCAAAAGAATAAATTACCCCCAATAAAAAAACCGAGTCTATTTTGAAAACGATTCTATAGTTGATTAAAATTGTTAACGTGATCTTTCGTTTTTACAAAATTTCCTCGTGAAATTGGTTCGAAGTGGCAGAAGGCTTAATTTCTGTTCCTATTTTTTTTTAGTAGATAACATTTTCAAAGAAACTTCCACACTCTACTGTAATACTTTTTGCAAAACTTCCTCCTGCGTCGGTTTTTGTTGAGTCAAACTTGCTAAAGTTTCGCCAAACATCCTGTTGGCTTCTTCAGAGCTTAACTGCGAGCCAGTTTCAATTAAGCTCTGAAGAAGTCAACAGGATGATTGGCGAAACGTCAACAATCCAGAAGTTTTGTAAGTAGTAGTGGATAACATTTTTAATGTAGTCAGATTTTATTTTTCAAGTCTACCAACGCTGACTTACAAAAGGAAAGATATTTAATTTTTTATCTCATTTTCCAGAGAAAAATTCTTTAAACTCTCACTGGTGTTAGTTTTACGGTATTCTTGATATGAGGCATCGCGTCACCACCAATAAACCGCACTTATTTCTGATCGCTTACGGGTTGATGCTGCTGATGCGGTTGCGTCTGAGCCGTTGGCATGTCTATGTGTATCGGCACGGAATGCCTGCGCACGCCCAGAGTTTCCAGAGTCGGTACCGCTAATGATTGTCTTCTCGGTTCTCTGGTGACGCAGATTAATATATTTTTTTTTTCCAAAGACACTTCCACGGTTACTGTAATACCATTTACAAATCTTCCGGGTTCGTTCTGCGTTAGTAACGCGTATTTTGTGATGGAACGCTTAATATCTCTAATTTGAAAATTATTAGACAGAAGAGCGGATGTAAGGCTTTAAGTCTGTGTACGTAGGTTTTCTGTAAACAGAATGACGCAATGTTAGGTCTGATTTTCTATTGATAAGAATATCTCAGAATGGGAGATATATTATTAGTTTTTAATTGAATTGTAAAATATATGTATGTGTTGTATGTATGGTGTACAGAGTTTTAAATGGTTAAGGAAATCTCACAAAGATTCTCGACCACGAAGCCAAAAAAGAAAAGTATCATCCACGTAGCGTTCCCATAATTTTGGTTTTAGAGAGATTGTGTCCTCTTAAAGGATTCAGAGAATAGTGAAACTCAAACTAAAATTCTTGCGTGTAATCGATTCTTCCCCAACAAGAAATCGGAGAACCTATATAAGCAATCAAACAATCTTAACCGCGCCGCCTTTAGCTCCGCCCCTTCAGACACAATGTAAGCAGGTACGGGTCAGAATTCGAACCAGTCGCGGTTAAGATTGTTTGTTGCTAATGACGTTATTAAGGCTTTTCCACGTTTTTTTCAGCCTAGTTGATATTTTTCGTTTTGCTTTTCGGAATTTGGTCTTTGAGTGATTTGAGTGAACTGTTGATATGTAAGGAATATGAATGGCGAAGCGTCAGCAAGTTCTATCCAGAACAAGAGGAATCTAGAAGGTTTGCAAATGGTAGTATAACAAAACATGGATTGAAAATCACCTGATCGGTAGCTGGGATATCATGTCGTGGATGCCGTTGGAAGAGCGTTTGGTGTGCGGTTCCTCGTCCTCACTTGCTTCCGGTTCGACATCCGAGAGTTCGGCCTGCGTATCCTTCGGTTTTTCCGTTTTCTCCATGTCCTCCCACCGCCTGCGGTTGGAGTCCAGGATTTTCATCATGTGGGTCGACAGTGTGCTGTCCATGAAGCGGTGCCACTCGCAGAACAACGGCGTCACTATGCTCCGGAAGAAGCCTGCGACAACGTGAGCTATTTTTTGTTATTCGGGCGCTTATCAAACAAACGCGTTACGCTCTGGCTACTCTACAACAGGCCGCGTGTACTAGTTTGGGTGCTACGTGGGAAAAACAGACCGCCCGTTCGCCATCGGTTTTGAGAACGGCATTAGTTTGTTGTTGTTTTTGATATGAAAATCGTTTGTTCATTTATAGACACTGGATTAACAACATTACAGTGTCAAAATGTTACCGCTAATACCCGAAAAACGTTAGTAAGTAAACTTTCGTGCATAGAAATCGGCCTAATGTGAACTTTTGATTTCTTTTTTTTTAGAAACTACTGGTCAGATAAAAAAAAGAGCTGTATGAAAGACAATTTAATATGCTTTAATACGAGGTTAAATTGATAAAAAATTGGTTGGAGGTTGGAGTACGAAGTCTAGCTCGAATTCTATGATTTAGCTCATCCCATAAATGGATTGAGGTTGGGACTGCGTGCTGGCCACTCCATAACTCGAAAACCGACTTCTAATCTTGCACAATCCTTGAAGTGTGCGGCCTAGCATTGTCATGCATAAAAATGAATTCTTCTCCAATGTAGTCGTCATATGGTACCAGGTGATCTGATAAAATATCCTCGATGTACCTAGCACCTGTTAAACCTTCTGCTCCTTGACTACCTCGGCCCATACGGATCAAAACAGAGTCGGTTTGTGCGTCCATAGGAATTGTACGCCTGGTCTTCGATGCACTTTTTTTCATAGATCATTACCAAAGAGTACACAACTAGAAACAACCAAAGGAGAGATAGAGTAGGACAAAACATCACAATGGGTGACTATAACTTTGAGCGGGTGAAAAAGTTCAAATATCTAGGAACAACACTCTCAGAAAACGCTGATGGGTCAGAAGAGATAAATTGTAGAATACAAGCTGGTAATAGATGTTTATCAGCGCTACATGACCTTCTTAAATCAAAAAATCTCACACGCACGACTAAACTATCCATATATAAAACCATAATAAGACCCGTAATAATGTATGGATGCGAGACTTGGACACTTACAGTGGCCAACGAAGAGCGGATCAGGGTTTTTGAACGGAGAGTACTGAGAAAAATCTATGGGCCGGTCACTGATATAACAACCGGTAGATATCGTATACGCAAGAACAGGGAGCTATATGAACTATACAAAGACCCCAATATCATCAACGAAATAAAAGCGAGAAGGCTACAATGGGCCGGACATGTGAAAAGACTTCCAGACAACCGAATAGCCAAGCTAGCATGGGAAGAGGCACCCGAAGGAAAAAGACCACTAGGTCGGCCTCGCCTTCGCTGGAGGGATAACATCGAGAAGGACCTAAAAATAATGGAAGTCGATAACGCACTAGACCTAATGAACGACAGACAACAATGGAGGCGCATCGTCAAGTCGGCTAAGACCCACCCCGGGTTGTGAGCCACGGGGAGGAGGGAGGATTACCAAAGAGACATATTCTGGTCCCATCTGAGAACAGAACTGACCCCCATTGGTCCAATGTCCAATTCAGATGATTCCGTGCAAAGCGTGGGCGCGCTTGTCGATGAGCTGGAGTAAGTTTTGGAGCAATTGCAGTTCTTTTTGGGGTTTGGGGTCCTTCTTACTGTCGACTGACTAATAATTCGCCTTCTGCCTATTCCGAGGCGCCTATCAAAGGATCCAATCTACTAATACCGTTGGCATACTCTTCGAAATGCTGCGCGTGTCCAGTTGTTCAGCAATAGCTCGCTAGCGAAGTCCACTTTCGATTAAAACGATAACTTCAGCGGCTTTTTGCGGTGTAGTATGCATCAAGCAAACACAATTAAACGCTATCCAAATGGTTAAAAATAAATAATATGAAAATTCCAGTTACAAAGTCTATAACAAGTTTGTTACTGTCACTATAACTACTGCATGAACACGTTTCATTCCTTTAACTGTAGCTACGCATATAAAAGAACAGCTAAAGTAAAAAAGTTACAGGTCGATTTGACATAAAACGTAACAAATTGTTACTTTGTACTAATTTTGTGATGTACATGGTTTTGGAGTAATAAACAGTAGGCAAAGTGAATGACTGGGTCGGTTGTAAAAGTACTATAATTCTGGCTGAAGTATAACACATTCTTTCTGGCCACATTAAGAACAAATATTTTAAAATTTTCATCCATGTTTTCAATGTTCTCCAAGTGCAATGCTCGACCCGATTCAAACTTTTTTGCAAGCTTATTGTTCCATTAACTATAGTTATTAATTTTAGGCTCTTCCTATTCTCTACCTGTTGATTGGGCTTCATGCATGTTAGGTAAACTTCTTTAAATAAATAAATGATCAAATAAACAAACGTTTCGCTGTTTTCTATTAATATTTATACTGTCTCAATTTTTGTTTACATTTGTAGCTTTAGTTTAGCCTAAGATTTAGGTACGACTTGGACTTCCTCCTCGCCTTCTGGAGTGATTAGCAGAGTGACGCAAACGGACGGTCGATGTCTTCCGCAATTTTCCACTTACCGACTTGGATTTTGGCGACGGAGGTCAACTGTTGATCGCACATCGACGTGACGGGAAGATTGAGTTGCCTCTCGAACTCGCCCTGTCTGAAGAACTCTTCGCACACCTTCAGGGACCACTTGTGTGATATGTCCCACGGTCGCGTCGGGTTCGATATGTCGGCACATTTCAACGCGATCTGCAGCAGAAACACCCGGTTCTCCTTCTTCCTCATGTCCAACGTGCCCCGGTCTATGTGATTCTGGAAGATGGCGACCTTTTAATGTCTTATAGCCTTTATTTATTTATGTCACAGGCGATTCAACAAGCAGACGCAGCTACCCAATTACAGAATGTCACAATATAGGCTTACGCTATTTAACGAAATCGGGAAAGTGAGCAATAAATTTCTTATCTCTACAATGAAAGCAAACGTTGGATAGAAATAAATTATAACGACGAGCTAAAGAATTTTATATACGTTTATTTTAAATAAACTAAGGCTTAGACCAAACATATTTATATCTATTGATATGGATTTGCGTTAAAGCTCAGGTAATTTATACAAAAAGAAGAACTCTCAAGGTTATATACAACTCTGTAAAGGAAAACAACATCGGAAGAGATTCTTCAAACTGTACGAGCGTGTCGGTCTCTGTTGTGTCTAGAGTTTAAGTTGTTCTTAAGGCGCATATTCTTTTCGAATGCTTTGAAAAGTGCTGTGGTTGTAAGAGAGAAATCTTCTCAGATTGTGGAGCCACGAGATACTCCACGGTCCTGGGTCTCTTTTTCCGAAGACCCTGCAGAATAAGCTGCAACAGACCGTATCGCTATTCGTCGCTCATAATGTGGTGTGTACTCCAGTCTCCGCTTCTTTACGTTGTTTATGATTTCGCATTCACATTGTTTGTTGATTAACGTCATCCAAAGGCAGATTCATAACGTATTCTGAATAGGCGTTAAAAGTAAAGTAAAGACATCCCTGTCTATCTTTATTTCCTCCGTCAGCTGGTCTTAGATTCTGACAGATGCTGTTTCATTGTAATATATGTTTTCGATTATTCTGAGGTCTTTTTCATCTTGTCCTGCCAACTCTAAGATCGACATCAGTTTGTCATGTTTTATTATGTCAAAAGCCTTCTGATAGTCGATGAAGCAGACGTATATGTCGCTGTTGACGTCCCTGCAGCGCTGGAAATGCGTCTCGAAAGCCGAACTTGTGTGCGAGTTATGTGTTCCTCACATTTCTTGTAGATTCTCTTATGGATTATTTTTAGGAAAGTTTTAAGAAAGTTACTCATTAAACTAATTGTTCTATAATCCTCGCACTTTCTAGCGTTTGGTTTTTTCCGCAGAGCGATAAAGGTTGACTTTAACCAGCTTCGAGGGATTTTTCCTGTAGATATTGTTAAATATTTTTGTTAGCCATTTTATTTGTTCCTCGTCCATTAGGTTCAGGAACCCCGAGTAAAAATTGTCGGGACCCGCTGTTTTACCATCATTTGTACATTTATTTGCCGTCTTTACTTCTTCGTACTGTTCTGCATTCAGCATTGAGTGGAACCCTGCTTCTGTCATCCTTAAAAGTATTCTCTACGTAGTGTTTCCAATGGGATGACGTCGATTGTCAGTCATGCAGCTGCTTCCTTGACTTTTTTGTGCAGAGTAAACGAGTCATACTTATTCTCTAGGGCTGCAATCTCAAAAGCCTTGGCAAAGTGACATAAGAGAGATAGGACGATAATTACCGGCGTCTGTAGATCACCAGACTTCAAAATATCTGGCTATCTGGGTCACTTTCCAGCTTTTTGGAAATGTCCCTTGACCTAGACATTTAGTAAAGAGGATGTTAAGAGGTTTCAAAAAAATTATTACTTGATAATTTTTGAGAAATTATAAAAGTATATCGTCCGGCCTAGGGCCCTTTTTAGGATCCAAGTTGGGCAATATATTTTGAGAATCATTTGCTGTAGCAAGTTATTTTATCAGGCAGCGATTTTGTACTTTTTTTTATTATTAAGAAATGACCAAAAATGTTTTGTATCTGTTTTCAGATTTGCTTCGTTTTTTGCAATATATTTTTGATAGTTGTTTTACTTGTCTTAAAATATTTTCCTTTGTGTTTGTGAGTGAACTAAATAGGAAACTCACTCCTGTTTATAGTTTTAGTTGGTACAATTTCATTTTAGTACACTTTCCCACTGTTGTACTTCGCTTGCGAGAGATTTTTCTTAGAATAGGAATTACATTTAAGATATTTAGCGACCCCTAAGACGAATATTTATTACAAGAGCAGGATGGTGCGTGTCCTTCGGTATTAGGGGATCGTGACTCTCACTTACAGCGACCAAAATATTACGTTAAGTACTAAATCTAATAACTTGTTATTATTATTTTTTATATTATTGTGCTGTATGAAGTAAAAGTAAGTAAAAATAGTCACACAAATGTAATCTGAGGTTCTGTGTCGCCCGAGGGCGACAACGATAGGACAAAATTGTCCCAATCCCAGTTTAAGTTCGTTAAGTTAAAATGCCCGATTATTAAGAACTTGCTGTTTATTACATTTCTAGTGCAAATATTTTCCGATTTGGTAAGAAAGCGTCTGGGGAAATGCAAACATTGCAAACAAATAATTGCTTACCGCCCTCTAGCAACAGAGACACACAGAGATCCTCAATGATATTAGCACTATGGCACCAGTTTAACACTTTTTGTGCTTCAATGAAAATCCTCAGTACTGTGTGTACTGTCAGATAAGGTAACTCCCAAGTAAAAATCATTTAATTTTGTTCGTAGTCCTTTGGTATTCTGTTAGAATACACTAAAGCCATTTTGAAAAATTTATAACAAGTATAATTTCCAAATAAGTTGATATGAGTTCAAATTAGAAAACTAACTCACACATTTTTATTTTCAACGTGGATAACACGGCTACCCTCTTTTTTTGTTAAGAATAGTTTCAAATTTTGCGCCCAGCAGTAGTTTTATTTTCGTTCCTTGGCAAACGTTTTTGCTGCCTGCGTATAGAAAGGAGAAAGGTGTTCGCTAATGAAGATCTTGTTTTTTTTTTTTTTGGGGGTAATCGAGTATTGAGGTATTAGGTGGTGGCTGTAAATCGCGCTTCTTTGTTGCACGTGCTACTTCAGTTTTTTTTTTTCGAAATTGACTGAAATTTAACCACAATATGTTTTGGAGGCAAAACCCGGAAATTGAGTGACCTTGTGACTGGAGATAATATCATTATCCTGAAGTTCAATTTGAAGGGCCTCTAACTTTTTTAACAGTCTCCAACCTTTTCACCCTTTACCCCCGGAACCCCACAAATTTCCAAGTTAACATTTCTATACTGTTGCTTCATCCACTCCAGTTGTGATCTCAGAGAGCTACATTCAGCTTTAACTGATACAAGTTTCTCTTTTAAGACATCTTTGCCATCTGGGCGGTAAAGTTATCAATTTTCCCCCCAAAAAATTCCAAGGAATCTCTAAAGAGGCCTTTGCTCAACTTTTAATTCACTCGTAGTTGACATGAGTGAATTAACCTTCACAATTACTTCTTAAAGTGCTTGGAGATGTCAGGATACAATGTTTAAATTTCCATACGTATCTAGAATTGCGATCCAGCTCCCCTTCGCATCAAAGTGCTCTGCTATATAACAGAATAACGGCGTTGTTATCTCCTATCTACAGAAAATGTAATGTTCTGGTCATCATCGTTTTTGAAGAAGTACGGACCAATGATTCCACCAGCCCATAAAGCGCTCCAAACAGTCAGTTTTTCTGGATGTAACGGTGTTTCGACATACACTTGAGGATTAGCTTCGCTCCAAATGCGGCAGTTTTGTTTGTTGACGTAGGCATTCAACCAGAAGTGCGCTTCATCGCTAAACAAAATTCGCTTATGAAAATCGGGAACAACGGCAATCTCGTTCTGGGCCCATTCGAATCTACGCCATATTTGAGTATCTTTTGGCTTCAATTCTTGCACGAATTGGATTTTGTAAGCACTTAAACCAAGATGATCCTTCCGCAAAATCTTCCATAAAGTGGATGGATACAGATCCAATTCCTGTGCTCGATGGCGGATGGACTCATTCGGGTTTTCCTCAATGCTACGCTCTACAGCAGCAATAGCTTCTTCTGTACGCACCGTACGGCGTCTCTGGGGATGCGAGTTATCAATAAGAGTAAACGTGGTGCGAAAACGTTCCATGGTTAATCGAATTAACTGCTCTGATGGACGATTTTGTCGACGATAAAATGGACGTAGTGCGCGATACGTATTCCGCACAGAACCATTATTTTCGAAATAAAATTGCAATATTTGCAAGCGTTGTTCAGGCGTGAGTCTACTCATGATGAATTGCCAAACCAAACTGAGAATAAATCACTGGACAGTTGTTAAATCGGTAAACAGTAATGCCAAATTAAAGTTCTATACATTGAAAAAAAAATACCCATTACATCTACTTGTCATTGACTGTCAAGCACCCTTGCTGCATACTCCGTAAACTGTTCCAAATTAGTAACTGTAGAGAGGAAGTTATAAAATCCGTGATGACTTGCAGAGATAATGCTTCTGACAGAGTTAAAAATACGAATATACAAAACGACCTCAAGAATTTTAGAAAAATTGCATAAGACTTTTAAAAATTGGACATACCCTGGATTCTTTCCAACATCGCGGATAAATTTTGGAGGAGAGCGCAAGGTTAACTATTTTAAGTAAAGGCTTGGAAAAGACACTAATACAATCTTTTACTAAAAAAAAAGGAATTCCATCGGGTCCTGGGGTCATATTATTTTTTAATTTCTTTGCGGCCTATATTATTTCATTCTCAGTAATTGGATAGAAATTTAATTTATAGTGCTTGAGTTTAAATCTACTACGTCACAAAGAGTGCACTCAAGACCAGAAGGGAGAAATACACTCTAAAAAAAGGTAGCAAACGCTTCCACAATAGAAAGGGAATCATCAAGGACATTGCCGTCGAAAACCATGTTACCGGGGATTCGGGTGGATTTATGAAACATCTTGTTGCACTGCGCCAAGGTAAACGCCATAAGCAGTCTAATAATACATCTCAGTCTTTGAAACTCGACTAAGTGGGTCCTAACATCAGTTTTCTTGTATTTTTGCTTTTTGTTTTATATCTTTTATTAACCGAGATGTGTACCAAGCAGGATATTTATGAGTGTAATTTTTAAACAGAGCTACATTTTGATCAAAAAGGCCATACAATGTGTCATTAAAGCTTCGTCGACATCGTGTAAAAAAGTCGACAAAACAACGACTTGACTCATGCTAGTCCCGATATCGATATATCTTACCCTGAATTTCGTGAGGAACTCCTCCTGTCTGGTGATGTCGGTCGCCAGGATGAGATCGCGGATCTGCTGCTCGAGGTCGGCACGGTAGGGCTTCAGTTGATCGGCTACGCCGCTTTCCAAGAGACAACCCACCGCAGATCGCCAATGGTGGTTCTCCAATACCGACATATTCTGCGAAGCCGCGCTGTCAGGGGAGTTTTTATGGACGGACGGCTTAACTTACTTGATATAAAATAGCTAAATGATTCGAAGTGGTGACTAAGAAATGTTGATTAACACCAGGATGATCCAGATCGTGAGCGACAGCACCAATGAGTGAAGCCATTATTTCGAGTGGCGTGATGTATTGCTTGATCTGCGAAAATAACAGCAACGTTAACGAAGATGGCGGCGTATGGAAAATAAGTGGACAAAAATAAATTCTGAAATCTACGAAATGGAGTGTATTAATTGCAAAACTTCTGCATTCCTTCTGCGGCAGTTTTTGTTGAGTCGACCTAGCTAACGTTTCGCCCATTATCCTGTTGGCTTCTTCAGAGCTTCACTGAAACTGGCTCGCATTTTACTCTGAGCGGAGCTAAATGAGGGCCATAAACACCGTCCCGTATGATTGATTCCCATATTGGTGACAGGTAGAGTTCTGAGTCGCGGTTAACATTGTCAGGTTGCTTATAGATTTTTATAGACCCTCGGATTTTTCGTTGGTAGAAGAATTGATTACATGGTAGAATTTTAGTTTTATCTGCTGATGAGTTTGTCTCAGCGTTAAGGCTCTTTCATGTTCTTTGAGTCTAGCCGATATTTTGCGTCCAGTTTCTCCAATGTGTGCTGTAAACTCCTGGCACCTAACATGGAGTTTTGTCTTTGACGGATCGAAGATGTTGAGAGATTTTCGGATAAATGGTGAATCTGGTTTTGGTCTTATATTTCTTTAAAACTTTTGATATGTGGTCGGTGGCGTTTTGAAGGTAAGGAAAACAACAGTGGCAAGTGTGGGATTGCTTTCGGCCTCATTGTTATTGAAAGGTGTGGTTGTAGTGGCAACAGATAAAGATGATTTGCAGCTACTTTTATCAGCCCATTGCCAACAAATGGGTCTACGCTTAATTATAACGAAAACCAAATGCATAGGCATCACAAAAACATAACTAATAACTTAACGGACATCAGCGTAAATTGGGAAACAGTGGAGAGAATATAAACATACAAGTATTTGGGGTGCTGGGTGAATGAAAACACAAGAAAGCAAAAACCGAATAGAGCAAGCAAGAACATCTTTTAAGAACAATCAAAATGTGTTAACCAACACAGCCTAAAGAATTTCCTTAATAATAAACTCTTTTTGATATATTATTGTACGATATGGGACTGTTATTGAAACAATATGTAGGAGGATTTCGATTTGTGGGCTTCCCGAAGAATCCTAGGTGGACAGAGTGACGAATCAAGCGGTTCTGCAACATATGAACAAAGAAAAAGAGATACTTAATACAATTAAAAGAAGATTAGATCTGCAGCGGACAATGTGAAGATCATGGGACTGATCGCCAATATTCTGGGAGGACACGGCAATTTCAAGAATTTCTAATTAAGACAGCTAATTAAGACGGTATCAGGGAATCATTAACTGGCTATTATGAAAGTAGATGGTAAAGTCATTATATGAATACTGGGAAAATGTGTTTTACAAGATTCTCTACAGTGCAAACCAAGAAGAATTCGGAGAGTTTTTTTTTAAGACGAAACCCTGACTGCATAACTAGATCGTCCCCATATGGTGGCCTTATCCGCTGTCCGCTACTTTTTTCACCTTTTTTTTATTTTACTTTTAGTTTAAGCAATAATGTCAATTTCGTTAAAAATGTAAAGTCAAAACGCAAACGTATTAACAATAGAGTTCTTACAAGATGTAAATTTTGGCTTGCACACGAATTTGACTTGGAAAAATCCTTTACCGAGAATGAGGAACACTGCAGAAGTAGTAAAGATGTTTTGAGCAATTTAAACCTTATTCACTACCAAAACCTTATTCGTTTATGTTTGATATTAATTTAAGTAAAAAATATTACATTACTATGCAAAGAGGTGCAAATATTTACCCGCCATATTCGTTGATTGGCCAGCACAAAATATAATGCTACTCTAATAATGATTCTATTACCGTAGATGAGACGAAGACCAAAATAAAGGTAGACCACGCCGTTCAAAAAGAAAAAGAAGTATAAATATATAACCAAATATTTTTTATTCATTGATTCAAAGAAGAAGAGAACCAAACATTTTCGGATGCAAATATTCGACATGAATGTAGATGCGAAACATTGTTTCCATGGGTATACAATCCGAATATAAAACAATTTATAGAGAAAATCAAACTTCAACTATTCGTTATTGTAGACCTGTCAAATTTTCACTACTAGAAGTTACCCAGAGAGCGATGATGTTGATGAGCCATGCAACAGCCACAAATGATGGTGGTTCTGTTAATTTTTAAAAATTTGATATCATTTGTATGCAAAATTCAGGATTTTTTTCATTTCAATGATTAAACCGGGTATTATTTAGTCAAAAATCTATCTAATGTGCCCACAAGGAGGTTTTCCTGAGATAATAATACACCCAACACCAAAAACCGTACAAAATGCAGTGTCTGCGACGGGTGGGGAGGCCGAATGAGAAAGATACGGTGTATAGCGCTCTCACAAATAAACGGTTCGAGCTTTATGAACAAAAGAATAATACCGTCACAAAAGGTGTACAATTAATTAATTTAATAAAAAGCCAAAAGTTTAACAAGACAAGTTTTAAAATATTAATTTTGCCTTGCGTACATATATATTATATATTTATATCATTCAGACCAAAATCATTTATATGTAAATGCACTATACTCATCTAATTTTACAGATCATCTCTAAAATTTCTGATGAGAATTTCGCAATTTTTTTAATACGCAAATGAATTTGAAAAAAATATTTTTTTTTTAGCAGTTTGGCTTTCAAGCTCTTTTTGAAATGTGCAGATCAAACGCGAACGTGACAATGCGGAAATAATTTCTAGGTGCGCAGCTGCACGACCGCTGACTACATCAAGGTTGACGAAATAAAGGACCATTATCGTTGCACTTGTAAGGAGTTTTACGATATTCTGAAAGGAGAACAAAATCGGATCAAAACGAACCGACGAAACAATAGGAAACTTGTTTTATTTCAATGTAATTGTCTACCTGTTTACTTACACACGGTAACTACAAGCTTTGACATTTGACAAGCGTAGAACACAATTGGCTGAACCTTAACGAACCAAATTGACCTCCCCTTTTTATCTATGGCCGTATTTTATTTGTTTATAGGAGATATGGTCTACGATATTATTATAGTAAAATTAATATTATTAAATAGGTAACAATCCGATCTTAATTGTTTAAAAATAAAAAATACACAAAGGCAATTCTGTTCTTTCATACTGCAGAAAATTTTATTTTTCTCAGTTTCAGTAACCTATAGGTTCACGTATTGTGAAGTCCTTGGAAAAAAACAAACAAAATTGCCTTTTTAGAATCACGATTTTGAGCCCAACTTAAGATTGGATAATCGTTTCATGTTCAAGCTACTGAAATTCTTTTTATAAAACGCCTGCGTCGGTTTTTCTTGACTCGAACTAGAGCTTTACTGAAACTGGCTCACATTTTACTGTGCACCTGATTTTATATTGTTTGGGGGGGCGGAGCTAAATGAGGAGATAAACACCGTCTCGGATGACTGATTCCCATACTGGTGACAGGTAGAGACCTGAGTCGCGGTTAAGATTTTTAGGTTGCTTGTAGATTTCTATAGACTCTCGGATTTTTCGTTGGTGGAAGAATTGATTACATGTAAGAATTTTAGTTTTATAGAATAAAATTTTATTCCCGGTTTCGTGAATGTGTTAGTTGATATTTTTCGTCCGGTCTCTCCAATGTATTCTTTGCCGCATATGCTTGGAATGTTGCAAACTCCTGGCATTTCGAATGGAATTTTGTCTTTGACGGATTGAAAATGTTGAGAGATTTTTGGACAAGCGGTAAATCTGGTATTGACGCTATATTTCTTTATAGCTTTTGATATGTGGTCACTGATTTTGAGAGTGAAGTGTATTATGTGATGGGACGCTTAATATCTTTAATGTGGAAATTATTAGAGAGAAGAGCAGAGACAAGGTGTTTTATTTCTGTTCTAACGCTGTTGTTAGTACAGAAACGGCAAGTCTCGTTTATTGTTTACATCGTGATTTGAGTCGCTGTGTTTTTGAACTTTTAAATTCGATGAAAGACACACCGATCACTGCCGGGTTTAATTAAACATAAACCAACTTCAGCTTTTGGAGGTGAGCCGCACCTAAGGCACAGCATAAACTGGGAGCTTTGACATTTGACAAACATAGAACGTGATTGGTTGCACCTTAAATAACGTAATAAGGTAATATGCTCATACCAAATTGACGTTCGATTTTTATACGTTCTACGATATTATAGTAAATATAATATTAATAGGTAAAAATTTTTTGTTTGAGCTAAAATGGTCCAGTTTTTCTCAGATTCAATACAGATATTGTTACTTCACTGCAAAAATTGGACATTATTGCCCTTTTAAAAGCACGACTTTAGTTAACAACAGTCTTTTTTAATTCGATTCGATAGCGCAAGAATATTTATCGAAAACGATTAGTGACGACAGTAGCGATAGTGACGATTTTTTAAGTAATTGATGATTTATTATTATTATATTTAATATTTTGTATATTAGAAATGTAATGAAATAGAACATGTTTTAAGAATTGCACGGTGAAAAAGATTGAGAAAACACTTATATTCCGCTTATTAGTGTAGGTAGATAAATTCCTAGGACGGTCCTGGAATGGTTACGAGTAAGGGTCTGCTCGGCAGTTTGTTCTATAATTGACTGCGGTTTTTGAGTAATAAACAGTAAGCAAAGTTAATCACGGGGTCGGTTATAAAAACAATAATTCTGGTTATCTAGTGTATGAATCGCCGTTAAGATGATTTTGTTGCTTATTCTCGGAGTTTTGGTTTGTAGAAGAAATGACAACGTGCAAGAATTTCAGTCTCAAGGCCATTTGATCTAGTTTTGACGTTATATTCCTCCAGACCTTTTGATATGCCGTCAGTGCTGTTTTGAATGTCAGGAAAGACAACAGTGGTAAGTGTGGAGTTGCTTTGGAAGGTTGTAGCGAAGTTTATTTTGTGATGAAGCGAGCGCTGACGAAGCCAACAGGGTGATTGCCGAAACGTCAGCAAGTTGAATACAAAGCAATAAAGAGTATGTGACATTCTTTGATTGAAAACGTTATTTCATTTGATATTCAAAATAGTTTTTATTTATGAGGCTATCCAAATACACTTTTAGATATCAACAAAAAGGATAGAATGATAAAATGTCCGTTTTATTTTATTTGGTCCGATTTTTATTTATTTTGGGGGTGAAGCTAGTTGTGTTCCCTTTGGTGGTGGTACCAAGCGACTTATCAAGTTTCGTACGTTTGAATTGAAATGTATTTGTAACGCCGTTTTTTAACGAAATTTTGATAACAAACAACGCCATACTAACGCTAATAAATACTAACCTTTTCCTCCTGTAAAAAACAATGCATTGCTTGAGTTACGTCAGTCGCGTGGATAGAGTTATGATAGGGGTTGGTACTATGATAACCCTCCTCTATAAGAGCTGCAAACGGTTAAACCAGGATATAGACACAGCGGTTCCGACGCTGACGAAGCACTTACTAAATAGTTTCCATACGCGCACGACATCCAACTGGAAGTAATCAAACAGACCGTACCAATGGAAAAGGTGTACGCATAGTACCGGCAGTGATCGTCCACCGGCAACGGTCTCTAGCGTGAAAGCGTTGAACGCCCATGCGCTGCTACGGTCCAGGATTTTCTGGAAAGCGTCGAAACATCACACTTCGCCAATGTGTCGAGTTTTAGCGAAAAAACATCAACGCACTTTCCGCATAGAAAATTTCATCCTATTCTCTCGGACCCTGAGGTTAAATTTAGCAACTTTTGTTAAAACGGGTGACGTGTTGTGCCTAAAAAGGCATCATCAGCCCAACAAAATTAAAAATATAAATATGCGATGGTTACTTCCACGGTTGGGCTGATTTTTATCAAGTGAGTCATGATTTAAATCAAACTCCGATTTTTTAAAATCTTTTTTGTTGCGGCCAACACAAAAAGCACAACGTAAAAATATCACAAATAAATAATATACGCTTTATGCTTCTGCTTTTTCGTTGTATAATAATTTTCCCCCTATTTCTATCCCAAATTTGAAGATTTGGATACGGCAATGTTGCAGCGGTTCCAATAGCAACGTCTTACGACTCTCTGGACCTATTGTAAAACTAAAAGCAGAAAAGTTTACTGAACAGCTTGGCATTATCGATTTTAAGGCTTCGGAAGAATGGTTGGGGTAGTTCAAACAGAGACATGGTATAAATTATGGACAGATAAGTGGCGAAGTCCGTGATGTCAACAGAAACGTTACTAACGATTGGCTGGAGAAGACGTGGCCAAAACTAGCAGAAAGTACCCTGCTGACGACATTTTTAATGCTGACGAAACTGGTTTTTTTTTTACAAAATGACGCCAGTGTGGGTTGAAAACTTTCTAAAGAACGTATAACAGTGTTAGTAGCTGCCAATATGAGTGGGAGAGAAAAAAGAAAGCTAGTCTATAACTTTTTATAACAAAAAAAAGTAGCCCCTTCAATTTCGCTATATAGAGTTTCGAGTGTAGTTGCTTCACGAGTTCCTGTACTTTTAGCATAGGCAGGGCCTCTATATGTCAGGTAGCTATATGGGTTAAACCTATGAGTTTATGAAAAATAACGCTTTGCGCCGATTTACAACCAAAAAAAATTCGCTTACAAGGCTTGAAGAACAAACTGCATTGCTTTTTCAGAGCTTAATTCCTTTTTTGCCTGACAATTTAAAAGTACTTCGACATGTTTTGGGAAAATACAGCCTTAAAAATCGCGCATCCAAACATCGACGATCTGTCAGCGGCCATGTTTGTTGCAAGCCGCAAGTTCTTATGGGTCCCACGTCAGAATTTGTAATTAGAGCTGTCATTGGTTAAAAATAAAAATTTAAATCACGAGCAAGCGCACGTTGAAAAAAATTTACATACTGTTTTAGTAGCTATCTGCTTTACCCTAACGATTCGACACTAACCTGAACCATTCCGTGATGAATATCATCAAGCATAGCGTGGTCCTGCGATAAAGACCTGGTGGTGAGTTTTTTGCGACGTCTTTTGTGCATGGTGAGAAATTTGCCGGAACATTGTGGGGTCGGGCATGTGCCCATCGCGTCCAGCAGTACCCAGTCTTCTTTCGAGAGGGATCGGTGCAACGAAGCGATCTCCGCCGGCACTGAAACCAAACAAACGAAACATTTTGAAAAATCGATCGAACTCGTTGTTTTAAACCGACGCTATCGCTACCAATCGATCTATTCCATTCAAAACATGTAGAAAGATAGACGATAGACTCTCATAAGTTGTGCGTACGTCAGAAAATGACATCGCACCTAGATCCTCTGACGTCACGTAGAGATAACATGACTGTTTTTTTTTTAACATAAAAATTGCAACTCCGTTGTTGTTCCAGTCCAATGATCCTCACTTAAACGGCAGTAAAAGTAACGCAATAACCTCAAATTTTCAATTGATTTTTATATATATTGCAACTTGATAACATTTTAGTTGGCTAACACTGTTTTGTTTTAAGAGATATCAAGATAAACAGAAAAACAAAGTGTAGGGTTAGTACCCAAGTTGCGCATAAAACAAAAAACATCTTTTTTTTAACGGAAGACCCTATATATTATATATGTGTTTAATAGAATATCTTGTGTAACACTCGTTTTTTTTATAACAGGGTTCTTTTCTTGCACCTTATTGTCATAAAGGTGTATTATATAGATTAATTGATCAAAGATCACGAATCAACGAATAAGTATTTGCAGCCGAACTAGGTTTACATCGTTATTAATAAAAACAGCGCTTTCATTTCACGTCGCTTCTCCTAAACGTTCCATAAAAAGTGCACTTTCTATATTAAATACGGATCCCCAATCACGAAAGCAGGCAACCAGCAATGCAAGGAAAGTTCATTGTCGAAATTTTATCGTATTTTGAATGAAACATATGAAATTTATTGCGCAATACCAATACGGTACGGATCGGATCGAACTATGCGATTTTTGTGGTCTGTGACGCATATTTCGGTGAAACTGGCTGACGATAAGGCGGCCGTCATCAAAAGCGGAACCTGCCTTTTTGCGCGATTCGTTTTTATCGTGCTCGTTATCGGCATAGTCTCTGGTCTATATCACTCACCACAGAAGACACCGCAAACACACATGTCATGTCCGCATGCTTAAAAAACGCATACGCAGCCGGCGATGGTGGCGTTTTCCTATGTCTCCGACTAAGTAGTTACCTTCGTCTCGCTATTAATCACGACGGCCGATTTCGGCTATGTTTTTTTTTTAATAACCGATAGCGAAGCATAAATCTCGGACGCGAACGCGTCTTCGTCGCGCACTGGACTACTCAAAGTCAACGGCTCGAGCTCGATCACGCCAAGAATAACATTTCTTCGGGGGAGCCGTCTCGGTCCAAGGCCGACTTTGTTGCGGGCAGGGGTACGCCGGCTCGGTGACGTCAATGCGTCCAGTGACGTATGGAGCGCGAAGAACAAAGGAAACCATGGTTTATCGCTTTTCCACGCGTTAACGGCTATTTGGCCGCACGCATACGCCTTTTCCTACGCTTTTCTTCTATAAACGCGGCCAAGACAAGCCTTTCTCTCAGTGACCGATTCATATTTGACGTTTCTCGTTCGGCTTTCTTCTTTTTACGGCGCGCAGTGGATTGAAGAGCACCGGGACGTTGGAAATTAGAAAACAGTGGCAACGAGAGATATAATTCTGTAAATAAAAAACCAAATATTTCCGGTCATTATATTATATAAAAATATATAGGTAATACAAACATTATAAACACTTATTAATGTTTAATTTATCTTGTTAACTTGTTAATTGGCTGTAACTTTTTTGTTTTTACAGATATCAAAGTAAACCAAAAACCAAAATGTAGGGCTAGCAGCGACGTATAAAACAAAACACTATCAATTTTCTGACCCTGTTTATTATATATGTGTTTATATTTTTATATTTATTTTTCATTTTTATTATACTATATTTTAATCAACTCATTGTTGATAAATTTACAAATTAAAGTAGAACAAAAACACTAAAAATGACAAGACACACTAAAGTAAAAAACTCTACAACTAATCTAAATACTGCTGTATGTGATCACCATATTCCTGAACACATTTCTTATACATTCTAATTGTATGATGTCTTGCATTTAGTAACGTTTCCGGATTGGTTGTCTCTGAAATCTTTTGCCGAAGTTCCACGACATTATTACAAAGAGTTCGGTGCACGTGATTTTTTATGTGTCCCAAAAAGAAAAAATCCATTAAAGTTAAGTTGGGGCTGTTGGATGGATTTTAGAGATGTCACTGAACATCTACGTGATGTTTATAGGGATATTCTAATCTCAACACACGGTCCAGTCAACTGACCCCCCACGGTCACCGGACTTGACACCGTAAGATTTTTTCGTTTGGGGGTCCGTGAAAGACCGTGTTTATGTAACTCCTGCAAGAATTACAGCGGAGAATATCGGCTGCATTTGAATTTGAATGTAATGCCAGGGAGTGTCATATAAAAGATGGAGGACATTTTGAAAACACTCTATTAAAGTTTCATTTTAAATTAAATTGGTTATTAAGAAAATATCTATTGCACTTATTTAGTTCAAATAAATACAAAACTCCAGTTCCAAAATAAATAAATATGGTTATTTGTGTCAATGTTAAATTTGTCTTACAGTAAAACACATTGATACACTACTTTCAAATCTATTCTTTTTTTTCACAATATTGTGTTTAATTATCCCAAAAAATGACACATCCGAAAAGAAAAAAAATATTTCTATTCTTTTGTTCATCTGAGTTTTCGGTAAATTGTGCTTGTAGCTTATGACGTATTTATACATACAAATAGTTATGTTAGCTTTTGACTGTATCCCCGTATCCCAAAAGCATATCAATTTTTTATCATAATAAAACCATTCAACAAAAAATTCTAATCGTTGAATCCAAGAGAAACTCTTCCTTGAATTTTACTTTTTCTTAAATACTAATCTGTTTTTTTTTTCACTGTATGAGCTTGTCGAAAATTTCTTCTTCGTTATTAATTAACAACTAACAATGAGAAGAAGCAAGGTAATATTTTTTTATAAAAATGTATTTACGTATTTAGTTTTTTCCCTTCTGTGAACTTATTTTTTAACGGACTGAAATAATACAAAAAAATTAAATATCATTTTACCGAAACTTCAAACTTTTCTTTATAACACTTACCTTGTAGGAAATCTTCTGATGTTACTGAATGATTTGCTGTTGAAAGCCATTTTACAATGTTTCTGAATTCTGTGGATTATGTTCCCGGACATCACCAGCGCTATCAAAATGACTTAAAACCATTCTTAAAAGTCTTACGCCTCTTTCAATCTTATTGTTAAACCCATTATAGTTAACTGGGTTGACTGAATAATATGAATGTGTTTATTATTATGTATAAGAGTAGATAGCTTCCATTTAATTATAGTGTATTATGCAACCAGTGCGGTAAACGGCATTTGACTCACGAGTTTATTTGACACGAGCGGAGCGAGTGTTTAATAAAACAAGTGAGTTAAAAAGCTAACCGAACGTGTTGCATTCTACAATTTTTCTACGACCGTTAGTTTTTTGGGTACATGACTGTCAGAATTGACAAACGTCAAAATTCAAAGCGTGGTAAATATCTCCAAAACCATCCGATTGCTGCGGTAAAATCCCGAAAATGTCCGAAGTGGAAGCGGATTCGTGGAAAACGAAACTGACGTGGTAAAGTGACGCTTCCCGCACACTAGATCGGTACGTAATTAGGAATTTTACAGACGGGAGTAGAAAAAATTAATTATACACTTTTCGTGCACGGTTAAAATGTGCACCACATTATTTACATTGCTGATTTTTTAATTATTATTTGTGAATGCACTATACACGCGTCACGATTTTAAGGCACACAAGTTGTTCGAAATAAGAAATCGGAGGAGATTGATTTTGACCATAGTTGGTGTACGTGTGTACGCGGCCTTAGCGAATTTAAAATGTAAAATCCAATTTCTTTTTTATACGCCATCAAGATGTAATTACCGTTATTAATTGGCCGACACGGTCCACATTTTTGTGCGAGCGCACTTTCTTTCGAAACGCATCGAAGCGTTAGATGCTTCTGCTTCAAAAAAATCTCCGATTCCAGAACTCAATCAAAATTACCCTTTTCACTTTTTCCATGCCCAACCTAAAGGCTAGTAATTCCACAGCCTATTTGGGTTTACTGACGGGCAAGTTTCTGCTTCAAACTTCGTAGTATGACCCCTTTTGGACGACTTTGTTTTAATGATTAATAATTAATTAAAGAGATAAATGCTTTCTCTTTAATGAAACTCTGTTTAGCAGTAAAGGACCGCCCACGAAACATAACGATTTTCTAAAACCAATATTGGAAAAAATAGCCAAAATACTGATTTACAGCTTCGACAAGTTCTATGTTGCTCTTAAATCTTTTACCGCCACTTTTTGAGGTTGGGAAACAGGTAATTGTCGCCGGAGGCTAAGTCTGGAGAGCAGGAAGGTAATTGATCGTTAAGCAATACATTTGAATGTCTCATTTTGTTAATCTCGTAATAGTTAAGTCTAAAAAATTAATAGAGTTATCCTCTTCGATCTCGATAGCGAATTTTATACGATTATGTAATAAGTTAATGTAATTTTAAAAAGAATTCAATTGTCTGTCCGTTCCTACAAAGCAAGCAAAGACATCGTCCATTGTATCTATACCACCATAGAAAACTTTTACTTAAAGGATGTTCTAGTATGATATTTTACAAATTATCCATAAAAATCTCTGCTAACAAAGGACTAAGTGGGTTTCCCATAATCAAACCTTCCTTAGAGATGCAAATCTGTCAATTAAATTCAAAATAATTTTGGTCTAAAGATAATATTAAGCAATCTAATAAATCTTGTTTCACCAATGGGCTAATCTGTTTTCAAGTTAGGATGAAATCTACTAAATCTATCACATCCATAGATGGAATATTGGAAAATAAGTTACCTTTTTCAAGGTAATGGATGTATACAATTTCTTTCTTTGCAGTTGGTTCCACTGTTTTCACTGTTCCTCATTTTCGGGAGTGTAGTGATGGACCCAAGTCTCATCAACAGTTATCGAGCATTAGCAA